CTTCCGCTATATAGTAGTTGAGGTGTGTTTGTGTGTGAGTTGCAGGTCTTTATCAGATGGCCTTTGACCCTACTGCAGCCATCCCATCTCTCCTGAATGATTGAGCTTATCTGTCCCACTTAAACATCCCTTCTCACATTTCCTACCTCCTCCCTTCCCCCCCTCTCTTTCTCTCCCCTTCCTTCCCCCTCTCCCTCTCCTCAAATAGACATTAGTGCATGTGGACCAGATGTCTCATTTCACACTCTGTGATTCAGGCCCACATGTCTGTTAGTTAGGGGAGGAGAGCTCTGTGTTTGTCAGTGGAAAAGAGCTACAGGCGTACAGACCAGAAGCACCAGGAGCCCCTTTATGCGGGGCAAGGTGATGAGAGGAGAGGAGCGAGGGGTCTGGTCTGGCTGGGCTAAGCAGGGGAGTGCAAAAGAGTCCTGTCAGGATGTCTGGGGCCAGCTGCTGCCCCAAGGGTCATTTTTGGTTGGGCATTAGTATGTTGACAGGAAGAGAGAGGAGAGATAAAAGCCAGGAATGTTAAGAATCTCCTGGAAAACGTGTCCTGTGTGTCCATCTGTATGTCTGTCCCCATAGCCCTGTCAACCTGTCTCGTTCTCTAACTGCAGTTACTGTACTTCCGTTCCCTCCCTGTCTGTTTTTTCTCTTCACCTGCCTCTTGTTCTCTCCCTCTCTGTCCCCCCCACACTGCTCAGTTATGTTCCCGTTATGAAAGAGGGGAAGGAAGAGGGGGGTCAGCCAGCCAGCCATCCATCCATGCAGCTCTGGGTCGTCAGGGACAGGGTCTATTTATGGAGAGTGCGTTTCCAGAGATCATGCGGACCAATATTTAATTAAAACTGAGAGGAAGGCTAATTGGGTTGGACTTGCCCTCTGGGGGTGGGGTAACTACTGTAGAGAGACTATCATTGGCGAAACTGTCCGCTAGTTTGGACCACAGAACAGCCACTGTCACAACTAACTGTATGTGGTATGTCGACTGTTGCTGTCCTGTGATTTTGACCATGATGAGTTACCATGAACATTAGCTGTAATTTGGCTTGCATCCTCTTTGGAGCAGCTCTATGGTGTTTGGTTAGTGCCCTGTGTTCTGGCTGGGCTGTTGTGGCTCTTTGTGCAGCTGAGGTGGAGTGTTTGGTGAGAGAGGGGAGAGGGGCCAGGGGGTGTAATTGATCCAGGACCGCAGCAGGAGGGGGATGGAGGGAAGATGAGCTGGGGGTTGGGTTTTAGATGGTAGGTAAGGTGACTGGTTCTGGTTCTTTGTGGTAATAATGGGCCTATAAAGGATAATAGATAAATGGACAGTTATCACGTTGTGATTGATGTTCTTTCTCGTCCATGTGTCAGTGTTTAGTTATTCATTTCCCTTCATTTGTTTTTCTAGCCAACATCAGCAGTCACACTCACCCTCAAATTAACAAAGGACTAGGAGGCTCTAGGCTAGTGACTTGAGCTAAAAGCTGTTCAGCTGCTTGCTGCATTTCTATACCAGGATTACAATAGAGTTCATATTGCATTTTTGCAAGATAGTTATTTAAAGTGTCCTGTGTTTTTTCTAATCAAGTGAACTCCGATCCTAATTCTGTCATCCCCAGTGTCTAGTTAAACCCAAAACGCAGATTAGTATCCCAGGACCCAGACTCAGAACAGGGCCTCTCTCTATCTGGGACTTGTAGATCAATTTTACATGCATGAGAGGCAGAGAGAAACAGGAGATCCCCAGTGCCAGATTTCGTGGCCACAGAGAGGGGAGGGAAGATGATGTGTGTGACTGGCTTCCATTAAAATGCCTTCGTAACTGCTATCAGGCTCCAGAGTATGTCATTTGCAGGCACTCTGTCTGCTCTGTTTTAGCTACACGCCCCTGACCCTCTGTTGCCCTCCACCTATTCCCCCATAGAAGCGTAGGAGATGCCTGGGTGCCCCTCTTACCTCCCACCCCCCTCCTGGTTTGGGTGACCTCCTCCAGCACAGGCCTGCGTGCTGACAGGTGTACATTTACCCAGCAGACAGTGGGTGGGTTTGGTATGTCTGGTATCTCCTGGTTAAACAGTGTGTTTGAAGGGGGCAGGGGGAACCTGTGACCTAGTGCTGTTAGTCAGCCAGCGGTGAGCTGAGCAGTCGTCTTGGTATGGAGGAACTGCCCAGAGTCTATACCTCAAAGAGAGGGTTTGTGTGAGGAGTGAAGGTTAAGAGACACACTGTCTGGAATCTGAGGATTTCACAACTGGCCAGGACAACCTGACAATTATCAGGGACTCCACAGAGTCATCATAATTTGTAGTGGCAAAATATTTGGTTGTATTGCTGTATTGTATGCAGAGCGGAACACATACAACCTCACTAATCATCAGTCAGTCTGTCATTATCAGGCAATTTGTGTTTCCATCAGGAGTGTGACACTAAAGACTTGGGGCGAGCAGAATCAACAACCTCTGCATCATCAAGACAGTTGCTTTGTGAGGTGTTAAAGTTCATAGTTAATCATAGTTATGTAAATGCCAGCTGAAAAGTACCAGTGGCCTGGTATTGGCCCCAAGTTAAAGCAGGTCAGCCGGAGCCATGGCCCAGTGAGACACGGGTGCCGTCCCGCGTACGTGGAAACAGAAAAGTATGAGCCTTTTGGGTAAAACACTGGGGTAAATCTCAGATGGAAACTCGACATACAGTACCAGTAAAAGGTTTGGACACACCTACTCATTCAAGTTTTATTTTTTTTAAACTATTTTCTACATTGTAGAATAATAGTGAAGACATCAAAACTATGAAATAACACATATGGAATCATGTAGTAACCAAAAAAGTGTTAAACAAACAGCCACCCTTTGCCTTGATGACAGCTTTGCACACTCTTGGCATTCTCTCAACCAGCTTCATGAGGTAGTCACCTGGAATGCATTTCAATTAAAAGGTGTGCCTGCTTAAAAGTTAATTTGTGGAATTTCTTTCCTTCTTAATGCGTTTGAACCAATCAGTTGTGTTGTGACAAGGTAGGGGTGGTATACAGAAGATAGCCCTATTTGGTAAAAGACCAAGTCCATATTATGGCAAGAACAGCTAAAATAAGCAAAGAGAAACGACAGTCCATCATTACTTTAAGACATGAAGGTCAGTCAGTACGGAAAGTTTCAAGAACTTTGAAAGTTTCTTCAAGTGCAGTGGCAAAAACCATCAAGCACTATGATGAAACTGGCTCTCATGAGGACCGCCACAGGAAATGAAGACCCAGAGTTACCTCTGCTGCAGAGGATAAGTTCATTAGAGTTAACAGCACCTCAGATTGCAGCCCAAATAAATGCTTCACAGAGTTCAAGTAACAGACATATCTCAACATCAACTGTTCAGAGGAGACTGCGTGAATCAAGCCTTCATGGTCGAATTGCTGCAAAGAAACCACTACTAAAGGACACCAATAATAAGAAGAGACTTGCTTGGGCCAAGAAACACGAGCAATGGACATAAGACCGGTGGAAATCTGTCCTTTGGTCTGATGAGTCCAAATTTGAGATTTTTGGTTCCAACCGCCGTGTCTTTGTGAGACGCAGAGTAGGTGAACGGATGATCTCCGCATGTGTGGTTCCCACCGTGAAGCATGGAGGAGGAGGTGTGATGGTGTGGGGATGCTTTGATGGTGACACTGTCAGTGATTTATTTAGAATTCAAGGCACACTTAACCAGCATGGCTACCACAGCATTCTGCAGCGATATGCCATCCCATCTGGTTTGCGCTTAGTGGGACTATAATTTGTTTTTCAACAGGACAATGACCCAAAACACACATCCAGGCTGTGTAAGGGCTATTTGACCAAGGAGAGTGATGGAGTACTGCATCAGATGACCTGGCCTCTACAATCACCCGACCTCAACCCAATTGAGATGGTTTGGGATGAGTTGGACCGCAGAGTGAAGGAAAAGCAGCCAACAAGTGCTCAGCATATGTGGGAACTCCTTCAAGACTGTTGGAAAAGCATTCCTCATGAAGCTGGTTGAGAGAATGCCAAGAGTGTGCAAAGCTGTCATCAAGGCAAAGGGTGGCTACTTTGAACAATCTCAAATATAAAATATATTTTGATTTGTTTAACACTTTTTTGGTACTACATGATTCCATGTGTTATTTCATAGTTTTGATGTCGTCACTATTATTCTACAATGTAGAAAATAGTAAAAATAAAGAAAAACCCTTGAATGAGTAGTTGTGTCCAAACTTTTGACTGGTACTGTAAATGAGTATTAGCTAGCTGGGGGTTGATGTGGTTATGGTGGAAAGGGAGGCGGTGGGGCGCCCCCTGCTGGGACAGTGGTGGTAGTGCTGCTGTTGCTCTGCTGCTGGTGTGGTGGTCCTGCTGGAGCATACCAGGCAACCTGCCCTTTATCCTCCCCACAGCACTAGAGCAGTCACTCCCAAGCACAGCTCTGAATATGCCAGATGCTCACTCATTAATCACAGTAACGTGTGTGTGTGTGTGTGTGTGTGTGTGTGTGTGTGTGTGTGTGTGTGTGTGTGTGTGTGTGTGTGTGTGTGTGTGTGTGTGTGTGTGTGTATTATCATCTGTAAACTAATAGATCATATAGTCAAACCAACAACATGCTGAATGATTCTAATGTCAGGGTGGGAAGAGAGGGTAAGAACGATTAGTGAGAAAGAGAAGGGGAGAGAGGAAATGTTTTATTCCCTCTGACTTAATGCTTACTCTCTGGCAGATACGCTTTTGACCTTTCCCAATGAGACAATGAATCAGCTTTATTTCCTGTGCTGCAATTCTCTGGGACAGAAATTATTAGACTATGCCACTGCAGGGTGTGTGTGTGTGTGTGTGTGTGTGTGTGTGTGTGTGTGTGTGTGTGTGTGTGTGTGTGTGTGTGTGTGTGTGTGTGTGTATGAGTTGTTTAGGTGTATGCATACTGCATAGCCTGATGGAAGCTATATGCTGAATCCCATCATTGTGACAATGATGTAACTGACGTCAGATCGTGCATCTCCTCCCATAGGTGAGTCTGGATTAGGGAAATCCACGCTCATCAACTCCCTCTTCCTGACTGACCTGTATTCCAAGGATTACCCTGGCCCATCCCTACGGATCAAGAAGACTGTGCAGGTAGCCTACACCCCCTCCTCCACATGTGGAAGTTCAACACAAGCAAAGGCCAAAGAGCACACAGCAATCAGGCCTATGCAAACAAACCCAATAACCACTGGATGGTCACAGTGGCCAGGCCAGAGTAACACACCCAGAGCACCAGCAGCCAATGATAGAGCCCACAGTACATTGTCCTTATATGGCCTTGATAAACAGAAGAGGGACAGATGAAGAGGCTCCATCTGGACGACCAGGAGGTGGTGGGGGGGGGGCTAGTTAAGGGTGTTTGGAGAGGTTTGTGTGGCCTCTGTTTAGGATGGGGACAAGGAGGGGGAGGAGAAGGGGGGAATTTAGACTCAGGGCCTCTGGTTCCTCTTGGGGCCTGAAGGGGTCAGTAGGAGGTTAGGAATGTTCCCATGAAACAACACCCAGTGGTGACTTTCCCACCAAACACAAGACTCCCATCTCGGAGGCATCCTGGGCCTCAGCTTACTGTAATAACCTCCTGTCTATGTGATGTATATGCAAAGGCACACAAACACACACACACACACACACACACACACACACACACATACATACACACACCAGGGCGGTGCTTGGCTGCTATATTTGGGTTTTATCTCCATCACACTGAGAGCACTGATGTGGGAGTTAGTAACCATGGTGAGTCATAATCTCCTGAATTAGAACCACACTCATCCAAAGCTGTTTCAAGAAATGAGCTCGTTCGTGAGCAAATGTGTGACTTCATTTTGAATGTAGACCGAAGTAAGCTGTTTTGCAGATTTGTTGAGGCCTGAGATTCCTGGTTGTGTTTCTGGGGTCCCCGTGGTTCCTGCTGATGTGTTTGATCCTCCATTGAAGAGTGCGTCCAATGTTTAGAAATGGAGCTGTTGGGGTAGGCCAAAGCCACAGTGTAAATGTAGAGGGGTAGACTTGGGCCCAGTGAGCTGTGTGCGGCTGTCTGCTGCGGTTGCCGTCGGCTGAGGGGGAGAGACGGGGAAGAGTATTTATATTCCAGAACAATCTCTTATGTCTGTCAATCTGTCTACTCAGATTTCACTCAATTGATGGGTGCACATTTTGGGGAGTTTTGTTCCTCTGTTTCTCTTTCACTGAAATGGATTTAAAAGCAGATATGCAGACACACACACACACACACGCTTACAAAAGTATTTTGAGTGCTTGATATATGCCCTGCTAGAAAAGAATGTGTATATAAACTAAAGTGATTTGCGAAGGCAAAGAATGTGTTTTTGAGTGTTTAGAGAGACTGAAAGAGGTCAACCCAAAATAACTACCCTTGTGAAAGTATGCAGCAGCCGAACAGAGAGTAGCTGAAACAGACCGCAGCAGGAAGGGAATGATGCATTTGTCTCCTAAACCGTGAAAAATCTACCAGCACCATATCACTGTGTCACAGCTGCCATTCTGATCCAGGACTAACATGATTAAGCTATAGATGATCCATAGTGTATGGGGGAGCTGAGGGATACAATGGGAGGTATGGAGTTATGTTTTAGAGCCACTGTGTTGCTGTTTTGCAGGTGGAGCAGTCCAAGGTTCTGGTGAAGGAAGGGGGTGTGCAGCTCACTCTCACCATCGTTGATACACCAGGGTTTGGAGATGCAGTGGATAATAGTAACTGGTGAGTAGTAGTGAGTATTGTGAGTGAATTTGAGCATGTATGAATGATATGGTGTAGTTTGTATGTTGTGTAGGAGTTACATACGATATTCTCTCTGCCTCAATGAGAGCCTACATGTAGAGTAACATTTCTACATAGAGTAAACAACATTTTCTTCTTTCTTTCTTTCTTTCTTTCTTTCTTTCTTTCTCTCTCTCTCTCTCTCTCTCTCTCTCTCTCTCTCTCTCTCTCTCTCTCTCTCTCTCTCTCTCTCTCTCTCTCTCTCTCTCTCTCCTCTCTCTCTCTCTCTCTCTCTCTCTCTCTCTCTCTCTCCCTCTCCCTCCTCTGTCCCTTTCATCATCCCCCTCTCAGCTGGCAGCCTGTCATTAACTTCATTGACAGTAAGTGTGAGGACTTCCTGAATGCGGAGTCCAGGGTGAACCGACGACTGATGCCAGACAACAGAGTTCACTGCTGCCTGTACTTTATCGCCCCCTCTGGCCACGGGTGAGTACTGACAGACCTTGGGGCAACAGTCCCTTTTTGATCATGCACCAGTACTACATTGATGTCATAGGATGTATAGTATATACTCTTTGATACCTATATATGAAGCCTATGCTACCCACCTTTCCTTGTCTCATAAAGAGACTTGTATGACGTGGAACACATTTTAAATTATAACAAATGTTGTTATACAGTATGTGTACTGTAATTATAACAAATGTTATTATACAGTATGTGTACTGTAATTATAACAAATGTTCTCTATGCTGCTTCTGAGTTAAGAGTGGCCATGTATTTCTATGTGCATTAACTCATTGTTGTATAAGTCATGACGTTATTGCTTCTACATGCTTTTGATCATGTGTATGTGTGCCTTTGCGTTTATCGATTATCTCTGCTTGCCTATGTATGTGAGCCCGAATGTGAACATGAGTGTATGGGTGGAGTGGAGTGGAGGCGTATGCGTGAGTTCACATATGTGAGTGGGAAGCGAGGCAGAGAGAGATGTAGGCTGCCAATGTTGTGACCCACAAGGTTGCATAACACCCACTAGACAGAGGATGAGATGGAAGCGCTCTCACCATCACATCACTGAGCCAGCCAATCAGGAGGAGGCAGCTTGCTGGCTGAGGAGCCCTGAGCTCAGAATCCCTGGGAATGGGATGCTTTATTTTCAGCCTAGAAAAACGCCTCAATAGATAGCCTCAATAGCAAATCAGCTAGGCCCACTTTTTGTGTTAGGATCTATCCAATCCTACACATTTTAACCAATCAAATGATTGCTGTAATTACATGTAGCCATATAAGGAGGAGTACGGACACTGACGTGGTTGTCATTATATAAGATCAGGAAAATGTCCATTGTTAGACCGACACAAGGTAATGCATTAAGAGATCAGAGATCATGTCAGTCCTTGCCTCTGACCCCGGCTCCTGATAATGTGGAGACAAATTCAGAACATGACCTTCCTCCTCTGCCAGGTCTGTCTCTGTCTCTTTACCCACACTTCATATGCCCCCTTTTCTCCGGTGACCTGTAACAGCGGGTCTGTTGCTCTGTATCTCTACATTCCTAGAATACACAGCCTTCCCTACCACCCCCCATCATCCTTACTGCTTTGCCCCCTCCAGCCCTCCCCTCCAGTTCCTGGACAGAACTCACTCTCTCAGGCCACAGAGAAGAAGAGCCCCTTTGTCCACCTACTCCCTCACCAGCCAGAGTGGGAACATCACAGAGAATGACAAAGAGAATCCCTCATGATCCCACCATGACATAATTATTAGTGGTCGCTGACTGTAAAAAACAAAGACAGGGAAATACACTATATATACAAAAGTATGTGGACACCCCTTCAAATTAGTGGATTCTGCTATTTCAGCCACACCCATTGCTGACAGGGGTATAAAATCGAGCACACAGCCATGCAATCCCATAGACAAACATTGGCAGTAGAATGGCCTTACTGAAGAGCTCAGTGACTTTCAACGTGGCACCATCATAGGATGCCACCTTTCCAACAACTCAGTTCGTCAGATGTCTGCCCTGCTGAGCTGCCCCGGTCAACTGTAAGTGCTGTTATTGTGAAGTGGAAACATCTAAGAGCAACAACTGCTCAGCTGAGAAGTGGTAGGCCACACAAGCTCACAGAACGGGACTGCCGAGTGCTGAAGCACGTAGCGCGAAAAGATCGTCTGTCCTCGGTTGCAACACTCACTACCGAGTTCCAAACTGCCTCTGTAAGCAACGTCAGCACAAGAACTGTTCGTCGGGAGCTTCATGAGATGGGTTTCCATGGCCGAGCAGCCGCACATAAGCCTAAAATCACCATGCGCAATGCCAAGCGTCATCTGGAGTGGTGTAAAGCTCGCCGCAATTGGACTCTGGAGCAGTGGAAACACGTTCTCTGGAGTGATGAATCACGCTTCACGATCTGGCAATCCGACGGACAAATCTGGGTTTGGCGGATGCCAGAAGAACACTACCTGCCCCGATGTATAGTGCCAACTGTAAAGTTTGGTGGAGCAGGAATAATGGTCTGGGGCTGTTTTTCATTGTTCGGGCTCTTAGTTCCAGTGAAGGGAAATCTTAACGCTACAGCATACAATTACATTTTAGATGATTCTGTACTTCCAACTTTGTGCCAACAGTTTGGGGAAGGCCCTTTCATGTTTCAGCATGACAATGCCCCCGTGCATAAAGCGAGGTCCATACAGAAATGGTTTGTTGAGATCATGGTGGAAGAACTTGACTGGCCTGCACAGAGCCCTGACCTCAAGCCCATCGAACACCTTTGGGATGAATTGGAACGCCGACTGTGAACCAGGCCTAATCACCCAACATCAGTGCCCGACCTCACTAATGCTCTTGTGGCTGAATGGAAGCAAGTCCCCGCAGCAATGTTCCAACATCTAGTGGAAAGCCTTCCCAGAAGAGTGGAGGATGTTATAACAGCAAAGGGGGGACCAACTCCATATTAATGCTCATGATTTTGGAATGATGTTTGACGAGCATGTGTCCACATACTTTTGGTCATGTAGTGTACATAAGACAGTCAGTGTTTTCTTGCCAGTGATCCCTCTACTGGTGGCATCATTGAAAAAATGTTAATGCACTGTGGCAGTTTGAGCAGAACGTGTACTAACTATAGAGAATTATTCAGGACTGTGTCTCATCAAAGCATAGGTCAGCCTTCCCTGCCTGCCTGTGTTTGTCTGACTGTTGACTGTGTATCTGTATGACTGTGCAACAACAGAGCCTCAGAACATATTTTTTAACTGTGTAAATGCCTTGAAGGCTGAAGCCCCTGGACATTGAGTTCATGAAGCGTCTCCATGACAAAGTCAACGTGATCCCTCTCATCGCCAAGGCAGACACTCTGACACCTGAGGAATGCCAGCTGTTCAAGAAACAGGTGTGTGTGTGTTCATTATTTGTGTTTGCACAAACACAACATGTGTACCGGTATGTGTGTGGCAATTACTCATGTCATTTTCACCTTCAACTCAGATCATGAAGGAAATCCAAGAACACAAGATCAAGATCTACGAGTTTCCCGACACAGAGGACGATGAGGACAGCAAGCTCATCCGTAAGATCAAGGTAGTGTACAAAGAGAGTGAGAGAGACTGATACACTCAATGGTATCAGCCCACACTAGTCCCTATCTGTCATTGTTTATTCCTGTCAGTTTGATTATCTAATAGGTTGTCGATACTGTACAGGCTCACTGATTAACTGTCACTTCTCCCTCTGTCTCCCTGTGTGGCAGGAGCGGATGCCTCTGGCAGTGGTTGGCAGCAATGTGGTGATCGAAGTGAATGGCAAGAAGGTCAGAGGTCGTCAGTACCCATGGGGCGTGGCAGAAGGTAGGTTCAGCATGGGCCTGGCTGGGTTCTCTGTTCTCTGTCTGAGATGAGACAGTGGCATGGTATTGTCTGTGGGTTGTTGTTCTGGAGAATGTTATTTATTAATGTCACTCACTGTGCCATGCAAGTGGATGAAGCACGGAAGTGTGGAGACCTAGTGTAGTAGGGAAAATGTGCATGGCCTCCCAGGAAACACACCCCAGATAGTGTGTCTGACAGGGATTCTGGAAAAGGGGGACAGGGTTCTTCTACTAGGGTATCATGGTCTCTCTGGCAGTAAACACTGTACTGTACCACCCCAGGGACTTCAGAGAGAGAGACTGTGTCACCCCTTTTTTCACCATTGGCCACAATGAATCGTTGTTGTTCTCCACTTGATTTTATTTTGTTTAAGTCCCCTGAAATACATTTTTATTTTATTTTGTTTAAGTCCCCTGAAATACATTTTTATTTTATTTTCAAGTGTTGCTCTGTGGTTGACCGTTTATCAGTCTTTCACTTTTTCATTCTTTCTTTTCTCTTTTTTCTTTCTGTCTATTCTTTTCCATGACTGACAGAGGGCATTTTTGGTAAACAAAACCATCTCTTACATTTGATACCACTCTCCCTCAGGCTTTCCTCCCCTCTTTACCTTTTTGTTGCTGTGGCATTAGGTTGATGGTCAAAGTGGAGCTCTTACTAATTGAGAAACCTATAGGATGTTCAGTGCTGACGCTTCTCCTAGAATAGAGCAACATCACCCTCTAACTCATGTTTATAGGTGCCTGATTATCTTAAAGGGATACTTTGGGATTTTGGCAATGAGACCCTTTATCTACTTCTCCTGAGTCAGATGAACTTGTGGATACCATTTTTATGTCTCTGTGTCCAGTATGTGGCCATTGTGTGGCCACATACTGGACTAACGTTAGCACAATGGCTAGAAGTCTATGGCTAGAAGTCTACTGGACTAACGTTAGCACAATGGCTAGAAGTCTATGGCTAGAAGTCTACTGGACTAACGTTAGCACAATGGCTAGAAGTCTATGGATAGAAGTCTACTGGACTAACGTTAGCACAATGGCTAGAAGTCTATGGATAGAAGTCTACTGGACTAACGTTAGCACAATGGCTAGAAGTCTATGGATAGAAGTCTACTGGACTAACGTTAGCACAATGGCTAGAAGTCTATGGATAGAAGTCTACTGGACTAACGTTAGCACAATGGCTAGAAGTCTATGGGTATCTACTAACATGCTAGCAGATACCCATAGACTTCCAGCCATTGTGCTAATGCTAGTTAGCATTGGCTTGCAAAACTACCTCTAACCTTCTTCATACTGGACACAGAGACATAAAAATGGTATCCACAAGTTCATCTGACTCAGGAGAAGTAGATAAAGGGCCTCATTGCCAAAATCCCAAAGTATCCCTTTAATATTAAAAGTCATACCTTTTCCAGAACTGCATGATCTACCTTTATTTGTTTTAGCCATCATTTGGCCACTCATAAACACTCAATTGTAGACCTGTTAAGAGATACACTACCGTTCAAAAGTTTTGGGTCACTTAGAAATGTCATTGTTTTTGAAAGAAAAGCAATTTTTTTGTCCATTAAAATAACATCAAACTGATCAGAAATACAGTGTAGACATTGTTAATGTAGTAAATGGATATCTACATAGGCGTACAGAGGCCCATTATCAGCAACCATCAGTCCTGTGTTCCAATGGCACGTTGTGTTTGCTAATCCAAGTTTATCATTTTAAAAGGCTAATTGATCATTAGAAAACCCTTTTGCAATTATGTTAGCACAGCTGAAAACTGTTGTGCTGATTAAAGAAGCAATAAAACTGGCCTTCTTGAGACTAGTTGAGTATCTGGAGCATCAGCAGTTGTGGGTTCGATTACAGAATCAAAATGGCCAGAAACAAATAACTTTCTTCTGAAACTCGTTAGTCTATTCTTGTTCTGAGAAATGAAGGCTATTCCATGCGAGAAGTTGGCAAGAAACTGAAGATCTCGTACAACGCTGTGTACTACTCCCTTCATAGAACAGTGCAAACTGGCTCTAACCAGAATAGAAAGAGGAGTGGGATGCCCCGGTGCACAACTGAGCAAGAGGACAAATACATTAGTGTCTAGTTTGAGAAACAGACACCTTACAGGTCCTCAACTGGCAGCTTCATTAAATAGTACCCGCAAAACACCAGTCTCAACGTCAACAGTGAAGAGGCGACTCCGGGATGCTGACCTTCTAGGCAGAGTTGCAAAGAAAAAGCCATATCTCAGACTGGCCAATTAAAATAAAAGATTAAGATGGGCAAAAGAACACAGACACTGGACAGAGGACGATTGGAAAAAAGTGTTATGGACAGACAAATCGAAGTTTGAGGTGTTCGGATCACAAAGAATAACATTTGTGAGACGCAGACCAAATGAAAAGATGCTGGAGGAGTGCTTGATGCCATCTGTCAACCATGGTGGAGGCAATGTGATGGTCTGGGGGTGCTTTGGTGGTGGTAAAGTGGGAGATTTGTACAGGGTAAAAGGGATCTTGAAGAAGGAAGGCTATCACTCCATTTTGCAATGCCATGCCATACCCTGTGGACGGGTATTTTCTCCTATTTTTCCTCCTACAACAGGACAATGACCCAAAGCACAGATCCAAACTATGCAAGAACTATTTAGGGAAGAAGCAGTCAGCTGGTATTCTGTCTATAATGGTATGGCCAGCACAGTCACCGGATCTCAACCCTATTGAGCTGTTGTGGGAGCAGCTTGACCGTATGGTACGTAAGTAGTGCCCATCAAGCCAATCCAACTTGTGGGAGGTGCTTCAGGAAGCATGGGGTGAAATCTCTTCAGATTACCTCAACAAATTGACAACTAGAATGCCAAAGGTCTGCAAGGCTGTAATTGCTGCAAATGGAGGATTCTTTGACGAAAGCAAAGTTTGAAGGACACAATTATTATTTCTATTAAAAATCATTATTTCTAACCTTGTCAATGACTACATTTCCTATTCATTTTGCTATATTTCCTATTCAAACTCATTTCATGTATGTTTTCATGGAAAACAAGTTCATTTCTAAGTGACCCCAAACTTTTGAACGGTAGTGTACATTCGCACAAACTTATTGTATACATAATATGTGAACATATACATATTTTGCATGCATGCTCTACAAACATTAACTTACGTATATATACTCTGTTGCTCTAAATCCTTGCACCATGATGCTGTTTGCTGGCACTCCCTCCCTGTTGTTCCCACAGGGGGTTGATCACACATACGCCATTGTATATTGATTCATGGAGCATTTTACAATAAGTTCCTTCCTGGTCACACATACTCCATTGTATATTGATTCATAGAGCATTTTACAATAAGTTCCTTGTCATGGGATAAGACATTTTTCACTGTTCTTGGCTCATTCAATGGAAATCTCCATGCAGGTATCATAATCTAACAATCATTAGTAGCTAAAGCACTCGGGCTTAAAACTCCTGATGGGCAGCTGACCCGATGCAAGAGCAGTAATCTTGCTCTCAATGTTGCTCTGTTGTTGTTTTAACGTCAGAGCACTGAAAAAAGTGAGGAGGCAACAACCATTCATTCCAGCGTACATCAGGAGTTTTCAGCCAATCGGCCGAGGGTGTATCTTTCCATTAGAGCTACAACCCTGCTTTATTGTGTCCCTATGACCCTGTGACCCCACCTCAACCAAACCCTCCTCCTCTCCTGTCCCATCACTGAGGCTGGCCCGCCCTGCCAGCCCTCATTCCCCCTCATGTAACCCCTCGTTCAGTAGACAGTCAGGGTGGACAGACACGGGTTACGGGGGTCACCTGGGCAGGACCTGGGCACCTGTGTGCCCTCCCCTCCCTCCCGTCAGAAGTCACTCAGGTAGGTGACAGCAGGGGCTCTATGCATGCACCTCACGGGTAAGGTGACCACCTCCTCGTCCTCTTCCTGAGATCCACAGCTGACAGCGTGATGCACGTTAGGCTTAGCCCCAGATAAGGTGGGGCCTGAGGGAGAGGAGCTATGTAGTAAAGGAGCCATGTTGATCAAGAGAGAGGAGAAATCCACATCCTCAGCAGCAGCACAGTGTCTCTGCGGTCCTTTTCCAGAATCCCATGTGATCTTTTAACCATGTATGTGTTTGACCAGAGAGACTGACTGGCTATCTAATCAGCTGAAATGTATGGCTTAGAGCAGTGGTCTGTCTGGTCCGTGACATGTTTGTCTGTCGGTCTGTTGACTACTCTATGTACTGTATACTACTGAATGTGTGTGTTTGAGCAGTGGTCCAGTGAAATGTGTCTCTGTCTTAGTGATAGTTTTAACCGTGTCTTTGTGTAAACAATAATGTGTCTGCTCAGTGAACAGTCTGACTGTCTGAGCATGGGTCATTTTGGCCAATGACTTTGTGAGTTGACTGTGTCTGTGTGTTTGACTACCTAACAGTCTCATCAGGTAATTACCTGTGATAAGAGTGTAGACTAGACTAGCTGAGCGACCCTGTGCTTTTTGGCTCCGTGAGTAGAAATTGTCCCTTTGATCCGAGAGCCTTGGTAATGTTGTTGTACCCCAATTACTGGGAATTCTGGGAACTGGTGTGTATTCTACCAGTACACAATAGACACAATAATGATGGATGGCGATGTGGTGAGATATATCTCTGTGGGTCTCTGACATCTCTCTCTCTCTTCCTGTTTCAGTGGAGAACGGGGAGCACTGTGACTTCACTGTCTTACGGAACATGCTGATCAGGTGAGAAACAGAGGATACATGTCAATCTTTTTATTCATCCATTATTGTCAAAGTGATTATACCAAAGTATTTACAGTGATATAATTATTAGAGACATAACTTCCCCAATTCTCTCCTGTAGGACCCATATGCAAGATCTGAAGGATGTGACCAACAACGTCCACTATGAGAACTACCGCAGCAAAAAGCTTGCTGCCGTAACTTGCAATGGAGGAGTGGACACCAGCAAGACCAAGAACCAAATGACCAGGTAGGAGAGATACATTAATGATCAGAGGAAATACCACAGATCTGATATGTTGAATAGTAATCAGACAGACTGAGAAATAATCTAAAATATGCTGTAAAGCTTATTTCATAGATTAACCTGACATTTGAGTCATTGTCATACTGTCATTAAGCGACAGTGACAAGACTGTATTAGTTGTGATGTGCTTCAGTAATCACTGGTCACTGTTAGTGATTCTTGATGTTTGGTCCCTCACCTTTGACCTGTAGGAGCCCCCTGGCCCAGATGGAGGAGGAGCGGAGGGAACATGTCATGAAGATGAAGAAGATGGAAACAGAGATGGAGCAAGTGTTCGAGATGAAGGTCAAGGAGAAGAAACAGAAACTGAAGGACTCTGAGGCAGAGGTGTGTGTATGTGTGTGTGGGCATGTGGACCAATAGGGAGACATAAGGACAGGAGATGTAGAGAGCCTCAGTCCATTTGGGTGCGCATCTGTGTCTGTTTTATTCACGAGTAACACATTTGCCACCCTTCTCAGCTGGAGCGACGCCATGAGCAGATGAAAAAGAACTTGGAGGCTCAGTATAAGGAACTGGAGGAGAAGAGGCGCCACTATGAGGAGGAAAGGTCAAACTGGGAGGCACAGCAACGTATACTGGAGCAGCAGAAACTTGATGCTTCTAAGTGAGTGGCTGAAATATTTACTCATCCTTGCTCTTTTTCTCTCAGACAAACATATAGTACGTTTTGTCTATTTCTCTCAATGTAATGCAACTCTGAAATATTAAATATAATATTCAATAATTCCCTTTTCTCTTTGTCTCTTTTTACAGGACCATGGAAAAGAACAAAAAGAAAGGAAAAATATTTTAAGAGTTGAACCTATTCCTCCAATTAAATATTGCAAACTCGTTTTTACATCCCTTTTGATGCTCACACAATCTATGACCCTCAAACCAAATACACTACACACACGCGCAAATAAGCCGTGTTCACACTGTACTTAGCCCAGGGCTAAGAGAGTGTTCACGCTTGCACATTCTAAAGTGGGTTAGCACCAACCCAGGGCTAGCTGACCCTATTGTACTATTTAGACATTCCATACCAACATTCCAAATGTGTGCTCCTCTCTTACATGCAGTACATGTCATACATGGACCTCACACATGCTTCTCACTCTCATTCAGTACATACAACACACCCCAATTTCACACTCATACACCACTATACACGCACACAGCCACATCCCTCTTTTGGGTGGTCTGCCAAAACCGTAACCTTTTATGCCTATTCTTGACAAGGAGGAAATGACGTCCCTCTGATCTTTGGAGTTTTACACATGGCAGGCACCATGCATAGCCATCCTTTATACGAGTGTACTACTGTCTGTTCTCTAGTCTAGCTTGCTCGCCTATTTCTTCCAGCAGAGGCAGCTCAAGACCATTCACAAGCACACTCCATTGTGACATATGTAAACGCAATTACATACACTCTGACAGTCCCTGAGCACCTGGGACATGTGCATGTTAAACACACACTTGTAGGTGATTATTAAGGGTTTGAGTCAGGTGGGAGTGTACAAGAAACAGGAAAATAATTGTGTGGAATAATGACAGTGAAAAGCTAAGTCGAGATGAAAAAGCCAGGTTCAGAAAAGGGGGTGACCTTCTCAAATGTGTGTGTACTTGTGTGTGTGTTGGTGTCTGTGTGTGTGCACGTGCCTGTGTGTGTATAGCTGTAAACCATGTGTTTGTGTCTTCTGTTTTACTAATAGAAGACACATTTAACGGTTAAACAGTAACATTGTCAGTGTCATAGCAACATTCTCTGGATACTGAAGCAGATAATTATGTCCCTATTATATAGATGATGTTACACAAATCATATGGGTGTCTAAAACAATGATAACCCTGATTATGGCAATGTCTTATATTGTGACGTGATGGATTTTGTGGAAGCCCTAAACCTAAAGCCCTATCTATCCCTTGTCCTCTCTCCCTGTCTCGTCCCCTGTTCTAAAGACTGTGCCGAGAGCTCTATAAGCATGGGTTTGTCCCAAACGCGTGGTGAGACTCTGACAGAGTCACACTGTGTGGTACCTCTAAACCCTTACCTCTCTGAGGTTTGTCACGTTTTATTTTAATATATAATGTATGTATGGTTGGACAACTAAGATCCCTTGAACCCAGTAGGATCATTAAGTGGTTCAACATTCATTATTTTAGTATAGTCTTGATTTTACTAACCTCTAGAATCTTAAAAGATGCACTTGAAGACATGCAAAAGGGACACAGAAAATACACAGATACATCCAACACGCATCTAACCCCTGTCATTTTGTTCTGGTTCACATACATAATGGAAATGACTGTAAATTGTAATATACTTCACAACTGAACACAAACTCAAAATCCCAGAAGACAACCTCTGACCCAACCTACACTGCCTTCACGAGCCACACACTCACACACACACACAATATGACTCTATGCCAAGTGTATACTTTCTCAGGACCAGTCTCTTGTTGCAGGTCTCTGAGTTGTAATAGTCCATGGTCTGAGAAGTCTTAAAGGCTCTGTTGCAGGTCTCTGAGGTGTAATAGTCCATGGTCTGAGAAGTCTTAAAGGCTCTGTTGAGCTAAGGTCTGAGACAAACCTTTCCTAAATCGTTCTTTAACCACTCCCCTATCCAACCGTGTTAAAGGTAGTCATAACTTTAGGAGTTGTTGTTTTTGTTATTGTTTTTTTTTAAATATATGTACGCTGTTTTCAGCTTTATTCTGTTCTTCATTTTATTATCATCTGTTCTCTCTATCTAACTGTACATTATTAATATTAAAGATGAGGTCATGCTTAAGTGAAACGTTTCCTCTCCTTTTATTTAAGCAGTGGATTCTCACATACAGTACATTTACACACATAAAAACATGCATGTGCATCTTAACACACGCCTATCAATTCCATATATTGCTAAATAGTAATTGCTGCATTCAAAGTGATAAACATTTCAGTCTCTTACTGTTAAAAAGTGTTATAGGAAATAGAGTAGTCTTCATGGAGCTTGTGACGCTTGAGTCATGATGACGAGGATGTCAAGGATAACTGCTACCCTCAATGCCTCTACCTGTGGCCACAGCTGCTGGCTGCTTAAGCCGGTTGAAGGCTTTCTGTACCCACGGCTCACTCGACTGGAAGCAAATCTCTTTCCCCTTGACAGTTTTGACCCTGTAGTAGAGAAATAATGGTACAAAGAAAAGGAGAAAAATCAGATTGGTACTAATCCTCAAAAAGAAAGGTGGACCAAGGCACTCTTCATATAATTAATTAAAATGCCTTTATTTGTATGGCATGTTCAATGTAAACAAAGTTTAAAAACTCTGAGGCGTTTCGGCTGCATGGCCTTCGTCAGGGAGTACTATTCCTTTTATGACTGTTGCAAGTCAGTGAAAGTCACCAGTTCTTTAGTCTTCCATAATTGAGACAATGCTTTGGCCTCAAACTAAGCATTTGTGCTGTTGGACTGTGGCATCAGTGGAAGAAGAACAAACACTTACACAAATGCTGTTAAGGGGCAGCCACTGTGAGTCTTCTTGATGGAGTCAATCTTATTGAAGGGCACTCTCACTTTGAAGAAGCTGAAACAGCAGCTGTCAGGTGATGTCTGCAGTCCAAGAGCTGTGGGGGGATAAGATGGGTCAATTAGAACATCCTTATGACTATTTCCTAGCATAAGCCATAAGGCAACCAAGCCAAGATAAGCATGACAATATCTTACAGGTATATAATCAAGATCATGAAAGGATAACCTATCCAAGTGCCCCTATGAAGAGGGCATATAAGCACCCACTGGGGTTACATCCTTCTGTTAATGCACAGTCCTTATGAAAACGTAATGAACTTACGGATAGCATAGGAGTGGAACACTGTCAGCAGCAATAACCCAAGAGCCAAGCAGGTAGTCTTCATGATGGTTTGAGATGTGTCGAAGGTCTGGCTTTTGCCCTGTTGTTGTCTCGGTTCCTCTGTAGTCTGAGTCCATAAGGGTTACATCTCCCCATATAAATACTGTCCAGATGCATGGTGGAACTTCCAGAATATTTCGTTGAAGAGTGGGTGCCATTACAAACTACCATTACAATCTCAAAATGTCCCTACACCCCCATAGCATGCCAAGTTAACCACTACTGATCAATGTCTATAGTCTTTATATTCACTTCCTTTTAGAGAGGTAGGGGACTCTATAAATATGATGGTGTGAAGATAAGATTCAATGCAGTGCCACCACAGTGCTTACCGCTTCTCTTCAGCAACCCTCTGTCAGTGGAAAGCGGATGACGAATCATCACAAGAAGTGGATCAAGCGGTAATGGGTCATACTGTATGACAGAAAAGTTCTGCTAAAAATATATTTCCCTCCTACTGTATTTGATCAGCTATTTGAAACCATGCCATCATCAAACAACATCCATTCAGCAGTCCTGGAAGAAGCTGAATCTTCAGATGTGTGACTTTGTATGTTGTTCTCTTGTATTATTTAGTTGTAATAGATCAAATATGGCTATACAATCACAATTACCGCAAGCCTTAAAGCGGCAATCAGCAGTTAAAACAATAACATGGATGGGGTTGGAGAAATGTAACCACTCTCAAATTCATAGACAGAGCTATGTATTTATGCAAGGACTTGACCGTCCATGATATCAAAATTATAGTTTTAACCATGTTTTGAGGCTATATAGGGTTTGTTTACATTCACTTCGTTTACAAACATTGGAGTAAAACACGCTTATATTTTGGTTTCTGATGGGGTAAGACAGTTGAACTAAGCTACATATCATTATAAGTCCAAAAATGGATGTAGTAACTGCAGATTGTCACTTTAACTGAATTAATTGAAACAAAGTATTCACACCCCTTGACTTTTTCCACATTTTGTTGTGTTACAGCCTGAATTTAAAATGAATCAAATGTAGTTTTTTTTGTCACTGGCCTACACACAATACCCCATAATGTCAAAGTGGAATTGTGTTTATTTTTTATTTTTACTAATTAATAAAAAATGAAAAGCTGAAATGTCTTGAGTCAATAAATAAGTCAACCCATACAATTATCTGTAAGGTCCCTCAGTTGAGCAGTGCATTTCAAACACAGATTCAACCACAAAGACCAAGGAGGTTTTCCAATGCCTCGCAAAGAAGGGTACCTATAGGTAGATTTTTTTTTAAAACATTTTAAAAAATAAAAATAAAACATTGAATATCCCTTTGAGCATGGTGAAGTTATTAATTACATTTTGGATGGTGTATCAATACACCCAGTCACTTCAAAGATACAGGTGTCCTTCCTAACTCAGTTGCCAGAGAGGAAGGAAACTGCTCAGGGATTTCACAACGAGGCCAATGGTGATTTTAAAACAGTTACGGCTGTGATAGGAGATCACAGCCGAAACTGTAGGTAATGTTTCAGGAGCGCTCCCTCACCTTTTTCAATTTGAGAATACATGGAACTGGTAAAACTATTTCTGGAAAATGTATTCTGATACATTCTAAATAAATTATATTTAATTACCATGAAAAACCATAGAATGATAAACCAAATAAATATGTAGGTTATAGCAGCCTAGAGGTAGGTAAATGGTGGTTTCTTCCCTGTCTTCTCTCTGGCAGTGGCGAGAATGATGAAGATCTGTAGGCTACGTGTGCACTGCAGAGGCCCGTTGGAGGCTTGACAACTTTGGCCAATCAGAACATTTAAAAAATATATATGAATTTCACCGTGTCTGCCTTAATGTTCATAAAACTCCAGCGACCCCCTCTTACACAGAGGAACCCAGAGTGAGATGTGACCACTTGGTTACAGCGACACCGTTCTACCGAGGACATCCAAACCAGAATGGCCACCGCAAAGCCCAAGGAAGCTGACCCTCCCTGGAAGTTGCTGTAGACCTGTTTGGGATATTTAGCTTATATTGGCTATTGGTTGAGACGCAGGGCCCGTTCTAGCTTGGTATGTCAAGGTGGGAAATTGGAAATATGAATTGGGCCAAGTTGGAGGTAATAATGCATTTAGGTTATAGTTTATTGAGATGCATGAATACACCACACCAAAAGCTTGATTTTATGGCTGTGTTAAAACAAATTATTTCCTGCAATTCTATGTAGTAATGACTTATGTTCACTACTTGGTCAATTGATTTGATGATTTAATCTATGTAAATACATTTTATGAATTGATAGTTCACCTCTCTGTTTTCTTTTATTCTGTAATAGGGTATATTGTAACCATGTGTTAAAGCTAATCAAATCATAGTTTATGTATGATACAGTGTAGTGCGGTAGTGGTGCGTGGGTAAAATCACTGGGGAAGCCCAGTGGTTTTTGCCCTAGCACTACACAGCTGATTCAAATAATCAAAGCTTGATGATGAGTTGGTTATTTGAATCAGCTGTGTAGTGCTAGGGGAAAAAACTAAACGTGCACCCAGGGGGGCCCAGGACCAAATTTGGGAAACCCTGGATAGCATAGTAGGTCTATAACTTTACTGTTCAACCAAAAACACCTCCTAATTTCTAATAAGATTATAATAGTTTGTTAACACCATCTGCTCTAATTCGCTCACGAAACAGTAATTCAAAAATATGTAAATGCTTAGGCTATTTACATGAAACTGATTGATATTAATCAAATGATTTGTATGCAGATGCAGTTTCACCGGTAAAACGTGAATAATTATCATTCACGATTGACAGTGATGATGGCCTATTTTGAAATTAGGTATGTTTTAGGGTATTAAAAAGATAACATATTTTTTATACAATATGTGTGGACATAGGCAGACGTTGCAATTGGAGAATGCTTTTTATGCATATTCTATAACAGGGCTCTCCAACCCTGTTCCTGAAGAGCTACCATCCTATAGGTTTTCATTCCAACCCTAATCTAGCTCACCATTCTAATAATTAGCTAGTTTATAAGATTAATCAGGTTAGTTACAACTGCGGTTGGAGTGAAACTCTACAGGAAGGTAGCTCTCCAGGAACAGGTTCGGAGAGCCCTGCAATGATAGGCTATTCAATAGGCGGTACAAGCGTTGATTGAGGAAATTATGACGTAAGGGAAAAAAAATGTGCGCTCCCTCACCTAAAAAAAATAGCACTACACCCCTGCTGAGGATGGATCAAAAACGTTGTAGTTACTCCACAATACTAACCTAATTGACAGAGTGAAAAGTAGGAAGCCTGTACAGAATAAAAATATTCCAAAACATGCATTCTGTTTGCAACAAGGCACTGAAGTAATACTGCAAAAAATGTGGCAAAGCAATATACTTTTGTTCTGAATACAAAGTGTTATGTTAGAATAGCGGTGGCTGCATCATGTTATGGGTATGCTTGTAATCTTTAAGAACTGGGGAGTTTTCCAAGATTAAATAGAAACTGAATAGAGCTAAGCACAGGCAAAATCCTATAGGAAAACCTGGTTCAGTCTGCTTTCCAACAGACACTGGGAGATGAATTCACCTTTCAACAGGACAATAACCTAAAACATAAGGCCAAATCTATACTGGAGTTGCTTACCAAGAAGACAGTGAATGTTCCTGAGTGACCGGGTTACAGTTTTTACTTAAATCTACTTGAAAATCTATGGCAAGACCTGAAAATGGTTGTCTAGCAATGATCAACAACCAATTTGAAAAGAATAATGGGCAAATGTTGCACAATCCAGGTGTGGAAAGCTCTTAGAGACGTACCCAGAAAGACTCGCAGCTGTAATTGCTGCCAAAGGTGCTTCTACAAAGTATTGACTCAGGGGTGTGAATACTTATGTCAATTAGATATTTCATTTTCATTTTCAATAACTTTGCAAAAATGTTATCAATTCTGAATTCAGGCTGTAACACAACAAAACGTGGAATAAGTCAAGGGGTGTGAATACTTTCTGAAGGCACTGTATATGCATAGTCAAAGTAGGTCTACTGTATGACAATGATTTTAATTTTGTCAAATGATACCCATGACGTTAGGAAACCACCAAGCATGTTCTCTATTATTTGTCTTTTTTTGGGGGGGGCGGGGTGTGTGAAAAGGTCAGCGTAGGACATTGTTTTCCTCTTTTGCAAAAGTCTGTGGTGTGGAGCTATCTGTGTCAAGTGGAGATGGTACAGACAGCAGATCTTATCAGATATTTTCACATGCATACAGTAGGATTTTCTACAAAGTTCTTATCAGGCTGACTCACACACTCAAACACATTTTCAACCCTCACCAATTTCCACAGACAGTTCATCATTGATATTCTGCAATAATGCGAAGGAGATAATTCTAGACCTCACATATATGTTCAATAAATGTTAAATAAATGTAGAGAATGTGTTTTGTTTTGGACTTGTATTAGGTTTTGGTTGTAAATTGCAATTAGACTAAATTTACAACCCAGTGTAGACTGCAAAATGTTGATGACAATGACTCACATTATCAACTAATTAAGTTAGTTAGATAGATTAGATATGAATTTATGGAAGTTCATCATCTATTTCATCATCTAAGATACTTACAGTAATTTTCCACCTCTCCTTGTCCCAGTCTGTAATCCCCAGATTATTACCATCATTCCTGTTGACAAGAACTCTAAGGCTTCATACCACAATGACTACAACCCTGTAAAGTAAAGTAATTTGAAAGGCTGGTTATGGCACACATCAACTCCATCACTCCAGACACCATAGACCCACTCCAATTTGCATACCGCCCCAACTGATCCATAGACAATGCAATCTCAATTTCCCTCCACACTGCCCTCACCCACCTAGAGAAAATGAATACCTATGTGAGAATGGTGTTCTTTGACTACAGCTCAGCGTACAACACCATTGTCCCCTCCAAGCTCTTCACCAAGCTTAGGACCCTAGGACTGAACACCTTCAACTGCAACTGGATCCTGGACTTCCTGACGGGCCCACCCCAGGTGGTGAGGGTAGGCAACATCACCTCTGCCACGCTGACACTCAGCACGGGGGCCCATAGGGGTGTGTGTTTAGTCCCCTCCTGTACTCCCTGTTCACCCACCACTCTGTGGCCACACACGACTCCAACACCATCATCAAGTTTGGGATACAGGAAATGGGGGGGGGGCGAGTACACCCCCATCCACATCAACGGGGCTGCAGTGGAGCGGGTTGAGAGCTTTAGCCCAGAACATCTCTACTCCCAAGCTAAAAGACTACTAAATAGCTAACATAATGGCTACACAGACTATTTGAGTTGACCCTTGTATTTTATTTTTTCACTGTCTCTAGGAACACTCACAGGACTCTACACACATACGGACACGGACACTCCAACACACACATAACATGCATACACATTTATATTGACTCTACACACATACACGCACACACACTCACATACAATAATAATTTATTCTGCTGCAACTCTGTTTATCATATATCCTGATGCCTAGTCACCTTACCCCTATACATATCTACCTCTATCACTCCAGTATCCCTGCACATTTTAAATATGGTATTGGAACTTTATTAACTTTATTTATTGTGTGGGTTTTTTCTACCTTACGTTATTTTTAGTGCTACATTGATATTTATTACTGCATTTTGGGGTTTGGAGCTTGCAAGAACGGCATTTCACTGTACTTGTGCACGTGACATTAAAACTTGAAACTTGATCTACCGTAAACACAAGAATAAAAGTCTTGCGCGCTCAGTTATGGTAGTTATGGTAATTTCTTCACGCACCACTGACGCACATCCAAAGACCCGCTGAAATTCAAAGTGTAGTTTGAAAGGCTTCAAATAAACAAAGTCGTTTGAATCTTCTCCGAAGTTTATGCCCAGTCGTGACTTGTTTGCTTGACCTAAACGGACACTTCTGTTGAGGTAAGCGGATGTTATATCCGACACATTTTAGGTAACTAGCTAAAAGTATGTTCAGCTAACGCGTTACTTAGCCAGCTAGCAGCAGTAACATTAACATTTAGCTATTTGCAGGCACCAGAGACCAGTTAGCTTGTAGCTAACCAGCTGAGTTAACGTAACAGAACCTGCCGAGTAAATCAATTAGCTAAGTTGCATAAATGATAGTTAGGCGCTTCATTTGGTGTTTATTTTACAGGAAGATCATGGATGGGGAATTTCGAAGTGGGTTGTCGACAGCTTTGAAGAGACATAGAGACCCTTTGTCTGACACAGAGGACAATGTCCACTCATCGTCGTCTGGTGAGTGTGTCAACTACATTGTGTCTGTGTGCGTGCGCATGAGTGCTTGTTAAACCCCCTAAGGTAGATGTCCGAGCCCCCGCGAAAATCTAATTAGCATAATACAAAAATCCCTATAAAAGTCCGTCAGTTTAAAATGGAGATATCGGTTGTTCTTTTGCATTGGATGCGTCTCAATCCACCGCATCCGCCTATGTAACACTTCCGCATTTGCGGTGAAAGGTGACAGAGCGAGAATGGTGTTTTTCAGACCATGAGACATCATTTTTGGGGGGCGGGACTATCTTTTGTTCCATGTAGTGAATGTTATTCAATGCGTTTGTATGGGCTAAAAGCAGTAAGGCCAAATACAATTTTTCATAAAATGTTATTTTATTTATTTTTGCTACTTCAAGGGGTGTTAAAATTCAAAATCAAATAGCAAAATGATATTTGGTATTACCTTTAAACAATTCTATATAGCTTAGTAGAACCCCACCCTTCCCTGGCTTAGACTCTTATTAAAGGCTTGAACAAGTATTCATTGGTGTCATAACTCATGTCGTCCATCATCAGTGCAGTGTTGCGGCATACCGTTATTATTGTGAGCTTCCCTTTCCTGTCTTACAGAGGTCAATGATGTTCAGAAGAGGCTTCGCCTGGAGGTGTTGGGCGAGGAGAACGTCAGCCCTACCAAGAGGTCTTCATCTAGAGACCGCCTCCGCTGTGCAGAGCTGGTGAAGCCAGACACCCCTGCTCTCTGCTCTGTCCGCTCCAGAGTACAGCAACTAACTCAGGGTACGAGGATAACGCTCCCTCCTAAAATAACCAACTCGGAGCCTGTATACAGTATCGATAGAATTAGAATATGTCGGTATCCATGCAGCACTCAGATCTGTAGTCATTGAGAAACAGTGACTCCAACAGGGGATGTTTTGTTTACAGGAGGGCATGTGCTGGCTCAGAGATGCCTCTCTGATCCAGGATCTGGGGTACCATCCATTAAATTCCAGGATGGATTCAAAGAGCACCATCTTATTGGTGAGGATTCTTACACATTTACCTTCAAGCTTCTTTACAAAGTGTGCCACACTCTCACTTGCCAATGTGAAGACTGCATCTTTACCATTCGTTGAATGCGAGTGAGAACACATCTGCACTAAGAAGGTGGTTAAATGATAGGAGCATCTGGTCTGTTTTTCAGGTGAGGCAGAATTCAGTTTGCGGGTGGAGCGGTTTAGATCCCCCACCACTCCTCAGGCCAGCCCCCTGCCAGCCAACCGGTGTCCCCGTACCCTCTCCAACGCCGTTACCAACTTACAACTGAAACTTGAGGCCAGCGACACGCCCAGCTCCAAACAAGCCTCCCGCATACGCCAGGTCTGTGCCACACATAGGTGAAAAATATGTCTGTGCCCTTGAGCAAGGCACTTAACCCTAATTGCTCCTGTAAGTCGCTCTGTATAAGAGCATCCGCTAAATGACTAAAATGTAAATTGTACCAGGAACTTGTCTAGAGGTATGCAATGCATTCTGAAATGTTGATCTTGCACAATTATAAAAATTCCTGTGAAGTTTCTAACTGCTTCTATTTGTCTGACAAATCAGGAGAGGGAGGAGGAGCTGCGTCTCCTAAGGGCCCAGCCAATCACAGAGAATGTCTTCCTAAAGCGAAGCTTCTCTGATTCCTCACTGACTGAGGTAAGTTTTGTATTACCCTCTCTCTTGTGTCTGGTCACGAATATTGTTGTTAAGGGTTATGTTTGTGGCTCCCGCTCAGCCCAATCAAAGCTCTTTTTTTCTGACCTGGCACCTCAGTGGTGGAACGAGCTTCCCCCTGACGCTAGGACAGCAGAGTCCCTGCCCATCTTTCGAAAATGCCTGAAACCTTACCTCTTCAAACAGTATCTTAAATAATGTACAGCAGATTTGGGCACTAATAAGCGCCTAAATTGGAACGTAGTGGCTGTACAGTAACTTGCTATACATGACGTCAGCGCTGTGGTTCTGCGCTTCACAGCACTGTATGGTATTTGACTGACAGCTGAACTTGAGCACCACGCGCTAAAAAGAAGTTGCCCCCATCCCTTCTGGTAATTGGGCAACTTTTGCAACTCTTTTGTTGTCTGTGAGGGAGATGCTGTAAATTTAAGATGATTCAATGTATTTAAAAAGATGAGACGTTGAGGATTATAATAAATACCGCTTTGATGTCATACAAGCAAGCCGAACACCTGTGAGTCCAAACGTGCACTTCACATTTACAAATCATAAAACTAATTTTATATACAGTGTCAATGTTTATGATTACTATGTTTGTACAGTTACAAGATGACATGGCGTCATTCCCTGGATTGTTCTGAACAGAATGAGCCAATGTTTGTTTATTGTGCCGGGGGAATGCACTCATGATTCCTTTCTATGCTCACCATGATCTGTTTCTCTTAATTGCCTTCTGAAAGCCTAAAACTGTAAGATCATATTTTATGATGTTTGCAATGGAACAAGCTTTCAAATCATGCCCACCTGACCCATATTGCGATTTTATAATGGACCGTTTTTGGATTGCATAAACAACAGTAATTGTGTGATGGCGTGTATGCAGGGTTGTGTTCCAAACTAAACGACTACAAGTGTGCTTGCTCTAGTTCCTCAATGACACAGCTAGGAGAACTCAAAGAACCTTATAGTTGAACTCTTTGTCATAAAAGTGCGTTACAATTGCTTAGGAACTGTGCACACGTTGGAGACGTGTGGTCACTTGGAGACACCAGTGAGTCCTTTCACTCAAACCCTTGTAATTTTTGTTGTTTTATGTTGCAGATACCCCACATTTTCCAGGAATAGTCTTATGTTACTGAATGTATCCAGAGTATTTTCAGATTTCGTTGTAAACGAATGCGAGAAAAAGTACAGTAGATGTAAAATGCACATAAAATTAACAGTGTAATGTTTGGATTCAGTCTTGTCAGGTGAACTGTTGTACTCACCTTTTGGTCTAATAATTTCCCCATTATTTTCAAACTGTTCCCTTTCATTTGCTACCATGGTTATGCATTTTCATATTTCTTCTTTAAGAAACATTTCAATATACTGTAGCCAATTCCCACGTGTGTAAAGGGTTAAGATGAATGCACTAACTGTTAATCGCTCTGGATAAGAGCGTCTGCTAAAGGACTAAAATGTAAATGTTGAGCTCAAGTACTTGTTTCCTGATAGAACAATTATATTTGTTGTGAGATCATTAGAGGGCGACCCCACCCGTCTCCTCATTCTCCCCTTGGATGATGGTTAGACGTAGCAGGAGACTGCAGTGGCCACCGTTCCAACCATGGAATGTGAGTTTACTTATATGGACTGAGTGTAACTGGTTCTGAGAAGAACAGGGTGTCTTGAAATGTCACAGGTGTCACTGATGAGGTGTCATTTTCATCCCCCAAGTCACTTGAATGGTAATCAGGTATAGGGTTCACTTGGTCCTTCATATAGTGGTACAGAATCTTTGAAATATACAATGCCTCCGGAAAGTATTCAACCTCCTTGACTTTTTCCACATTTTGTTGCTTTACAAAGTAGGATTTAATTGTCCTTTTTTGTCAAAGTGGAAGAAACATTTTAACATTTGTGAAAATTCATGAAAAATAAAACACTAATATATTTTTGATTAGATAAGTATTCAGCCCCCTGAGTCAATACATGTTAGAAACACATATAGCAGCAATCACAGCTGTGAGTCTTTTTTGGGTAAGTCCCTAAGAGCTTTGCACACCTAGATTGTATAATAGTTTCCCATCATTCTTTTTCATATTCTTCAAGCTCTGTGAAGTTGGTTGTTGATCATTGCTAGACAGCCATTTTCCAGTTTTACCATAGATTTTTAAGCCAATATAAGTCAACTGTAAATAGGCCACTCAGGAATATTCAATGTCGTCTTGGTAAGCAACTCCAGTGTAGATTTGGCCTTGTGTTTTAGGTTATTGTTCTGCTGAAAGGTGAATTCATCTTCCAGTGTCTGTTGGAAAGCAGACTGAACCAGGTTTTCCTCTAGGATTTTGCCTGTGCTTAGCTCTATTCTGTTTTTTATCCTAAACTCCCATAACAAGCATACCCATAACATGATGCAGCCACCACAATGCTTGAAAATATGAAGAGTGGTACTCAGTGATGTGTTGGATTTGCCCCAAAGATAATGTTTTATATTCAGGACAAAAAGTGAATTTCTTTGCAGTATTACTTTAGTGCCTTGTTGCAAATAGGATGCATGTTTTGGAATATTTTTTTATTATGCACAGGCTTCCTTCTTTTCACTCTGTCATTTAGGTTAGTATTGTGGAGTAACTACAATGTTGTTGATCCATCCTCAGTTTTCTCCTATCACAGCTATTAAACTCTAACAGTTTTAAAATGACTATTGGCCTCATGGTGAAATCCCTGAGTGGTTTCCTTCCTCTCTGGCAAGGTGTATTGATACACCATCCAAGGCCTAATTTAATAACTTCACCATGCTCAAAGGGATATTCAGTATTCATACACTGCTCAAAAAAATAAAGGGAACACTAAAATAACACATCCTAGATCTGAATGAATGAAATAATCTTATTAAATACTTTTTTATTTACATAGTTGAATGTGCTGACAACAAAATCACACAAATTATCAATGGAAATCAAATGTATCAACCCATGGAGGTGTGGATTTGGAGTCACCCTCAAAATTAAAGTGGAAAACCACACTACATGCTGATCCAACTTTGATGTAATGTCCTTAAAACAAGTCAAAATGAGGCTCAGTAGTGTGTGTGGCCTCCACGTGCCTGTATGACCTTCCTACAACGCCTGGGCATGCTCCTGATGAGGTGGCGGATGGTCTCCTGAGGGATCTCCTCCCATACCTGGACTAAAGCATCCACCAACTCCTGGACCGTCTGTGGTGCAACGTGGCGTTGGTGGATGGAGCGAGACATGATGTCCCCGATGTGCTCAATTGGATTCAGGTCTGGGGAACGGGCGGGCCAGTCCATAGCATCAATGCCTTCCTCTTGCAGGAACTGCTGACACACTCCAGCCACATGAGGTCTAGCAGCCCCTGTAACAGGGTTAGAGGCAGAGAACCCTCTCTCCACTGGGGTTCTCTGCCTCTAACCCTGTTACAGGGGCTGAGTCACTGGCTTGCTGGTGCTCTTTCATGCTGTCCCTGGGAGGGGTGCGTCACTTGAGTGGGTTGAGTTACTGACGTGATCTTCCTGTCTGGGTTGGCGCCCCCCCCCCTTGGTTTGTGCTGTGGTGGAGACCTCTGTGGGCTATACTCGGCCTTGTCTCAGGATTGTAAGTTGGTGGTTGAGGATATCCCTCTAGTGGTGCGGGGGCTGTGCTTTGGCAGAGTGGGTGGGGTTATATCCTTCCTGTTTGGCCCTGTCCGGGGGTTTCTTCGGATGGGGCCACAGTGTCTCCGGACCGCTCCTGTCTCAGCCTCCAGTATTTATGCTGCAGTAGTTTATGTGTCGGGGGGCTGGGGTTAGTTGGTTATACCTGGAGTACTTCTCCTGTCTTATCCAGTGTCCTGTGTGAATTTAAGTATGCTCTCTCTAATTCTCTCGTTCTCTCTTTCTCTCTGAGAACCTGAGCCCTAGGACCATACGTCAGGACTACCGGGCATGCTGACACCTTGCTGTCCCCAGTCCGCCTGGCCTTGCTGCTATTCCAGTTTCAACTGTTCTGCCTGCGGTTACGAAACCCCTACCTGTCCCAGACCTGCTGTTTTCAACTCTTAATGATCGGCTATGAAAAGCCAACTGAGAGACCTGAGCCCTAGGACCATACGTCGGGACTACCGGCCGTGGTGACTCCTTGCTGTCCCCAGTCCGCCTGGCCTTGCTGCTATTCCAGTTTCAACTGTTCTGCCTGCGGTTATGGAACCCCTACCTGTCCCAGACCTGCTGTTTTCAACTCTTAATGATCGGCTATGAAAAGCCAACTGAGATTTATTCCTGATTATTATTTGACCATGCTTGTCACTTATGAACATTTTTGAACATCTTGGCATGGTTCTGTTATAATCTCCACCCGGCACAGCCAGAAGAGGACTGGCCACCCCTCATAGCCTGGTTCCTCTCTAGGTTTCTTCCTAGGTTTTGGCCTTTCTAGGGAGTTTTTCCTTCTATACCTGCATTACTAGCTGTTTGGGGTTTTAGGCTGGGTTTCTGTACAGCACTTCGAGATATTAGCTGATGTACGAAGGGCTATATAAAATAAAATTGATTGATTGATTGATTGTCTTGCATTAGGAGGAACCCAGGGCCAACCGCACAAGCATATGGTCTCACAAGGGGTCTGAGGATCTCATCTCGGTACCTAATGGCAGTCAGGCTACCTCTGGCGAGCACATGGAGGGCTGTGCAGCCCCCCAAAGAAATGCCACCCCACACCATGACTGACCCACCGCCAAACCGGTCATGCTGGAGGATGTTGCAGGCAGCAGAACGTTCTCCACGGCGTCTCCAGACTCTGTCACGTCTGTCACGTGCTCAGTGTGAACCTGCTTTCATCTGTGAAGAGCACAGGGCGCCAGTGGCGATTTTGCCAATCTTGGTGTTCTCTGGCAAATGCCAAACGACCTGCACGGTGTTGGGCTGTAAGCACAACCCCCACCTGTGGACGTCGGGCCCTCATACCACCCTCATGGAGTCTGTTTCTGACCGTTTGAGCAGACACATGCACATTTGTGGCCTGCTGGAGGTCATTTTGCAGGGCTCTGGCAGTGCTCCTCCTGCTCCTCCTTGCACAAAGGCGGAGGTAGCGGTCCTGCTGCTGGGTTGTTGCCCTCCTACAGCCTCCTCCACGTCTCCTGATGTACTGGCCTGTCTCCTGGTAGCGCCTCCATGCTCTGGACACTACGCTGACACACAGCAAACCTTCTTGCCACAGCTCGCATTGATGTGCCATCCTGGATGAGCTGCACTACCTGAGCCACTTGTGTGGGTTGTAGACTCCGTCTCATGCTACCACTAGAGTGAAAGCACCGCCAGCATTCAAAAGTGACCAAAACATCAGCCAGGAAGCATAGGAACTGAGAAGTGGTCTGTGGTCACCACCTGCAGAACCACTCCTTTATTGGGGGTGTCTTGCTAATTGCCTATAATTTCCACCTGTTGTCTATTCCATTTGCACAACAGCATGTGACATTTATTGTCAATCAGTGTTGCTTCCTAAGTGGACAGTTTGATTTCACAGAAGTGTGATTGACTTGGAGTTACATTGTGTTGTTTAAGTGTTCCCTTTATTTTTTTGAGCAGTGTATTTCTATCCATCTACTAATCGGTGCCCTTCTTTGCAAGGTTTTGTAAATCCTCCCTGGTCTTTGTTTGAATATGTGCTTGAAATTCACTACTTGACTGAGGGACCTTACAGATAATTGTATGTGTGGGGTACAGAGATGAGGTAGTAATTCAAAAATCATGTTAAACACTATTATTGCACACAGTGTGTGATATGTTAAGCACATTTTTACTCCTGAACTTATTTAGTCTTGCCATAACAAAGGGGTTGAGTACTTATTGACTCAAGACATTTCAGATGTTCCTTTGTAATTAATTTGTAAAAGTTTCTAAAAACAAAATTCCACTTTGACATTATGGGATATTGTGTGTAGATTAGTGGCACAATCTCAATTTAAACCATTTAAATTCAGGCTGTAACATAACATAAAGTGGAAAAAGTCAAGGGGGTTGAATACCTTCTGCTGTAGATGCATAGACGTGTGCATGAGGAACAATGATGCTCACTTGTATTTTGGGGGGCTAATTTTTCTGAGTGTCCAGCAGGCAGACCTCAATGTGACTGGTGATGAACCTTTTGGGGTGAAGGACGGCAGCTTCACCGAGACGCCTGTCTTCGCTAAGGTCCGTGGAGTGGAGCCTCCAATTCAAGACACCGGTAAGACACTGCAAGAGGAGAAGTAAATGCATTATTACAGTTTAAGAGCTAGGAGGTAGATATGTTAATAGTATATGTTGAGAAAAATCGGACTAAAATGAAGAATCTGAATGTTGTGCAAATGTCAGTGTAGAAAAGGAGTGTGAGATTGTGTGACAATTCAACAGGTGAGGTGGCAGAGTCCTCAGTTCATATGGATGTCCCACCACAAGAGGTGGAGGAGACACACATGGCTGAGGAGCAGGCAAAGGCGGAGTGCACTATGGACATTTGTCAGGGAAATTCTCTGCCAGATAAACAACATGAGGTAGCAGAGGGTCCTGTAGTGAAAGAGCAGGGCAAGGCAGTCTCTCCTGCTAGTGACAAGCAGGAGGAAAGGGGTTCAGTCCTTAGTGAGAAGCAGAGGGTGGTGAAGTTCTATGTAAGTGAAGAGTCAGATGATGAGACCCATTCCTTTTTAGATGGTAAGCCTGTGGCAATGGAGTCAAAAGGAGATGGTGAGGAGCAGGGGGAGTTGGGTTCTTCTGTAGTTGAGGAGCAGGTAGGGTCCCTACTAGAGAAGGAGATGAGGTCTTCTGTAGTTGAAGAGGTGGGGTCCTTTGTAGATGAGGAGCAGGAGGAAGTGGGGTCCCCGCAAGACGACGAGAACAGGGAGATGGGGTCTTCTGTAGTTGAGGACGAGGTGGGGTCCCCTGTAGGTGAGAAGGACAAGGAGGTGGGGTCCCCAGTTGAAGAGAAGGTTGTGTCCCTGTTAGGTGAGGAGCAAGAGAAGATGGGGTCCCCACTAGAGGGGGAGGTTGGGGACCCATTAGGTGAGGAGGTGGAGTCTTCTGGAGTTGAAGAGCAAGGGAAGGCAGAAAGTATTTTAGATGACGTCCAGGGTGAGGAGTCTGTTCTAGGTGAAGACCAGGGTGAGGTGGGTTCTCCTTTGGGTCCAGAGCAGGGAGAGGCAGGAGAGGCCGCAAACGCATCTGCTGTGTCAGACAGAGAACAGGGAGACTCTGAGCTGCTTACAGATGAGGAACAGCCTGATGAAGCACAGTCAGAGGCCAGAGGGTTAAAGAAAGTCACCTTTATCCTGGAGCCAGAAATGATCAATGACTCAGCCCTGTCTGAGCTGGACTCTTCATCTAGCTGGAGAAGAGAAAGTATGTCAGGTGAGACAAATGTCTAAGTTGTTGGCACAAGTTGGGCAGGCGGTGAGGCATAAACACCTTGGGTTACACACACAGTTGTGCACATACCTGGGCATAAAGTCATAAAGATACTGGTCAAATTTTACTGTCACTTTGCCATTGTCTAAGCAAGGGATTCAATGGGTCACTGCAACCACTTTGCACCTCATCTTTTTTCTACACTATAAACAGCCAAATGATGTTGTAGACCAGGAATCATCAACTATATTCAGCCGTGGGCCAATTTCTTTTTGAGTGGATGGTCAGGGGGCCGGAACATAATAAAAAAAAATATATTTGAAGACTGTGAATTGACCGCAAGAAGCCAAAACAGATACAATTTTTGACTAAAACATAATCATTTCAAACCTTGATTACATTTGGGAACATTGTCCTGCGTAGGGTCCTGCGTAGGGTGGGATGTTAAAACGGGTGTCCTGACTCTCTGTGGTCATTCAAAATCCCACGAGTAGAGGTGTTATGGCTAAATTCCCAACCTGGCCACATTCCATCATGGCCACCTAATCATCCCCCTCATTCCTAATTGGCATTTATCACTCCTCACCTCTCCAACTGATAGGTGATGTTTGAGAGTTCTGGCACAAAAATGGTCGCTGTGCATCAATGAGGTGGGTGCTACACATTGATGGTGGATGAGGTGAGTTTCCCCCTACTATGTAAAGCGCTTTGAGTACCTCAGTTGGTAGAAAAGGGATTTATAAATCCAATCAATTATTATTATCTTTCTATTATGCGTGGGAATACTTGAACAGATTTCCAAAATTAAAATAACTTGGAGCTGATTTCCTGGTGTTTTTACAGTCTTTTATGTCCAATAATGAAAATTAAACAAAAAACATTTTTAATTGTTTTTTTGCTCAGAAAACTTGGGGGGCCAAATAAAACCACCGCCAGTTGGTGGATCCTTGTTGTAGACTCGCTGGGGTGACGTTTTTTATGTCTGAATGTAACTTACTGCATATGGGGATTTATCCACAGAGGCTGAGCTGAGCTCTCACGATGAAACCAATACTGCTGAGATGATTGACCTGATGTTTGAGGAGGTGCTGGAAGCTGCTACCCAGGGAAGGATGGAAGAGGAGGGTAAAGAGGACACTGAGGATCACAACAGTGGCATAGCCACAGTGAAGCGCAGAAAGGAGAAAACGGACACAGAGTTGGACAAGGAGAAAGCTGAGGAGGGTGAAGACCCGGAAGAGACCGGGGAACTGGACTCCAGTGTAGATGAGCTGCTGTCCTTCCCACACAGCTGCATCCTCTCCCCTCTCAGCAAGTCTGTGGAAGCTGTGGTCACTCCTATGGTAAGGCTCTGCAGACAGACTGGGGTGCCACGGTCACCTAGTTCAATGTGATTCTGAAAGTGTTTGGTATTGGTATTTTATTAGGATCCCCATTAGCTGTTGCGAAAGCAGCAGCTACTTTTCCTGGGGTCCACACAACATGAAACATGACATAATACAGAACATTAATAGACAAGAACAGCTCAAGGACTACATACATTTACAAACGGCACACAGCCTACATATCATTACATACACACAAAATATCTAAGTCAAATAAGTGAGAGGTGTTGCTTTATCTTTTTGTTTGTTTAAACCAGGTTTGCTGTTCATTTGAGCAATATGAGATGGAAGGGAGTTCCATGCAATAATGGCTCTATATAATACTATACGCTTTCTTGAATTTGTTCTGGATTTGAGGACTGTGAAAAGACCCCTTGTGGGGTAAGTGTGTGTGTGTCAGCTGTGTAAGTTGACTGCAAACAATTTGGAATTTTCAACACATTAATGTCATAAGAAGTGATGCAGTCAGTCAATCCTCAACACTTAGCGAAGAGAGACGGGCATGCATTGTAGATGTGCCGCTCTGTTCTGGGCCAGCTGTAACTTAACTAGGTCTTTGCAGCACTTGGCCACATGACTGAACAATAATCAAGATAAGACAAAACTAGAGCCTGCAGGACTTGCTTTTTGCAGTGTGGTGTCAAAAAAGCAGAGCATCTCTTTATTATGGACAGACCTCTCCCCATCTTTACAACCATTTAATCTATATGTTTTGAGCATGACCGTTTACAATCTAAGGTAACACTGAGTAATTTAGTCTCCTCAACTTGTTCAACAGCCACACCATGCATTACCAGATTCAGCTGTCTAGAGCTTAGGGAATGATTTGTACAAAATACAATGCTCTTAGTTTTAGAGATGATCAGGACCAGTTTATTACTGGCTACCCATTCCAAAACTGACTGCAACTGCTTGTTAAGAGTTTCAGTGACTTCATTAGCTGTGGTTGCTGACATGTACAGTGGGGGAAAAAAGTATTTAGTCAGCCACCAATTGTGCAAGTTCTCCCACTTAAAATGATGAGAGAGGCCTGTAATTTTCATCATAGGTACACGTCAACTATGACAGACAAAATCAGAAATAAAAATCCAGAAAATCACATTGTAGGATTTTTTATGAATTTATTTGCAAATTATGGTGGAAAATAAGTGTTTGGTCAATAACAAAAGTTTCTCAATACTTTGTTATATACCCTTTGTTGGCAATGACACAGGTCAAACGTTTTCTGTAAGTCTTCACAAGGTTTTCACACACTGTTGCTGGTATTTTGGCCCATTCCTCCATGCAGATCTCCTCTAGAGCGGTGATGTTTTGGGGCTGTCGCTGGCCAACACGGATTTCAAATCCCTCCTAAGATTTTCTATGGGGTTGAGATCTGGAGACTGGCTAGGCCACTCCTGGACCTTGAAATGCTTCTTACGAAGCCACTCCTTCGTTGCCCGGGCGGTGTGTTTGGGATCATTGTCATGCTGAAAGACCCAGCCACGTTTCATCTTCAATGCCCTTGCTGATGGAAGGAGGTTTTCACTCAAAATCTCACGATACATGGCCCCATTCATTCTTGCCTTTACACGGATCAGTCGTCCTGGTCCCTTTGCAGAAAAACAGCCCCAAAGCATGATGTTTCCACCCCCATGCTTCACAGTAGGTATGGTGTTCTTTGGATGCAACAGCATTCTTTGTCCTCCAAACATGACGAGTTGAGTTTTTACCAAAAAGTTATATTTTGGTTTCATCTGACCATATGACATTCTCCCAATCCTCTTCTGGATCATCCAAATGCACTCTAGCAAACTTCAGACGGGCCTGGACATGTACTGGCTTAAGCAGGGGGACACGTCTGGCACTGCAGGATTTGAGTCCCTGGCGGCGTAGTGTGTTACTGATGGTAGGCTTTGTTACTTTGGTCCCAGCTCTCTGCAGGTCATTCACTAGGTCCCCCCGTGTGGTTCTGGGATTTTTGCTCACCGTTCTTGTGATCATTTTGACCCCACGGGGTGAGATCTTGCGTGGAGCCCCAGATCGAGGGAGATTATCAGTGGTCTTGTATGTCTTCCATTTCCTAATAATTGCTCCCACAGTTGATTTCTTCAAACCAAGCTGCTTACCTATTGCAGATTCAGTCTTCCCAGCCTGGTGCAGGTCTACAATTTTGTTTCTGGTGTCCTTTGACAGCTCTTTGGTCTTGGCCATAGTGGAGTTTGGAGTGTGACTGTTTGAGGTTGTGGACAGGTGTCTTTTATACTGATAACAAGTTCAAACAGGTGCCATTAATACAGGTAACGAGTGGAGGGCAGAGGAGCCTCTTAAAGAAGAAGTTACAGGTCTGTGAGAGCCAGAAATCTTGTTTGTTTGTAGGTGACCAAATACTTATTTTCCACCATAATTTGCAAATAAATTCATTAAAAATCCTACAATGTGATTTTCTGGATTTTGTTTTCTCAATTTGTCTGTCATTGTTGACGTGTACCTATGATGAAAATTACAGGCCTCTCATCTTTTTAAGTGGGAGAACTTGCACAATTGGTGGCTGACTAAATACTTTTTTTCCCCACTGTATATGTTTGAATCATCAGCGTACATGGACACACAGCCTTTGTTTAATGCCAGTGGCAGGTCGTTGGTAAAAAATAAAAAAGAGTAGAGGGCCTAGAGAGCTGCCCTGCAGTACACCACACTCTACATGTTTGACATTGGAGAGGCTTCCGTTAAAGAAAACCCTCTGAGTTATATTAGATGGCTCTGAATCCACGATATGGTAGAGGTTGAAAATCCATAAAACATCAGTTTTCTCAACAGGTTATGGTCAATAATATCAAAGGCTGGCGCTGAAATCTAACAGTACAGCTCCCACAATCTTCTTATTATCAATGTCTTTCAACCAATCATCAGTCATTTGTGTCAGTGCAGTACATGGTGAGTGCCCTTCTCTATAAAGTCTGTCAATTTGTTTACAGAGAATTAGCATTGTATTTGGTCAAACAATTTTTTCCAACAGTTTGCTTAGAGCTGGCAGCATGCTGATAGGTCTGCTGTTAGAACCAATAAAGGCCGCTTTACCACTCTTGGGTAGTGGAATGACTTTGGCTTTCCTCCAGGCCTGAGGACAAACGTCTTCCTCTAGACTCAGATTAAAGATATGACAGATAGGAGTGGCCATAGTCGGCTACCATCCTCAGGAGCTTTCCATCTAAATTGTCAATGCCAGGAGGTTTGTCATTATTGATCAATAACAATAATTGTTCCACCTCTCCCACACAATTCAAACTTACAATGCTTTTCTTTAATTATTTGTTTTTTAATGCATGAATACGATGGCTCACTGTTCGTTGTTGGCGTTTCCTGCCTAAGTTTCCCCACATGGGCCAATGAAGTAATCATTAAAATAATCTGCAACATCAAATAGTTTTGTGATGAATAAGCCATCTGATTCGATTAAAGATGGAGTTGAATTGATCGTTCTGCCCATAATTTAATGTACTCAAGTTTTTAAATTGTTTTATATCATTGATCTTGGCTTTCAAAGTTTGAATGTTTTACACGTAAAAAAATATACATCCAAGTGTTTGATATGCCCACAGAGACTTGCAGCCAATCAGCTAGCCAACCCTCCATCCCTACTTCTGACTCCTGAAGAGCTGACCACTCCCCCTGCTGATAGTGCCCCTCTCTACAGGTGAGTCATCTTGTCTACACTTCAGGACAAGCAGAACTGACAGTGGTCAGCTAACATGAGTGAAATTGAAAAACTAATTGTCTATGAAAATCTTTCAAAAGATATGATTGGCTTGTGATTTATACCTGTGATTGATGACTCCAATCTGTTTTGTGATTGATAGCATCGATGCCTACCGCACCCAGAGACAGAGCACCAAGCCAGCCATTCAGAGTGTAACCCCAGGGGTGTCGAGGCGTGCCGCTGTGAAGTCCCAGCCCTGTGTCAACACCAAGGAAAGGATCATGGTCTGTAGTAGGACTGTTGGAACGGTTGAGTCTAGTCTGTGTGTCTTCTGTGTCATGGAGAGTGACTACCTGTGTAGCATATCACCAAACTTTGCAGGATTTCCTTTGTGTGGGCATTGCCAAATGTACCACATGGATAGCTATGCCTCTGACACTGACCACGTTTACATGGGCACAGTATTCCGGATAATAGCTCATATCCTGCTTAAGGTCTTTTTCGGGATAAGCTGTTTCTCATGAGTATCCCTGTACCCATGAATACAAATAATTTTCCAAATGTAAGTTCATATGAGTTAAATGGAATAGTAACTGAAATATGTACACTGACTGTAGGCCTATAACCTCTCACATGTAGTGTAATATATTATTAAATCCTGCAGAATTATCAATTTCTTGCAGTGAAATTATACAACAAATGTTAATTGAGTGGAGAAATATGATTTGTTTATTTCAGCATCTCTTGTGTGTGTAATGTGTTCTCTTTGACACTGCCCACACAAAGGAAATCCTGCAAAGAATATCCTGGTCCTCTGTAGCTCAGCTGGTAGAGCACGGCGCTTGTAACGCCAAGGTAGTGGGTTCGATCCCCGGGACCACCCATACACAAAAAGATGTATGCACGCATGACTGTAAGTCGCTTTGGATAAAAGCGTCTGCTAAATGGCTTATTATTATTATTATTACTGTTATGCAAGCAGACAGTATTTCAGCCACATCAAATATGCACCCAAGACAAACTGAAGTCTTATCAGAAATGTTTCGTTTTCTCAGCTTTTCATTTCCTTAAAACCAGTCAAACTGATGACATTTGGACATTTTGCACAGAACTAATCTTTCCACTGTTTTGGAGTTATTGCGTTTTTCTCCCGGGTCCCTAAATGAAACGGTAAATAGGACAACTTTACCGGTGTTAACTATAGATTACTAATGCATTCATTCTATCGATGTTAGACATTATTCTGGTGAGCACTACTTTATTTTGTTTTCTGGGGCAACAAGTTATGACGAGAAGCTGCATGTATCAAACTATAGTGGACAAACAAATGGCCTACCAAATGTCGGAAATTATAAGCCAAAGCTTAATTTAAATGATAGTAATTATAGTAGGCTACATTGTTATGGAATTATGGTGGATCTAACTGCGCAGGTAGCCTACTTTTTGAAGTGATTTGTTTGACAATCAGATGAAAACATCATCACACAAAACCCATGATATGCGAAAATGAGCCTGCCCAGACCGCAAAAACAACAGTAAACGGGATAAGATGTTTACATGCCACAATATCCGGTCTTAGATCAGCATATCCCAGGCATCTTATCCGGGTTTCTCATAACCGGGATACAAGCCTTTTTGGGTTATTGTAAACGGGATATGATGTTTATATGCATCAACTCAAAAACAGAATACTTGAGTATCCCGAATAATAACGGGATATTGGTGTGCATGTAAACGTGGTCAATGTAAAGAAAGAGTATTTAAATGAGTTTGGCTGGGTGGAGTGAATATCCTGTCCTCCTGTGATTGGTCAGATTCTGAATGAGGATGCTGCCAAGCTGCAGACGGTCATCAATCAGACGTTGCAGGCCCTGAGCTGCTGCACTGACGAGGACCACGGCAGGGGTTCCCTGGAGGAGGCAGAGGCTGATAAACTGCTGCTCGTCTCCTGTGAGTCTCTATCTACTATCCTAGCTCCATGACTTGTTTTCTCCCCCCTCTCCTAATTTTTCTGCTGAATTAGTGTGTAATCGTCAACCTCCTCTCTCTCACTGCTATTGCTCTTTTTTTTATCCTGTATACTTCTATGCTGGAAGGTATGATGGACCTCTTGATTTGTCCCTTTGCTTGATCATCTGACTGTGTCCCCTCTGTCTGTCTCTGCTGTGTGTCAGGTGAGAAGCGGGCAGCCCTGCTTGCTGAGGTGGCCAGGCTGAGGGAGAGGGGGCGCTCAGTCTCTGAGGAGCTTGAGGGGGGTGATGGTGAAGGGGACTCCAGCATGTCCCAGCAGCCCTGCAGAGGCACCGTCAGCATCAGCCGTGTCCAGCTCCCTCTCAAGGTGGAGTTTGTCTGCTCTGCCCGCACACAAACAGGTACCTACCATCAGCTAGGCTACGCATGTTATCACCTTTTTATAGTGTGACGTTTATGTTGCATCATTTATTTTTAATCATTTACTCTGCTGCTGCCTGCTGCAGAGGTGAGTTGTTTGCCTCCTCGTTTGGGTTAAATGCACAAAGCAGTAAAGTACAATTAATTCATTGTCAGCTCAAGACACATTCGAAATCATACCAGATGATTAATGAACAACCCTCCTGAATATTTCTCTCCTCCCTAAAGGTCGGCCCACTCACTATTTCTTTGTCCTGATTCGCTATGGACCTTGCAACATCATTGCGACCCCATTGGCCACGGCAGCGGACGCCCAGAATGGAGACACCATCTCCTTCCCCACCTCCATCACCCTGTGAGTCCCGCCACTGGTTCCATATGGAGGAAGTGAGGAGTAAAGGAGAACTCACCAGACCGATTGTCGGTCTGTACAGTAGGGGGCCGTTCATTTGCTGTTCACTTGCTGTCGGCGCATGTGTTATAGGGTCCATGTTGAATCGTTTTGCAAATTACGGCCGGCACTCTGTTCAGAGGAGCTAAGTACTCTCGGTCGGCAATCCTACTGGTCTGTCCGTGCCTTAAAGGAGATGCTTGTGTAATGTCTGCTGTACTACTGCTGAAATGGCTGTCACCCCTCGTCTGTCCAACTCTTTCTCTGACTGTATTATGTCCCTTCAGGCAGGACATTCGCTCCAACTTTGAGATTGATGTGGAGGTCTACAGCCTGGTGAGATGGAACATACTGTATTACTGTATTTCTCACCTAAAACCTGTGTATTAGTAAATGCAATACATGGTCAATGATGTGTTAACAGGTTGTATGTATCATTTACAAACTGTCTTCTATTACTCAGTCTCACACCTCAGGGAACACCTTCAATGTCGATCTCCGCAGCTCCACCAGGTCAAGGGTGTGTGTGACATCTTCCGATTTAGAAATGCTGTCCATGGCTGACAATGAAATATACATGTGCGTGTTCTGCACAAAAGCTCAATTCTGACCTTATTTATTTTTTAGGTCACCCCAAGGAAGCTTCTAAGCACCGTCAAGGTAAGTGATCTGCTTTCTTATCTGTCTAGTACTTGAAATGGTGGGGGCATATATTTATACCCCTTTTCCTTTCCTGTTACATGTTTCTAATCTGAACTTTTTCTTGTTGCTTTTCAACAGAGATCCAACCACAGTGTGACATGTAAGTATTATTGTCCTAGTTGCATATTATCTGAAGATGACATTTGTCCTGAGTGGTGACAGTTTTTGATTGGATTGAATCAACACCCCACAGCTTCTACCATGCCACCCCTGAACACCCGGCGCACCAGCAACTTCTCTCTGGTTGGTTCTCACAAGATCTCCTTGGCCTCCCTGGGCCAGAGCAAGTTCCCCCTGGACAAGGTAGGCTCATCTCACCTGGCTGCCTGTCTCACAGCCACACCTGCTGCAGTGCTCCAGCCTGGATGATTGTGTATCAGATATGTTTACTGTACCTGCACTCCTACAGTATGGGAAGATGTAGGGATGCATGTTTTGTCAGTCAATTACATGGTTTTATCTTGCCTCCTTTTTTATTTTGAACCACCTGATTGCCAGCTTGTATCACTGTCACTTGAGGATGAGCGCTAACATCTTTTCATCTATTTGGTTGAATCTACTGTATCTCATGTTACTTTTTCTGATTTCTCCACCCAGTGTAATTCTTTCATTTGCGATATACAGATCGGATGGTTGTCATTTCCTCACGTGACTTTTGTTTGTTTTTGTGTGTTTTTTCATGTTGTTAATAACGTTTTCCACTGTCTGGGTGGGGTCACTTGTAGGGCTGTGATGATTATGGAATTTGGGGTAACGTTAAATTGTCATGCAAATAGCCACGGTTATTGTAATTTTTGTTGACAAATATTTTTAGCTTGTAATGCATCTTTCAGAATGATCTATGACATACATAATATAACACAGCTTTTGGTACCACCCCTGTCTCAAAAACAAATGGTTTTGACCCCTTGGAACTTTTGGAAATTAAGCTTCTTCTCCCGACCATGCCGTTTTGCTCGTAAAATGATTACCAACTTTACCCACTTCATGTAAAAATTAAAACTACTGTTGGGTAAACTATATCTACTGGAATAGAAAATTGACTCTCCCCGTCTCCTAAAATGAATGTATTAAGATGTTTATGACAACATCAAAAAAATCACTGTTATTGTCGGTTACGCGATTATACGATAATTGTGCCAGCCCTAGTCACTTGTGATGTTACCTCTATTCCTCCCTGTTCTGTCTCCACTTGTGATGTTACCTCTATTCCTCACTGTTCTGTCTCCACTTGTGCACAGATGAAGTTTGAAGGCAAAATCAGGAGACTCCTGGGAGATGAGTTTCAGGAAAAGGTTTCACTCTTTCACTCACTTTTCCCCCTTCTTTTCTCTTTGCTTCTCCATTTGACTCCTTTCATGCTTCTGAGTGTGTGTGGCCAGCAAAACTGGTATCAAGAATTAGTCTTTGCTACTCTGGCTATAATATCAGTGATGGAGGACTCCATAGGTAGATGAAAATGTGTGTTGAAATCTATGTTCATATGACTCTGTATTATTTTCTTCCATTTTGCTTTATCATTGCATATTGCTTTCTACTGCATGTTTTGTTTACCTCCCTAGCTAGATTAACTACAAGAAGCATAACCCTGGTATCCATGTCATGATAATTCCACCTTCTCTCTGTGCAGGTGCCCTTCCTATCTCCACTAGAGGGAAACATCTACCTGCAACTGGACAGTGAGAGCCACTCTAATGTCCAGCACCAGGGCTTCCTTGTGAGTTATTTTTCATTTATTTTAATTCACTTGGATCTCTCAAGTGCATATTATCCTGCTCCTGTCCTCTATACTTTCTTTACTGTGTTTCATCCTCCGCCCACCACTTCGTTCTCTTTTCTCCTTCCATCCAGACCATGTTTGAGGTGGTGAATGGATTTGGAGCTTGGCATCGACGCTTCTTTGTCCTGGAGGGAAACCAAATGTCCTATTGGAACCACCCCAATGACAGGGGCAGCAAGGTGGGCATTGAGCTATGACAGAGATGACTGGACTGGAGCTCTTGTTTCCAAGCTCTCAGATCATCAGAAGGATTTTGCAAAAATAAACAATTGTGAAACTTCCATTTTATGTTTATTGCATACATGTTAACAATATTGTCGAGTACTTTATAATATTTCTAATATATTTTCTAATATTTCTAAATTGTTTGTACCTTTCCTGCTGCAAAATTAATTGCCTCTTGAGGGCATTAAAGTTCTCTTATCTGAATATACAAAGTCACACTCTAACTTTAGATTTCGTAAGGTCATTGAACTCCAAAAACATTCCCTTATCTCCTCTCTACTGTTCTCTCTGTCTGTTGTACTTGCAGGCAGCAGAAGGCAGCATCTCCCTGTCTAGTTCCTCTAGTCAGAGTGTGAAGCCAGTGAAGAGAGACTCCTGTGCTCGCCCCTATACTTTTGAACTGGTCAGCAGCATCCAGACTGCACAACAGGATGACCAGGGAGCTCTGGCCAAGTAAGTCATAGTTAATCATTTTGTCTGGTATGAACTGTAAAGTAACAACCTTACTCCCCTATGATACAAGCAAATTAAATTAGCTTGACAACAAGTGGTCATGAATGTTTTCTATATGAATGTTTTGTGGAGGACTGATACTGCTAAAGTGAGCCTGTCTGTGTATCTCATAGACAGTGGTCCATAGATCTTGAATGACATTTCAGCATTCTCATTACATGTTCTGTCTGTTCTTAAGGTGCTGGTTCTCAGCAGATACAGGGGAGGATCGAGGGGACTGGATGGAGAACCTAAACCAGGTTCTCCTGGACCTGCATACCTGGACTCGCTGTCCCCTGAACCATGCTAAAGCACAGCCCAACAACCAGGACAGCTGTGGGAACATTAGGGAGAGCAGTCTGTAACACACTATTATATCATATATATCTTTATGAATTCTTATGATTACCATTGGGAGATTATTTTATATGTGGTGATATTTTGCCTTACCTTGGATTTGTCACTTCAATAGCTCTTTAAAATAGAGCTCCATCTTGTGTGTTTTTTGGATTATATATGTACTATTTACCTGAACTTGAAGAGGATGATTTAAATAAATCTGTATCTACAAACACTACTAAATAAGTATCAAAGCTATTGCAGAAGAGCCCTAACACTAAACTGATGATTAGTCCCAATAGTTTAGTTATAATTTTCATAAGACAAACACAAAAAAGCCAGACATAGCTACTGGACAACATTATTTCACTACTACAGCGTTGCTGTAATACCCTCTAAAGTGTAGAAATCTGTCTCTCAGAAATAATAAGTCTGTACCTGACAAAAAACCTACCTAATCTAGAAACTCATGAATTGAGTGACTCAACTAGAATTGCGGTCAAGTTGAGTTATAGTACTGTACTCGAAAAATGGTGGTATCTCCTACGAGGATAAAAATACTGACCATTTCACGAGTTAAATTGTGTTCCTTAATTCAAAATATATTGGTGTGTTGTGCATAACATAACAGGGGCCTGTCAACGAAGATGGTACCCAAGCATGTCAAATGGAGTATAGAATGATATAAGGCCGGTGGGTGTTGGAGGTGTAGTATAATATTAGTGCCTCATCTGATGATGATGATGATGATAAATCCTAGTAGGAGCCTAAAAGGAGATGAATGTATATGCTGACTGTGGTCAACCAATTAATTTTTTTCCTTTTTCATGTATTTACTGTCAATCAGTCGTTCTCTTTCTGTATGTGGATGTTATCCCTATAAACTACCTATCAACATTCTTATATGCACTTGATTGATAAAGGTACTACCAGTAAATAATAAAAATGGGTCTAATAGCGTACCCTATCAGATGAATTTGTTTTGAGTCCATGCAGTTTGTGTGTCATATTCTTCTGTAAATTTGATATGGAAAGTATTTGTGCAATATTTTTGGTACACAAATACCATTTGAGTTTAAAGCCCCATAGGCTCAAATATAGCCTTCATTGTCCTCAGTCTTAAAGCTAACAATGCAGTGACATCTTCCGCCGTAATATAGTGATGAAGGAGCGAGCCATTGGTCGTGTTTACAACAGTTTAAGTATTGAGTGAATGGGGTTGGCTGTGGAGCAGGCACTCCGGTCAGGAATGTCAGACAGGAAGTCCTCCCTGTGTTTGGTGTATTGCTATAGAAATAGACTTCCTGGAGCCCCTCTGGGTGGAGGTGGGGTGGTTGGTTCTCAGCTCAAGGTGATGATTGGAAGAGTGGCCCAGCGATACACAGCTGTACAGCCCAGGGCCCAAGCCTCACAGTGTTGTGTTCAGCCAGAACACTGGGCAAAGTCTGGGGTATATCCCAAATGGCACCATATTCCATATTTATGTTGTTATGGGCCCTGGTCAAAAGTAGTGCACTTTATAGGGAATAGGATGCCATTTGGTATGCAGACTGGGCCTATAGCTAGCAAAACATTGCCATGAGTGGTGAGATGCCCAGCGCACACGAGGCCAAAGTTATAGGGGAAGTAATGATAGACCAGTGACTTTAGTGATCCGGGTGGTCAGTGAGATACAGTAAGAACAATGGGGCACTGGCCTTGACAGTACAGTCCCACCCTAAAATGAGTCAATACAACATCCTCTCCCCAATCTGTGACTGTCATTCCTGGTAAGTTTCTCTTAGTCTGTTGTTTCATTAGATAGCCTCAACCCATTATGGTACTTAGCATATGAACCCCTAAAGACATGTTACCGGAGGCCTTACATCAAATAAACGAATTGACCGTTTCACTGATTTGTGGAAGCTGCATCAACTGGATTGCGTTAGAAACTGGAAAGAAAAATATTTTAAGAAATCCCATCACAAATACAAAGGCTGTAATAATACCCCCACAGAGGCTGTTGTTGTTGGCTGGAGTGTCTGGGCCACTTGGGGCATAGTTTTGTCATGTGTTTTGAATAGGTCCAGGAAATGGGGAGACATAAACACAGACCTGGGGAGAGGTCAGAGGCCTTGCTGATACACAAATAAACTCCCTTTAGAGGTAGCAGTTGTGAAATGTCCCTAGTTTGTGCCAGATCTCAACAGCTGTGGAAGATCAGAGGACTTTGCTGGGACTTCACTCCTCAAAGCTACCAATGTTAAGGTCAGTACAGAATTCCCTTATTGAAATGTCTTGCAAAGATGGAATAGAGTTTTGTATGTATGCATTTTTCTATCAGCAAATATGTATGAAATGTATTCGCCCATAAAGAAAATAATAGTTTCAGACGCAGAGCGGCACTGTTGGACACAAGACCACAACCCCCCAGCTCTCCCACTTTCCCCCCCATTCATCTGGATTGTTTCTTTCGACGAAAGTCCCCTCCACCTCTCTGCCCCCCTCTCCCTCCTTTCCTGCCGGCCTCTGCGTAGAGGATGTGTCTGGGAGAGTGAGAGGGGAAGGCCGTCTGTAGAATGGATATCTGCCTTCTTTTCTTTCTCTTCTCTCTCACTCTCTTCATCCCCCACTCCCAGTGGTGTTCTGGCCCTATGGGTAGGTGGACAGGCGGACCACTGAACTTAAATGTCTAGACAGAGACAAGAATGGTGGTGACAAACCTGAAGGTACAGACGTCTACTTGTTCACGTTCAAATCACTAACAACAACCACCACAGACTGTACCAGCTGACTAACCAACAGCCACTTCTCACAAACTCTCACAATAGAGGAAAGAATACAGGGCTTTAATGCGTTTATGAGTTGGCTGTAAATGTGCATCTAATTCTCTTACCCTCGCCGAATGGAATTGTTTCTGTGTTAGACAAGGGAAGCTTCTTCTAAGTGTTTCTCTGACAGCATCTCCAGCTTGCCTATATTTAGATCAGTCCAATTTTCTATAGGTTTGTTGTGCCGCAGAATTGCTGATGTCAAGCTTGGTCATCATTTATTTAATGCTCATGGCCACCACTGAGACAGACGGTGCTGTTTGTCTAAATGGCACATACATACACACACACAAACACATAAACGCACCGTGCTGCTCCCCATTGACTCATAACTACTCATGACCACACGCTCATACAAACTGAACAAAACTGATATTTTTCCATAAGGACAGACAGACATGTAAACTTTTAATGTGGATCCTGTCACATTGGGGCGGCAGGTAGCTTAGTGGTTAAGAGCGTTGTGCCAGTAACCGAAAGGTCGCTGGTTCTAATCCCCGAGCCGACTAGGTGAAAAATCTGTCGATGTGCCCTTGAGCAAGGCACTTAACCCTAATTGCTCCTGTAAGTCGCTCTGGATAAGAGCGTCTGCTAAATGACTAAAATGTAAATGTATATTGTTTGATTGATTGTCTGGTAAATTGAGCTTGTTTACATCTGATTGACAGATGCTGCAGAGGTGTGACCAGAGGCGTAGAGGGCAGAGAGTTTGGCCCGGGACACTGCCCTGAAGTGGGTATCGGGTGTGTTCTGTTGCCCTGAGCATCTGGAGAGGTTAGGACAGTACCGCAAAAGGGAATGCCAGAGGACCTCATCCATCCACTCCAGACTCAAGGTATCATGTAACTACAAACACACCTGCTCCCACTAGAAGCTATTGTCATTTCCCACATGAAATTATATAGACATGAGGGAGAAATAGGTACCATTCCCCAGATCTAGTGCCTCTACACAATCCTGTCTCGGAGCTCTACGGACAATTCCTTCGACCTCATGGATTGGTTTTTGCTCTGACATGCACTGTCAACTGTAGACAGGTGTGTGCCTTTCCAAATCATGTCCAATCAATTGAATTTACTACAGGTGCACTCCAATCAAGTTGTAGAAACATCTCAAGGATGATCAGTGGAAACAGGATGCACCTGAGCTCAATTTCGAGTCTCATAGCAAAGGGTCTGAATACTTATGTAAATAAGGTACGTCAGTTATTTATTTTGTATACATTTGCAAAAATGTATAAAAACCTGTTTTTTCGCTTTGTCATTATAGGGTATTGTGTGTATATTGATGAGGAGAAAAATGTATTTCATCAATTTTAGAATAAGGCTGTAATGTAAAGAAATGTGGAAAAAGTCAAGGGGTCTGAATACTTTCCTAATGCACTGTATGTACGCTTGTTGAATACAGTGACATTCAGTGATAGGATTGAGCATCATTCAAGAGCCCACATTGCTATGCAAATAGAATTGTACAACATGATACAGCTGCAACACAGCATGATGCAATAGGCCTAAGCCATTTTAATGAGATGGCAGGGATGGTTTTCCTTATGTTCTGGCAGTAACGTTGCACTGGTGCTTTACAGCGATGTTGTACTCTGTTAGGTGTTGAAAGAGGCGGTGTCTGTGCGTTTCCGCAGCATCTCTTACCTGCACACCCGTGGACCTGGCCTTGCAGGCCACCTGTCTGCCCTGCAGCACAGCATCATGGGAGACTTGGCTGAGTGGAGTTTGTATTGTGTAGTAGAAAAGTGTCTGTGTGGAGTCTGTATTGTGCAGTAGAAAATTGTATGTGTGGAGTTTGTATTGTGTAGTAGAAAAGTGTCTGAGTGGAGTTTGTATTGTGTAGTAGAAACGTGTTTCTGAGTGGAGTTTGTATTGTGTAGTAGAAACGTGTTTCTGAGTGGATGCACAAGGCCCTGGAGGTGGAGCTGACAGACTGGCAGAGAGACCAGGAACCAGACACTGACCATGAGGGCTTTTACCGCACCAGCCTGCCAACCATCATCACACAGGTTAACAAACATACAATCTACATTAAGGCTGCTTTAAAATGGTCACTATGTAGAATGTTTGCAATGTGGTTGTGGTAAATGTTATTTTAATGCACATACTTGAGTTGTGGCGATGTTGTGTTTGTGTTGGTGATATGTTGTGGAGGGTTTTGAGGCCTGTGAGTAAGTTGTTGTGATGTTCTGTTTGTGTTGTGGTTGTGTTAGATGCTGAAGAAGAATGCACGGGTGCCTCTGATAATCTGTGAATCATTTCGGAATCAGACCATACAGAAGGGGCTCTATGAGATGGAGAACCTCCTCAATAGGTGGGTCTGGGTTTTTTGTATGAGTATGTGCCTGTGTATGTTTGAGAATGGGGCAGAGAATTTGTGATATTTTTCAAATGACCTAGATATCACCTATAATATTTGTTTTTGCATGTAATCACTGGATCCGCAAGTCTCTCATTTACTCTCCCTCTGTTTCCAGGTTCCGGGAGGCTCGTGTGGAATTTGGGAAGGAGCGTCGCTGTATAGTTGTGTTCGCCCACCCTGCCGGTAGATCAGTGTCTTTGAAAATCAAATTAGTCTGTAGCTGACTTATACCAGTGTCCCGTGTGGTATTGTTGATCCATTCCTGTTCCTGTAGCGTTTGCAGGAGGAGTGCCATTGGCTGACGGTGGTGGAGTATGTGAGGGTGTGGATGCAGAATAGGCTGGTGTGTTGGAATGCAGAGGAGTGACGCCAGCTGGCCCATAGAATGGCACTGGATGCCCAGTATCTGAGGGATCTCTTCCAGAGCCTGGTTGTGAGGATACACTTGAGTTTAGCCACAGCCAGTGACACCCAGTCCAGTGGGAAACTCGGCCGAGCTCTGCTCTCTTCTCTATCCCACAGACTACACATCCAACCCACAGCCGGTCCACACCATACCCAACATACACCCCAAACCACACCCTCCTTCGTTTTAATTCACAGCACCATTTTATGTACAGTGTTCAATTTTTCATGCTTGCACTGTGTCTGTATCTGGCTGTGTTTGTGTGTCTGTCTGTTGTTGTTAAGGAGGTGGAGGTGGCTTTTAGTGAGGAGCATGTGTCAGTGTTGCTGGATGTCAGGGGACGTGCAGGGGACAGTTCTGTACCTGCTGGAGCAGACCGCTCCTTCCAGCTGGTTACCGACCCATCTTCTCTGACACCCTGGTGCCTACTCCTAGCATGCCATTCTGTCTGCCTACTGCCAAGTGTGCCTCACTAGCAATTTGCACCCTTTAAATCCACTAATCACACACACACACAAGCTTGTGGTTTATAAGTTCTATAAACTTGAAATGAACAATAATAAAATCTAAATGAAAATGTGTGGAATTCATTACTATTTTATTGGAATAATATGTTGATGAATCTGATAACTTTAAAAGGGTTTGATCACTGCCAGAAATAAATACTGGTAACTGCCAAAATAAAACAAATACTTGATTAAATGGGGGATACAAAGTATATTGAAAGCAGGTGTTTCTACACAAATGTGGTTTCTGAGTTAATTAAGCAATTAACATCCCATCATGCTTAAGGTCATTTATCAAAATTCCCAGGTGCGCATTATTTTGCTTACCATGGCTAGAATAAGAGATCTCATTGAATTGACTTTGAAAAAGGGGTCTCAAAGGTACATAGGAGACTGCATTTTCCACCACCATCAACAAAACACCAAATGATGGAATTTATCATGAAAAAGTTCCAGACACTTGTAGAATCTATGCCAAGGCGCATTGAAGATGTTCTGGTGGCCCAACGCCCTATTAAGACACTATGTTGGTGTTTCCTTTATTTTGGCATTTCCTTGTAGCAGTTATCTCGCTAGTTAACTATAGCTAACTAAGCATTGATGTCATTGTAAATGACAAATAACTTGCTGTGCATAGATCTCCCCTGAAACATGAATATTTTAGGCTTCTATATAAACATGTCTAGTTAGATACCTTGCTCTGAAGTAGCCTACCTTCTCCATTTAATTCCTGATTCATTGAGTATATAAAGACAAAAGTATTTGGTTGTAATGTTGCAATATTTTATATCAAGTGTGGCAACCATCCTCCAGGATAGCTACTGGGTGTGCATGTGTTTGTTCAAGTCTTGGTCTCACCCCATTGTAGCCTAAACATCAGCTGCTCAACAGGACCTTGATAAGCAGACTTGGGTGTTTCAGGGCTGGATAAAAAGCCAAGCCTGCACACCCAGGAGCTCTTGACAACATCTGACTAACAGTGCAGTTCTACTTTGTGGGGGGGGGGGGGGTTAAGTGCCTTGATCAAGGGCACAACAGCAGGAGATGGTAAGCCTACTTGGGATCAGACACCGCAGCCTTCCAGTGTCAATAATGCTTACTTTTTCATGTAGGCTATATAATAATGGTTGAAAGTCATGGAGAAGTGATGGAAAATGTGTATGAACCCCTTAACAGTGAATAATCAAATGTCTCTATAGCATAATTTCATTTTTGAATTTCGGTGAAAATAGTATTTAATGGACCGATTTGGAAAAAGACAGCTCCTGCACTTCTTTCATCCCAAATCAAGCACTGACTACAACCAGTTAGCAAGTCGAAAATGTCTGAGTATCCTAGTTGTGACTAGCACATGAACGCAGCAATACAGAAAAAGGGCTTTGATGTGTGCACACTCAGATTAGAAGGGGTTAATGCCGCATTCAAAACAACTGGAAACTCAGGAAATGTCAGACTTCAGTGCGTTCAAGACAACTGGGAACTCACGTAAAAGCGAGCTCCGATTGTGAAAAATATTTTTGAACGGTCATCCAACACGGAATTCCAAGTCTGAAACTCGGGTATATTTCTAGAGCTCCGACCTGAAGATCACTGACATCATGATTTGACCTTGTTTTTGTCAGAGTTCCCAGTTGTCTTGAAAGCACCATATTTTGACACCAGTCGTATGACGTCAGGTGACGTTTCTAGGGAAAACATGTCTGCCCCGGTTGAGACAATGCTGCCATAATTAAATTTGGTAGGGATTGGTGTAAAAACATTATTCTTCTGGAATACAATAGATACAGTGCATTCGGAAAGTATTCAGACCCCTGGACTTTTTCCACATTTTGTTACGTTACAGCCTTATTCTAAAATTGATTACATCGTTTTTTCCCCCTCATCCATCTACACACAATACCCCATAATGACAAAGCAAAAACTGGTTTTTAGAAATTTTTGCAAATGTAAAACAAAATATATTTTTAAAATGTCACATTTACATAAGTATTCAGACACTTTACTCAGTACTTTGTTGAAGCATCTTTGGCCTCGAAGCCACTCCTGTGTTGTCTTGGCTGTGTGCTTAGGGTCATTGTCCTGTTGGAAGGTGAACCTTCGTCCCAGTCCGAGGTCCTGATCGCTCTGGAGCAGGTTTTCATCAAGGATCTCTCTGTACTTTTCTACATTCATATTTGCCTCGATCCTGACTAGATCTGGTCTGATGAAACCAAAATTGAACTCTTTGGCCTGAATGCCAAGCATCACGTCTGGAGGAAACCTTGCACCATCCCTACGGTGAAGCATGGTGGTGGCAGCATCATGCTACGGGATGTTTTTCAGCGGCAGGGACTGGGAGACTAGTTAGGATCGAGGCAAAGAGTCTTTAGGTGCCTTTTGGCAAACTCCAAGCGGGCTGTCATGTGCCTATTACTGAGGAGTGGCTTCTGTCTGGCCACTCTACCATAAAGGCCTGATTGGTGGAGTGCTGCAGAGATGGTTGTTCTTCTGGAAGGTATAGCGAATTGACAGTCCATCATTACTTTAAGACATGAAGGTCAATCAATACGGAACATTTCAAGAACTTTGAATGTTTCTTCAAGTGCAGTCGCAAAAACCATCAAGCGCTATGATGAAACTGGCTCTCATGAGGACCGCCACAGAAATGGAAGACCCAGAGTTACCTCTGCTGCAGAGGATAAATTCATTAGAGTTACCAGCCTCAGAAATTGCAGCCCAAATAAATGCAATTCATGGTCGAATTGCTGCAAAGAAACCACTACTAAAGGACACCAATAAGAAGAAGAGACCTGCTTGGGCCAAGAAACACAAGCAATGGACATTGGACCATTTTGAGATTTTTGGTTCCAACCGCCGTGTCTTTGTTAGACGTGGTGTCGGTGAACGGATGATCTCTGCATGTGTAGTTCCCACCCTATAGCATGGAGGAGGAGGTGCTTTGCTGGTGACACTGTCTATGATTTATTTAGAATTCAAGGCACACTTAACCAGCATGGCTACCACAGCATTCTGCAGCGATATGCCATCCCATCTGGTTTGGGCTTAGTGGGACTATCATTTCTTTTTCAACAGGACAATGACCCAACACACCTCCAGGCTGTGTAAGGGCTATTTTACCAAGAAGGAGAGTAATGGAGTGCTGCATCAGATGATCTGGCCTCCACAATCCCCCAACCTCAACCCAATTGAGATGGTTTGGGATGAGTCGGACGGCAGAGTGAAGGAAGAGCATTCAACAAGTGCTCAGCATATGTGGGAACTCCTTCAAGACTGTTGGAAAAGCATTCCAGGTGAAGCTGGTTGAGAGAATGCCAAGAGTGCGCAAAGCTGTCATCAAGGCAAAGGGTGGCTATTTGAAGAATCTCAAATGTAAAATATATTTTGATTTGTTTAACACTTTTTTGGTTACTACATGATTCCATATGTGTTATTTCATAGTTTTGATGTCTTCACTATTTTTCTACAATGTAGAAAATAGTAAAAATAAAGAAAAACCCTTGAATGAGTAGGTGTGTCCAAATGTCTGACTGGTACTGTGTGTAAATAAGGTATTTCTATTTTTTATTTTTAATACAATTGCAAACATTTCTAGAAACCTGTTTTCACTTTGTCATTATGGGGTACTGTGTGTAGATTGCTGATGAAAAATGTTTAATCAATTTTAGAATAAGGCTGTAACTTATCAAAATGTGGGAAAAGTGAAGGAGTCTGAATACTTTCCGAAGGCACTGTATATTGAAACAAGAACCAACGGTTGACCAGGCTCTAGCTGAACTACAGTCTGCCTTCATTGTATTACAGAATAACTTTATTGACCTGAAATTAGTACTGAATGCAGATAAAACTAAGCATGTTGTTCTCTAGAGCACATAAAAAATAAGTCGGATGATTTTAGCATATGTACTTGGATGGTGTCCATATTGATAGATTAAAAGCTGTCTTTTAAAAAGCATTTTGATGAGTTAGTTAAAAATTGACTTCTTCTATAGAAATAGGTCCTGCCTCTCTAGTAGAAAGCAGATTATTCAATAAACGTTCCTATCGGTCCTAGACTATGGCGACATAATCTATATGTGTGCAGCTGCCATTTCATTAAAGCCATTAGATGCAGTGTATCATAGTGCACTGCGCTTTATTACAGGTGACAATTTTAGTACTCATCACTGCCTTCTCTACCAGAAAGTTGGTTGGCCCACTTTGTTGTCACATACTGTACATTACTATGTTTTCATTTATAAAGCCCTTTTACAAAAAGTCCCACTGTACCTAACATAATTACTAAACTTCAGACACACAAGTTACCACACCCGGTCTCAGGGATGGCTAACTGGAAATTCCTTTCGTCTCTACTGAGTTAGGTAAATCCGTTTTTAGTTGTCTTGCACCTTATTTGTGGAACAATCTTCAAAATGTTCTTAAATCTGATGTTCTGGTGCCTCTAGGGCAATTCAGAAAGCTGATTGAAGACCTTATTACTGATGAATGTATTTGTTTTTATGACTGTGTTTTTCTTTCTGCTTGCATTTTGTATTCATATTTTGATGTGTATTTTCTGTAATTTATGTAATTAAGGCTAATCTGTAAAAGAGACCTTGGTCTCAGTATGACTCCCTGATAAAATACAGGTTAAATAAATAAATACAATAAATGAAAGTTGCATAGGAATCGAATGCTAGCTACCATAGCGATGAAGGCTTTCTGCGGACGTGCGAACCCAGCCACAGGTGCGTTGGATTGGGTCGAGGAGAGTGAGAAGTATGACTATCATCAGGAGATTGCCAGGTACTGTAGCTATGCAAGCTAGCTGACTCCATTTCGTTGGTACATCATTTCATGTTAATGTATTGCACTATGCAAAGCACTAGCTACCTAAAGTTTTCTGTCTTTCTGTCAATCACTTCAAGTCATGTTGCTAGCTATATGAGTTCAATTTAGCTCACCCATGGTGCCTAGGGGGAGTTAATCTAAATGTGTGATATCCATTGTTTCTGTATGATATGTTGGATTAAGGAATAAAGACAGACACCAATGTTCAGTTCAATAGCCTTGTTCAGCCTTGTACAAATCCCTACGCGTGGAGTCTGACTCCGTAACATCCATGATCGTTTGTTTCTCAGGTCCTGTTATGCTGATATGCTGCACGATCACGATAGGGTGAGTATGTGTCCTGGCAGGAAACACTTAATCTACACAATACAGCTTGTACAATAGATGCTACACTTTCTGTGAGGTGTGGAAGCTATCTGCTTTGTCACCCTGTATGTAAACCGCCATCTGTCTATCTCACAGCATGAGAAGTACTACTAGGGTATCAGGGCTGCTGTGAGCAGAATGAAGGCATGGGGGGAGAAAGTCATGATTCTGTACATTGGCACTGGAACAGGATTGCGTTCCATGATGGCTGTCACAGCTGGTGCTGGCAACTGCCATGCTGTGGAGGTGAGAATTACCTTCTTGACTCGCTGAACCCCACGCATCGTTGCCTAATCTATCGAAGTGCATTGACAGTCCACCGTCAATGAGATGATAAGAGGAAAAGGGAAAGGTGTTCTCTGACTGTTTGTATGTCTGATCCAATAGGTTTTCAAGCCCATGGCAGATGCTGCTCTCCGAATAGTGAAAAAAAATGGCTTCTCCGACAAGATCAAGATCATCAATAAACACTCTTCAGAAGTGTTAGTTGGACCAGGTGAGAGTCACACATATTGTACGCACAGTCCTGTGATTAGTAGTCTACAGTTGTTTTGGTTAAAAAGTTACTTTTCAAATTGCCTATGCTGCAGCAACGGTAAATCCTTTTTAATGTGACAAAGACAAATTATCTCACAGTGACCTGAAATATGCCCCAGACATTGCAGTTACATCCATTTTGCAGCCCTTTTTTTCCCCCTCTGCAGTGAAACGTTTTAACCAGCTCAACTGTATTTTACCATCAGAATGTTGATGAATATGTTGTCACTGCAGATGGAGACATGCAGATTCAAGCCAACGTCCTCGTCACAGAGCTGTTTGACACAGAACTGATTGGAGAGGGAGCCTTACCCAGCTATGAACACGCTCATTTGAATTTGGTCCAGGTAAGTGTGTTTGTGTAATAGGCAGAGAAAGAGGCAGATGTGTATTTCTCCTGCAGGAGGGCTGTGAGGCTGTGCCCCATTGTGCCACGGTGTATGTCCAGCTGGTGGAGTCAGAGCAGTTGTGGAGCTGGGCAGAGTTACAATACATGGAGGTGGACGGTTGCAAACTGCTGCCCCTTCCTGCTGTGGGTCTCTGTGCTGGAGCCCACTCTGTCTGTGACATCCAGCCAGATGCTCCCACACTGCTTCACACCACTAGGGCCTCTCTGCACCATGTTCAAGTGAGATGCACATTGTTGAACAAACATGTATTATTTATACATTCCAGATGAATCTTTTCTCATTGAGGTAATTTATGCCTCTTTGTCTATTTTCTTCTCCCCCTCTCAGTGTGGACTTCAGTGAGCAGTGCACCTTTGTCCCACTCCTCCAGATTCCCAGCTCAGTCCAGTGGCCGGGCTTAGGTGGTCCTCTCCTGGTGGGACATAGACATGGACCCCAGCGGCTCCATCGTGTTTTCCATGGCTCCCAGCTGGACCTACACAGACCCTCAGTCCGCTCCTGTGAGTGGAATCTCTTGAATCTCTACATGTGCAATACAGTTTGAGGACATTAGAGGAAGTAATGTTTGTCTTTTTAGCGGCAGGATCACTGGGTGCAGTGTCTACTTCCTGCCTGTGGAGCGGAGGGTGGCTGAGGGGAAGAGCTCAGCCTTAATGTCTCCCATGACGACTACAGCCTATGGTACAGCCTACAGCCGGATAGTTAATTACCTATCTGTAGTTATTTAATCAAATCAAATCAAATCAAATGTTATTTGTCACATGCGCCGAATACAACAGGTGTAGACCTTACTGTGAAATGCTTACTTACAAGCCCTTAACCAACGATGCAGTTCAAGAAATAGAGTTAAGAAAATATTTGCTAAATAAACTAAAGTAAAAAATTAAATAAAAAGTAACATAATAAGATTACATAACAATAACGAGGCTATATACATGGGGTACCGGTACCGTTTGCCATGCGGTAGCAGAGAGAATAGTCTATGACTTGGGTGACTGGAGTGTTTGACAATCTTTTGGGCCTTCCTCTGACACTGCCTAGTATATAGGTCCTGGATGGCAGGAAGCTTGGCCCCAGTGATGTATTGGGCCGTACTCACTACCCTCTGTAGCTCCTTACGGTCGGATGCCGAGCAGTTGCCATACCAGGCGGTGATGCAACCGGTCAGGATGCTCTTGATGGTGCCGCTGTATAACTTTTTGAGGATCTGGGGACCCATGCCAAATCTTTTCAGTCTCCTGAGGGGGAAAAGGTGTTGTCGTGCCCTCTTCACGACTGTCTTGGTGTGTTTGGACCATGGTAGTTTGTTGGTGATGTGGACACCAAGGAACTTGAAACTCTCGACCCGCTCCACTACAGCCCCGTCGAAGTTAACGGGGGCCTGTTCGGCCCTCCTTTTCCTGTAGTCCACGATCATCTCCTTTGTCTTGCTCACGTTGAGGGAGAGGTTGTTGTCCTGGCACCACACTGCCAGGTCTCTGACCTCCTCCCTATAGGCTGTCTCATCGTTGTTGGTGATCAGGTCTACCACTGTTGTGTCGTCAGCAAACTTAATGATGGTGTTGGAGTCGTGCTTGGCCACGCAGTCGTGGGTGAACAGGGAGTACAGGAGGGGACTAAGCACGCACCCCTGAGGGGCCCCGGTGTTGAGGATCAGCATGGCAGATGTGTTGTTGCCTACCCTTACTACCTGGGGACAGCCTGTCAGGAAGTCCAGGACCCAGTTGCAGAGGGAGGTGTTTAGTCCCAGGGTCATTAGCTTAATGATGAGCTTTGTGCGCACTATGGTGTTGAACGCTGAGCTGTAGTCAATTAACAGCATTCTCACATAGTTATTCTTCTTGTCCAGATAGGATAGGGCAGTGTGCAGTGTGATGGCAATTGCATCATCTGTGGATCTATTGGGGCGGTAAGCAAATTGAAGTCTCTCAAAGCACTTCATGATGCATAGTCTATTTATTGTGGTGTTGAAAACACAAACCATGACATTGAAGTGCCTGATGTCGGTATGCTTTGTTTATTGGTTGTGTGGTGTATAGGCAAAGGAACCAGTTGGCGGAAAATTAGTTGTATATATTTTATATAATTATAAATGTCATCAAAATGTTGAAAATCTGATTACCCCCTAGCTGATCATTTTCTGCAGCCGGCTCTGATCGTAGCGTAATGAAACAGGCAGGGAGAGTGAGCTCGTCTGTGGTGGTCGGCGAACCCTCAACCTTCTGGCCTGTAGCTCTGTGGCATTGACTGTGCCACAAAAGCATGCTGAAGTGGCAAGGTCGATATCCACGTTTACAAACACAGGGTCACTATAGTTATAGTTATTTGTGGTCGTAAACATAATTTTGAGTTAATTCTATGAGGGGGGAGGGTGTTCAATCTATTTTACAGTACAAGGGGAGGGTCATGTGAAATTATTTTTAACTTTGAGGGGGGTGTTGTTGTTTTTTATGACACCTTAAGTTGGACCAACCCCCCCCCCCCCCCAGTAAATTGTGATCTGTCCCTTACAATGTAGAAAAAAAGCATATCAGATATCATAGTTATCCATCTTACCAGAGCTTCATCTTATTCTTTCAAAATATTGATATGGCACATTCGCCACCGCAATTTATGGAAGATGCCGAAACTTTGGAGAGAACAATAGATGGCGAAGTCAAAGACTAGGCAAGTGGTTTCCATCTGTGGCGAAGTTTTCCCGAAATCAATGCTTATTACAAATCCAGCTCCAGAACCAGCCATAGTACCAGCTGGCTAATCTTTTGAATACAGTGTAGTAAAAAAGAAAACTGCAACAACAGGACATTAGCTAACTAGATAAGGTTAGCATGCTAGCTAAGTGCCCTATTTGTTGATTTTTATCAACTCCACGTGGAAATTCCCACACCCAATTTGTGAATATGTATAAGTAGCCTTCGTCATTCTTCGAAGGTGGAACCTAAATGTGCATTTCCTCTTTATGTAGTAATTTCCCATCGAAATAATGGTGGCAACTTCCTCTGGGGGGTCCTTTAAATGAATGGACATAATGACATTCCTGATCAAGTCTAATTTCAATTGGAGAAAATAAAGAACTGTTATACATGTGATCAAAGATGGCAATGGGCACTGCTCTAATCTATTCATGAGCACTCACTCACAGCAGTGTACCTAAATGATCCCCTTGCAGCGGTGTCTGGATTGCAGTGAGTCCCGTGAGGCAGAGCCACATCCTCGGTGGGAGTACTCATGTCGGGCCCTTACTCAGCCCAGAGCCGTCATGAACTTTGATGAGGTTAGGGCTCTTAGTTTGATCTCCTACCAAAAGTTTTATTTTGTAAATTGCATTAAGGTCAGTAGTGAAGTACTCATGTGAGAGAGTACAGTAATTGTACATTCTAAAATGAACATTGATAACTCAAGGTAAGTATAGTATCATTCCAAACTGACCCTAGCACAAGCATTTGTGTTTTGGCACAGGAGAGGACATTGCCATTGTGTTGCCCTTTAGATGGAGTACCAACTAAATGATGACATTACAGTTAGCATGGGCCTAACAAGACCAGTCAGTGAAGAGGTAGATGCTTTTGACATCACTTAAATCATCAACAGTTGGAATCTGCACCCATGGTTCATTACAATACAACTTCTGATGAACTGATCCACATCTTAATGTTATTCTATACATTTTTCTACAGAAGACTAATACTGAATAAATAATATTGAATAAATATTTGGACATTGACCAAGTTATTATTATTTTAGCTGTCTAACACAGCATATTGGAGTTGAAATTAAGTAATGAATATGAGCTGAAAGTGCAGACTTTCAGCTTTAATTTGAGGGTATTTACATCCAAATTGGGTGAACGGTGTAGGAATTACAGCACTTTCTATATGTGGTTCCCCCCTTTTTAAGGGACCAAAAGTAATTGGACAATTGGCTGCTCAGCTGTTCCATTGCCAGGTGTGTGTTATTCCCTCATTAGTTCATTTACAAGTAAGCAGATAAAAGGTCTAGAGTTGATTTCAAGTGTGGCATTTGCATTTGGAATCTGTTGCTGTTAACCCTCAATATGAAGTCCAAAGAGCTGTCACTGCCAGTGAAGCAAGCCATCATTAGGCTGAAAAATCTAAACAAACCGATCAGAGAGATAGCAAAAACATTAGGTGTGGCCAAATCAAACATTTGGTACATTCTTAAAAAGAAAGAACGCACTGGTGAGCTCAGGAACACCAAAAGGCCTGGAAGACCACGGAAAACAACTGTGGTGGATGACAGAAGAATTCTTTCCCTGGTGAAGAAAAACCCCTTCACAACAGTTGGCCAGATCAAGAACACCCTCCAGGAGGTAGGTGTATCTGAGTCAAAGTCAACAATCAAGAGAAGACTTCACCAGAGTAAATACATTTACCACAAGATGTAAACCATTGGTAAGCCTCAAAAACAGGAAGACCAGATTAGAGTTTGCCAAAAAACAACTAAAAAAGCCTGTACAGTTCTGGAACAACATCCTATGGACAGATGAGACAAAGATCAAATTTTAATGATGGGAAGAGAAGGGAAGAAACTGCTCATGATCCGAAGCATACCACCTCATCTGTGAAGCATGGTGGAGGTAGTGTTATGGCGTGGGCATGTATGGCTGCCAATGGAACTGGTTCCCCTGTTTTATTGATGATGTGAATGCTGACAAAAGCAGCAGGATGAATTCTGAAGTGTTTAGGGCTACATTATCTGCTCAGATTCAGCCAAATGCTTCAAAACTCATTGGACGGCGCTTCACAGTGCAGATGGACAACGACCCGAAGCGTACTGCAAAAGCAACCAAATACTTTTTTAAGGCAAAGAAGTGGATTGTTCTGCAATGGCCAAGTCAATCCCCTGACCTGAATCCAATTGAGCATGCATTTCACTGGCTGATGGTAAAACTGAAGGCAAAATGCCCCAAGAACAAGCAGGAACTGAAGACCGCTGCAGTAAAGGCAGAGCATCACCAGGGAAGAAACCCAGCATCTGGTGATATCTATGTGTTCCAGACATCAGGCAGTCATTGACTGCAAATGATTTGCAACAAAGTATTAAAACTCACAATTTAATTTATGATTGTTAGTTTGTCCAATTACTTTTGAGCCCCTTAAATTAAAGATGAAAGTCTACACTTAAAGCACATTTAGACTGTTTCCTTTCAAATCCATTGTGGCGAACAGAGCCAAAATGATGCAAATTGTGTCACTGTCCAGATACTTTGGGACCTGACTATATATTTTGGCATTAATACGTGCCACATATCAGTTTGCAAACAATGTAAAAAAAATAATATTTTGAGTTAATAAAGCTGTATACAAACATGGTCTCTTTTTTGCTTTCTTGAGTAAAGCAGCTGGTGGTGGGGCAACCAGCAGAATATACGGAGCATAGGGGTTGGTAATGTTCTCTAGTTCTCTTGGACTGATCATGTCAACATCATACTTTCAAAATCTTAGCTAGCAAGCTAGAAAAGCTGTCATCATCATGAATCAAGTCGACAATATACTGGCAAATCCTTTTCCATCCTTGTCATATGAAGATAAATTATAGATAAAACATATCGGTGTTTAACGGCCATTTGACATAAACATTACACAACAAGTTGGAAATTGCAAATTCAATGAGTGGTTTGGAAGGAATCAGTGGCTAACTGCAAGCGTTGCAAAGCAATAACTAGCCTGCTATTTAGTGGAGTGAGTGTGTGGTCCAAGTCTGGGTTTAAGGGTCTCTTTTCATAGCTTAAAAGGATAAACATTCACATACAACACCATGGGCCAGAAAAGGTTGAATACATTAGCTGTCAATCCAGCATGATTTCTGCCGCGTTCAAAACAACTGGAAACTCGGAACTGGGAAATCTCAGACTTCAGTGAGTTCAAGACAACTGGGAACTCGGGAAAAACGAGCTCCGACTGGGAAAATACGTTTTGAACGGTCATCCAACTCAGAATTCCAAGTCGGGAACTCTGGCTTCTTTCTAGAGCTCCGACCTGAAGATCACTGACGTCATGACCTAGTTTTCTTTCCAGAGTTCCCAGTTGCCTTGAAAGCACCATAAATCCAGAGAATGCCAGACTTTGATGACAAAGTTTGATGACATAATGAACTTCCTGTTCAAGTGAGCACAGAACAAGGTGAGGCCAAAAATGTCTGGTATGCTGCTGCATAATGATGTAATATGCCAGGGAGATATGTATACTGTAGCTAAGAAAGTGATACTAAGTATGTTGTGTAGTAAGCTGTTAGTAGCCCATGTGCCTCACCCTAATAATTTGGTACCTTTCCCCCTCTTAATTTATCCTACGGTTCTGACTTGGTGTACAGGGAGAATACTGTAAGAACAGCCCATGTTCTGAATTCTGTCGCTGTACATTTCAAAAGTGCTGAACAAATAGTTATATTGACAACGTCCGTTCTAGCTCGCTCATTGTCTTAATCAAAATTACAGATTTTCTCTTATCAGCTCGTTGTTCCCTTTAGTTTGTACATCTCAATTGTCAGTAGAAACACCATTTGTTTAAGCAAGTCTGCCATACCAGCTATGTTTTTTAAAAGGCAGTAAATGAGGCTGAATTAACTGTTTTGCTGCCAGACAAGGCTCCGCTGATAGCCAGGTGTAGCGGTGGTAAGGATTTACTCCATGGTGCTGAAAAGATAGCTCTGCTGTTGGGACAGCTTGTGGCCACCGTTTGTCACCATTATAGTGCAATTAATGTATTGTTTAGTGTTGTGTAGTGGCTTTGCTGGCATGCATCTAAAGAAAAAGTGAGTATGCTCCACCAAGATTTACATGCTAAAATCGCCACTGGAAACAGCATTGGGGACATCAAAATGGGCTTCAATTGCCTCAGTGATCCGTAGCAGTATGCCTTGAGTATACATGAAATCTTACATCCCTGGGTTGGTTTCTACACAGAGGACAGACATTTAAAATAAATCTCTAAATGTAATCCAGTAAAACGAAATACTAATGGATGGTGTTACATTTAGTCGTTTTATACTGTATTGCTGTTGCCTTCCATTTGTATTATTGTGCTTCTATTGAGTGTGGAAGTGAGAGAAAAAAATACACACATAAAGGCCAATTGTGAGATTGAAAGTGAGGAAATGGTTTGTGATTGGATCTAAAACAATCTGATCTGTAAACGAGTAATAATTAAATAGGATATCCTGAAAAAAAATGAATTTGTGACTATGATTAACAGATTTTTATTGAACTCTAAACAGATATAGTAATATACACATGATTCATTGAACTGCCAAATCGACACCTGTATGTTCCATGAAGACAAGGCACAATTGGCCCAGCGTCATCGGCGTTAGGGGAGGGTTTGGCCGGCTGGGATGTCCTTGTCCCATCGTGCTCTAGCGACTCCTTGTGGCAGCCCGGGCACATGCACGCTGACTTCGGTCGCCAGCTATACGGCGTTTCCTCTGACACATTGGTGCGGCTGGCTTCTGGGTTAAGCGAGCAGTGTGTCAAGAAGCAGTGTGGCTTGGCAGGGTAGTGTTTCAGAGGATGCATGGCTCTCGACCTTCGCCTCTACCGAGTCCGTACGGGAGTTGCAGCAATGGGACAAGACTGTAAAAAGCAGATTGAGTTTTCTTAAACTGTATCTGCTTTTTGCGCTCACATAAATGAGATGTAGAACCATTCTCATCTCATTGAGAACCTGGCATTGAACAAGGACTCCAGGGCAATGTTCCCTCTAAGCTGCTTGCGGGTGCGCAGTAGCCCCGAGACTTCCGCACAGCTCCCCGGGATTGCTGAGCAGAAGAATCATCAGCCCAAGGAGAGAAAGAAGCATACCCCTGTTAACACTACCAACGTTTCCCTTTACTCTGGCAATTGTGATTGAATCAACACAATATTAGCCACTTTCAATGCAACATACCGAGAGAAAAAAATAAAAAACTATGCAAAACTAACTATGCAAGAGATTTTGTTGTAGGCAGAATGTATCAGAGTAAGATTATTTTGAATTGACACTGCACGACTCAGCCCGTACTCTACACAGACCGGTGCGGCATAACCAATCAGAGCTGCAGTAGGCCTATATGCAAATAGACCATTGCCATATATGGATCTGTGCAATTTACTTTGAACTGGACTGTGTTTACAGCATGAGCTGTCCTGAGTAGATGCGCTTGTTTTGAGATCAAAGCGAGAGCTGCATGTAGCCATGTGTGCACATTTTGTTCATATCCTTTGCTAGTTAATGAGTTATTAGCCCAGTTATAGATCATTTGTAGTCAGCAATAGGGGAGTGATTGCTTCCTACAAGAGCACAAAACATGTACATTTCTAGACATCTTGGAAAAGCGAGTCAGGTAAAGGGGCAATGTTGTATTTTGAGACAGGCTTGAATAAGCTAAGTAGCCAATAGGCAGAGGGTAGCATAACTTGTCTGATTCTCTGTAATAATGGTATGGGAATAATAATTTATTTTATTTTGTAAAGTGGTTTCTTGCATCAAACAACATTTTCAGTAACCTCCTTGTCTGAAGGACAAGTGGATAAACAGGTTAATGTTAAGCCCTGCATGTTTTTTTCAACAGTCTTATGGAATGTAGACCTACATTGAAAACCATTCATTGGCTGCTACTTTAGGCTGAATGATAGAACAGCTATTTCCATGTTTAAATGTTATGGGATGCATTTTCTCCATTGTTTTTGATGGTAGGCCACTCTGGTAGGCCTACATTATGATCAAATAGCCACAGTAGCTTACTTGACAACAGTTAAATCTAACTTAAAGTGGGTACAGCCTCAGCGTTCACAGTAAACGCGCAGAAGTTGCACAGAACTTTCACAACGTTCAAGTTTGCGCACAGTAGACCTGAAATTTGCTCAGTGCCAAAAAAATAGGGAATATTGCTCCAGGGGGTGGTAGGTTAGCAGGGTGTAAGGAATGTAAATAATGCGACACTACAGAAAAAAAGTGTTCCTAGGCATCATTTAGCCCTGTGTTGGCCAGGACAACCTTCTCCCCAGGTTTAAAGGCAGGCATCCCAAGATACGGGCAGCTGGCACATCGGAAGGCATCACCCAGGTAACACTGAAATACAGATAAAAAGGTAAGGTCAACAATTACAAACTGGCTTCACAAAGATACATGTGCCGACACGGATAGAAAGCTACAGTATGATGGTTGCATATGGGCAAAGAGTGACACTCACACTTCCACACGCTGACTTGGGCTGGCTGATCATCTGGGCACCCTTGCTTTCCTGTTCCAACTCCTCAGCAAGACCACAAGAGCTACATAGGAGGAGTAATGACAAATGATACAAGGCAACCATGTGTGATTATCTCCATTTTCAATAATCAGTTGAACTTCATCACTCATGTCTCTTGGTTATGACTCCAGCGATCTTGTTGGTGTCTGGATGAGCCCTCTTTTCTGTAACCAAAGAAAGGGTGAGGGGTGTTTCTCACCAGTTCTTGCAAGCCTTCTTTTTCTTGGTTGTTCCGTCACCACAGGAGGGCGCCTTGAGGGAGGCTGCATCTGGCTTCTTGAGATCATCTGCATCCAGGAGAGCATCTGAGTCTACCAGGTCCTGAAGAGACAGGGGAATGGCATATTGAGACACCCATCGAATGCCATAAATCATATAGATATACACACAAATACAACCAAACACTCACCACATCATCATCATCCATGTCATTGGCTGACAGGGTCCATGCCTTGGCAGCATTGGGGTCAAGAGCAGGTTTGTCTTCTGCAACAAGAAAATGAATACCATTTTAAAGGGAGGCCAGAGGCAAGAGGAAAAGTTTGAAATGGTAACAGAAGAAAGGAGAACTCCACATACCTGGTTTTGGGGTCTTTTTCCCAAAGGAAAGCTTCAGCTGGCTAGAGGAGCCCACCTCAAAGTTGGGTTTAAAAGCAGACATGCGCACCCTGGAGAGAATGTTCCCCTGGAAGCCTGTAGATGTCCTCAGGGCAGAAAAAGCTTTTGGGGTCAGGGGTCCTTTACTGATCTGCCAATGTTGGTAAACAAAAAATTAGTCAGTGTACACAGAACCTGGAGGAGTGGATATTTACCATTCCAGTGCTGGTTTACTCACCTCAGTCACAGACACCAGGCCAGACAACTTCAAGGCTGACATAAGCTTCTCAGCAGTCCTCACTTGTTGGTCATTAGTTCCTGAGAAAAAGGACAGGTATCAAGTGTCAAGAAACAGTGTCCTTTACTATGTGTCCTCAATAATGACCATGGAGACTTTGCTCTCGCCACCCCTCTTACCTGTAACAGGTTCCTCTAGAACTAGTTTCCCACCAGGTTTTATCACTCTGGCCATCTCTGCTAGCGTCTCTGAGGTGTGAACGAAAGAGCTGTCAGAGAGTAGACTTGAGAGGACCCAGTCATAAGTTGATGCTGCATGTGAAGCTGAGGAAAGGAGAGGATGAACAGGCCTATTGGTGACTCACCTTATCGTTAGACAAGGAGTAGCAGGTGCAGTTTTACAATCCAATGCCTTTTAACAAGTGCATAGAATATCAGACCTAGACATGCATGAGTTTTGATATAGCATTGGCCAACTGTTGAAACAGAACCTTAGGAAAGGGTCACTCACACATTAGAAGTCTCTCCATATTCTCCAGTGACACTCGGCCCTCAGAGCCAACCATGGCCCCTAGACTCTCTGCCAGCTCCTTCAGGGTTGTTGGGGATGAGGGCTGGCTCCACACCAACAGCACCTTATCCCCTGCTTTTACACCAATATCTGCCATGGTCTCCTGCAAACAGAGCAACAGTCAATATATTAACACACTTACTAGCATTTTCAATTAAATCGATCCAAAGAAACCACCACAGACTGCGGACACTGTCCCATAACTACCTCCTCCCAAAATGGAGATACCCGAGCGGACAGAACATACAGTGCATTTGGAAAGTATTCAGACCCCTTTGACTTTTTCCCACATTTTGTTACGTTACAGCCTTATTCTAAAATTGATTAAATTGTTTGTTTTCTTCATCAATCTACACACAATAGCCCATAATGACAAAGCAAACACAGGTTTTTAGACATTTTTGCCAATTTATTGAAAATTAAGAACTGAAATATCAAATTTACATAAATATTCAAACCCTTTACTCAGTACTTTGTTGAAGCACCTTTGGCAGCGATTACAGCCTCGAGTCTTCTTGGGTATGACACTACATGCTTGGCACACCTGTGTTTAGGGAGTTTCTCCCATTCTTCTCTGCAGATCCTCTCAAGCTCTGTCAGGTTGGATGGGGAGCATTGCTGCACAGCTATTTTCAGGTCCCTCCAGAGATGTTTGATCGGGTTCAAGTCCGGGCTCTGGCTGGGCCACTCAAGGACATTCAGAGACTTGTCCCGAAGCCACTCCTGCGTTGTCCTTGCTGTGTGCTTAGGGTCGTTGTCCTGTTGGAAGGTGAACCGTCGCCCCAGTCTGAGGTCCTGAGCGCTCTGGAGCAGGTTTTCATCAAGGATCTCTCTGTATTTTGCTTCGTTCATCTTTCCCTTGATCCTGACTAGTCTCCCAGTCCCTGCCGCTGAAAAACATCCCCACAGCATGATGCTGCCACCACCATGCTTCACTGTAGGGATGGTGGCAGGTTTCCTCCAGATGTGATGCTTAGCCTTCAGGCCAAAGAGTTCAATCTTGGTTTCATCAGACCCGAGAATCTTGTTTCTCATGGTCTGAGAGTCCTTTAGGTGCATTTTGGCAAACTCCAAGCGGGCTGTCATGTGACTTTTACTAAGGTGTGATTTCCGTCTGGCCACGCTACCATAAAGGCCTGATTTGTGGAGTGCTGCAGAGATGGTTGACCTTCTGGAAGGTTCTCCCATCTCCACAGAGGAACTGTGGAGTTCTGTCAGTGACCATCGTGTTCTTGGTCATCTCCCTGACCAAGGCCCTTCTCCCCCGATTGCTCAGTTTGGCCAAGTGGCCAGCTAAAGGAAATGTATTCTTCCATTTAAGAATGATGGAGGCCACTGTGTTCTTGGGGACCTATAATCCTGCAGACATTTTTTGGTACCCTTCCCCAGATCTGTGCCTCGACACAATCCTGTCTCGGAGCTCTACGGACAATTCCTTCGACCTCATGGCTTGGTTTTTGCTCTGACATGCACTGTCAACGGTGGGACATTATATAGACAAGTGTGTGCCTTTCCAAATCATGTCCAATTCATTGAATTTACCACAGGTGGACTCCAATCAAGTTGTAGAAACCTCTCAAGGATGATCAATGGAAACAGGATGCACCTGAGCTCAATTTTGAGTCTCATAGCAAAGGGTCTGAATACTTATGTAAATAAGGTATTTATGTTTTTTATCTTCTATAAATTAGCAAAAATGTCTAAAAACCTGTTTTCGCCTTGTCATTATGGGGTATTGTGTGTAGATTGATGAGGGAAAAAAAGTAATTTAATTCATTTCAGTATATAAGCCTGTAACGTAACAAAACGTGGAAAAAGTCAAGGGGTCTGAATACGTTCCGAATGCACTGTATCTGTCATGCTGATAAGACACCACGTGTTGGGGACAGGAGTAAACTCGCCCACCAAATAGATTAGCGGTACCTGATAGTAGCTGTCTCATGAGTCGTAGATTGAAGATTGAGAAAGAATTTAAAGAAACCTTGTTCCATACAGAATGCTTTACTGACTTCTGTTGGGATATAACAATTGTTCTGGATTGGTTACAGCCAGCACCTTGCATCAGTTACACAGACATAAGAATTAGGGTTAATTAGTGTAAGGTGACCAGACTGTCCCCGGCTAGAGCTGTCCCCGGAAATGTCCCCGATTAGCCCTCAGAAAGAAAAAAGCTTAAATTGAGGCTGATATTCCAATAATCAAACGCTGTATCCAATCAGATTTGCATGTACAAATTATGTCTATCCCTGTACCCAACTCGTTTGGTCCCGTAGTGTTGCCGTGGACATTTTATGAGAGCGTTTGATCAGTGAAACATTTTAACCACCGCATGAACAACCATGCCTATGGCCATCCAACAGCATAGGCTACCAAACTTGGGTGATAAAAAAATAACGAGATAAGATTAAGAAAACTGTGGAGGGGTTGTTATAACGGGATATGTGACGCTCCATAACCGCTACAGATTGGCTAATGTAAAGCGTTGCAAGGAATCTTTCAACCAGGTCCAACTTGGTCAGGCTGAGTAAGTTCCCTCAAAGCAAATTCGTCATTGGCTTTGATACTCTGATTGGTTAGAGACGATCCAATCGCCGATGTCTTTGTTTTGTACAATGCCCTTGTGCCCCTCCTCACCACAAACGACTTCAATGATGGCAGTCTCAGATTCCTGGTGCATTCAAGACAACTGGGAATTCAGGTAAAAATAGCTTTTTGGTCTTAATTTAAGATTAGGCCTAAGATTAGGGATGTGGTTAAGGTTATGTTTCCGACTTAAGGTGAAAAACAAGAAATAGGCAGGGTTTTATGACTGTGGTTGTGGTAGCTAGTGACACCTTCTGACCTGAAGATCACTGACATCATGATTTGACCTCATTTGTTTCTGTGTTACCAGTTGTCTTGAAAGCACCATGTATCTAGTCTGATGGCGCTTTCAAGACATCTGTGAACTCGGGAAAAAAACTAGGTCAAATCATGACGTCAGTGATCTTCAGGTCAGAAAGTGGGGTTCTAAAAAGATGCCAAAGTCAAAAACATTTAGCTCTTAGCTAGGCAAGTTGTTGTATTTTGAGGCTTAAACTCTAAACTAAGCTGTTTTCTGGTTGAATTGCAGTATGTAGCTATTTAGTTTGAGAAACGATTGCTATTCCAACTTGTTCTGTGGAGAGAAAAATATTCCAATATTTGCATTATCGTTGTAATTTGAGGATAGCTGTAAGGGTAATCGAATCAGTTCTCCTCGAGCTCATTAATGATAGAATGTTCATATTTGAAGATGGCAGAAAGCAGTGGAGGCTCCACAGAGGAGGAAGGGGAGGACCGTCCTACTCAGTGAATTTCATAAAAATGAAACAAAAAAGTTACCCTTTTTAGGTAAAACTACACTAGATATATTCACGTCACCAAATAATGGATTAAAACATACTGTTTGGAATGAAGGTCTACAGTAGCCTCAACAGCACCCTCTAGGGTAGCACCATGGTGTAGCTGGAGGACAGCTATTTTCCGTCCTCCTCTGACTTCAATACTAAACCTAGAACGCTCATTGTTCTCACCCCATTCCATAGACTTGCACAGTAATTATGACGACTTCCGGAAGACATTCTCCAACCTATCAGAGCTCTTGCAGCATGAACTGACATGTTGTCCACCCAATCAAAGGATCAGAAAATGAATCTAGTACTGAAAGCATAAGCTACAGCTAGTTAGCACTGTAGCGCATAAAATGTGGTGAGTAGTTGACTCAAATAGAGAGAAACAATTGAACAGTATTGAACAGTTTTGAACAAATACATTTCTTCAAAAATTGAGAAGCAGCAGCAGAGAGAGATTTTGTTGAATTTGTTTCACTTTCACTTACTTAGCTAACTAATACACCTAGCTAATTTAGCCTATTCAAACATCTGGCTCAAATAGAGAGGTATTACATTTATGTTAAGTGAGCTGGCTAAGGCTATCCAACACTGGAACTCTTCCAAGTCAAGGTAAGCTTTCGGTTTTATTAATTTATTGCCACCGGGGCCCGCCGGTGTAACTGCTAAACTGTTTGCTGTACACTGTACTGGATGATTGTAGTGGGTTTATTAACGCGTTAGTTCTAGTCGCTATGTTGACAATAATGTTACCTAATATGGTGACAACGATGTAGACTGTGTGTAGTGATTATGGTATGAAGGTTTGGCTTGGATTTTTTTTTAAATCTGTTCACAGACAGCTGTTGTGTTGTGCACTGAAGTCCACAAGCGAAGGAAATAGGTGAGAGGATGAGAGTGCGTAGATGCGAGAAGGAATTATACAACAAGCAAAGTGATGATGCTGTTTGTATGTGGCTGATATGAACGTGAACTGTGTGAGGGCGATCAGGGGTGTATTCATTCCGTCGATTCTGTTGGATAATTTTTTTTTCTTAAACGGAACAAACGGGGATAGACCTACGTTGAATTTGTCCAATAGAAACTCTCGTTTTGGTTGCAAAACAGAAATGTTTGGACTAATGATTACACCCTAGATCTGCTAGATGCAGGCAAGAGTGTGCAAGGCGGTATTGAATGTGTCATTATCTGTCACCTTGATTACTCCAATTTGTCTCGACATGTGCACCTACGTTATAAACTTTAATTTGTAAGCTAGGTTGTAGCAACCTCATAGGTAAGAGTATCATATAAACTCAGCAAAAAAAGAAACATTCATTTTTCAGGACCCTGTCTTTCAAAGATAATTCGTAAAAATCCAAATAACTTCACAGATCTTCATTGTAAAGGGTTTAAACACTGTTTCCTGTGCTTGTTCAATTAACCATAAACAATTAATGAACATGCACCTGTGGAATGGTCTTTAAGACACTAACAGCTTACAGACGGTAGCCAATTAAGGTCACAGTTATGAAAACTTAGGACACTAAAGAGGCCTTTCTACTGACTCTGAAAAACACCAAAAGAAAGATGCCCAGGGTCCCTGCTCATCTGCGTGAACGTGCATTAGGCATACTGCAAGGAGGCATGAGGACTACAGATGTGGCCAGGGCAATAAATTGCAAGTCCGTATTGTGAGACGCCTAAAACAGCGCTACAGGGAGACAGGACGGACATAATGAATAAGGTCATGCAGAAAGGCCAATCTCTTTGGCACATTACATGGAGTACAGAGAGTGGATTAGCTAAAGAGACTGGTACCCAAGCTACCATGTAAATAGAACACACGTGAATATGGAATATTCTAGAACCGACTAGAAACCAAACGTTTCTGGCATAGTACTTACTGCCAGTCATACAGACATCATCAAGCCTATTTTAGCACATCACGTTTTCAACATTGTCTTGTTGTCTCGTTTAATTAAAGACGTTCAAATGTGCTTTTCTCTTTGTGACAAGTTACCAAACAGCTGGTAGCGGCTTGACGCAAAAGTTAGCTAGTAGCTAACGTTGTTTAGCTAACAGCTGACAAAACGTTCACATCAAAATGTATGTTTTCGCTATGCAGATTCACAAAAAGTGTGTGGTAATTCCGCTTTGACTTTGAGACTTTCTGAACATTAAATAAGGCAAAAAGGTTTTCGGTCAACGTTAGCTGACCTGCTAACTTACCTCTCCGGTCAAAATAATGACGTATATTACGTGCTGCTTAAGAGAGTCGCGTAAAAATGATGCGTCTGATGTCTAAAAAAATCTGTTAGCAGCTGGATATGGCGGCGCTGCTAAGAGGACTACGAGTTGGAAGGGCCCTGCGGGGTCTTGGCAGCGGTGAGCCAAGACTTGCTAGTTGGTCTTTGTCTGTAGGCATTAGCCAGTAGCTCGGGAACTTGGCTTTGGTAATCGTATACATTGGTTTAGGTCTTAATCGCGAGGGAGCTTGCGAACTAGCTAGCAAACCAATGTCACTTTTCGGAGAAGGTGATCATGAAGGACAGAATCTGGTAACAATGTTGGCTACTCCTTGCAAACTAAATCTCAACGCAAGAAAACACATTTAGTTATCACAACTGCAAGTATTGAGTTCTTCGATCCAATAAACATCGCTACCTAATTAGGCTAACCCCTTAAATTGTGACGGGGTTACATTGTCCAAGTACTTTCACAAACTACTCACATAGTGACTCTTACCCTGAAATTACCCCCCGTATTATGGATCTATAATTATTAGCCAACTTAGTTAATACTTGTGCTCAGTCAGGACACAGGATGCAAAGTGTCAGTATGAACATCATTAGAGCATAATTTTCTGCTTTTTTTCTTGTAGTGGTAATTCCAAAAACATCCAGTCCCCAATGCAATGGCCTGAGAAGAGGCTTCCACTGTGCTGCACTTTGTCTTCAGGAGGACAAGGACAAGTCCATCCCTGTCCCCCCATCCTCTGCTGCATCCTCAACTACAACCTTCCACGAGCATTACCAAGCCCACCCATCTAAAAACGACACTACGACATATACGCAGGAAGCTGCTGCTAAGGAGGCTCCCCAGCCCAATACTAGGTTAGGTTCCACCAAACTGAACTGACACCCATTTAACCAATGCATAATAACATTACAATACCATGTTGTGGTGTATGCCTCTGGAACAACATTTATGTGACATTTGGTTCTTAAGTTACTTATGTGTGTATGCCAATGGTGTATGCTGTGTTCTCTCTATTGTCGCTGCAGTTATGCAGACCAAAGTGGAGAACAAGGAGAAGAGTATGAAACAGAGGAGCAACTGCAAGCACACATCCTTAACGCTGCACTGGACTTTGTCCCACTACATGGTTGGACTCTTGAGGCCATTTCAGCAGGGGCTGAGGTGAGTGGAAGGAAGTTGAATTTACTGTAGTTGTGTGGATGGAGAGATTTATCTATGTGACTAAATGTAATTGTTGCTTTTCTGTTACTGTTTTCCTCGGAGCAGACACTGGGCCTCTCAGCAGCCTCCAGTGAAATGTTCCAGAATGGCGCAGGGGACCTGGTTTTGCACTTCGTCGCTCAGTGCAATGCCCAGCTAACAGAGCAGCTGGCAGAGCAGCACAACAAGATCCAACTTGGTCAGGCTGAGTAAGCTCCATCATGCTCTCAAATTAGCAGGTTCAAAATAGTGCACTTTTACTGCGCAGTTAGGATTTAAACATGAATGTCATTGTTATCGGTGTGTGTGGGCATGTGTTAACCACATCATTTCTTGCAGACCAAAGAAAACTGCTGAGTTTCTTAGAGATGCTGTGGAGACCAGATTGAGGATGTTGACCCCATACATCGATAATTGGCCACAGGTATCTTGCACACAACACAGTATAACAATTAGACATCAACTGGACATGTGACAGTTAATCTCTTCACCTTAAACCAGTTCAGGCTACTCATTGGTATAAGGTAGCCTAATCTTGTAACATCGTCTTGATACACTAGTAGAGGCAACCATTTATTAAACCTGTGCACAGATGTGCCATATATTTGCAGGGTTTCCTACTTACAAAGCATGTAGAGGTCTGTAATATTTATCATAGGTACACTTCAACTGTGAGAGACGAAATCTAAAACAAAAATCCAGAAAATCACATTGTATGATTTTTAAGTACCGGTAATTAATTTGCATTGTATTGCATGACATAAGTATTTGATACATCAGAAAAGCAGAACTTAATATTTGGTACAGAAACCTTTGTTTGTAATTACAGAGATCATACGTTTCCTGTAGGTCTTGACCAGGTTTGCACACACTGCAGCAGGGATTTTGGCCCACTCCTCCATACAGACCTTCTCCAGATCCTTCAGGTTTCGGGGCTGTTGCTGGGCAATACGGACTTTCAGCTCCCTCCAAAGATTTTCTATTGGGTTCAGGTCTGGAGACTGGCTAGGCCACTCCAGGACCTTGAGATGCTTCTTACGGAGCCACTCCTTAGTTGCCCTGGCTGTGTGTGTCGGGTCATTGTCATGCTGGAAGACCCAGCCACGACCCATCTTCAATGCTCTTACTGAGGGAAGGAGGTTGTTGGCCAAGATCTCGCGATACATGGCCCCATCCATCCTCCCCTCAATACGGTGCAGTCGTCCTGTCCCCTTTGCAGAAAAGCATCCCCAAAGAATGATGTTTCCAGTTCCATGCTTCACGGTTGGGATGGTGTTCTTGGGGTTGTACTCATCCTTCTTCTTCCTCCAAACACGGCGAGTGGAGTTTAGACCAAAAAGCTCTATTTTTGTCTCATCAGACCACATGACCTTCTCCCATTCCTCCTCTGGATCATCCAGATGGTCATTGGCAAACTTCAGACGGGCCTGGACATGTGCTGGCTTGAGCAGGGGGACCTTGCGTGCGCTGCAGGATTTTAATCCATGACGGCGTAGTGTGTTACTAATGGTTTTCTTTGAGACTGTGGTCCCAGCTCTCTTCAGGTCATTGACCAGGTCCTGCCGTGTAGTTCTGGGCTGATCCCTCACCTTCCTCATGATCATTGATGCCCCACGAGGTGAGATCTTGCATGGAGCCCCAGACCGAGGGTGATTGACCGTCATCTTGAACTTCTTCCATTTTCTAATAATTGCGCCAACAGTTGTTGCCTTCTCACCAAGCTGCTTGCCTATTGTCCTGTAGCCCATCCCAGCCTTGTGCAGATCTACAATATTATCCCTGATGTCCTTACACAGCTCTCTGGTCTTGGCCATTGTGGAGAGGTTGGAGTCTGTTTGATTGAGTGTGTGGACAAGTGTCTTTTATACAGGTAACGAGTTCAAACAGGTGCAGTTAATACACGTAATGAGTGGAGAACAGGAGGGCTTCTTAAAGAAAAACTAACAGGTCTGTGAGAGCCGGAATTCTTACTGGTTGGTAGGTGATCAAATACTTATGTCATGCAATAAAATGCAAACTAATTACTTAAAAATCATACAATGTGATTTTCTGGATTTTTGATTACAGACCTCTACATGCTTTGTAAGTAGGAAAACCTGCAAAATCGGCAGTGTATCAAATACTTGTTCTCCCCACTGTAGCTTACTTGAGCAAATGTATCACTTTGCCATCAACATTAGTCTCTCCCAAATATATTTTATTTTAGTATTACACTCAGTAACAGGCATCTGTTTTTTTTCTGCTGATTAAATTATATCTTCCTTTCTCCTCTCCAGGCTATGAGTATTCTGCTCCTCCCACACAACATCCCAGACAGTCTGAAGCACCTCTCCACCCTGGTGGATGATATCTGGTACTATGCTGGAGACCGTTCCACAGATGTGAGTCGACCCTCTCAGCCTAAGTACCCCTCTCCCCATGTCTTCCTCACCCCCTTTCATCAGGCACCTCATACTATCCGGCCTGCCTCTGCAAAGGTTACTACTCACCACCTCTCCTCACATTGCACTCTCCTTGTCTCTCTCACTTTTAACTCTGTTTACCCCATTAATCCATCTCCAATGCCCTCCTATTCTCATTAATTGTACATGTGGGTGCTACTGACATTATTTGTCAATTGTTTTCAATCAGCCCAATCCACATTTTTCCCTTGATTAAGGTTTTTGTCTTTCAACAACCACTTTAATAGTATGTCTATGTGTCAAAATCTTTGTTATTTAGTTTTCACTTTTTTCCCATATCAGTTGAACTGGTATACGAAACGGGCTGCGCTGACAGGGATCTATAACACCACTGAGCTAGTGATGATACAGGACTCCTCAGAAGACTTCCAGGACACCTGGAACTTCCTTGAAAACCGAATCCAGGATATTGTCAACATGGCTGGCACTGCCAAACAGGTACCATTTCCTCAGTCTGTGCATAGTCCCTTTAATGATGTAAAAGGTCACTAGTGATACAATTAAAAAATATAAATCATTAGAAAGAACTCACTAGTATACAACCTATATTAAGGGAACTCAATATGTGTAATTTACATCTCTTTTGCTATTGTGTCCTGTAGGCAGTATCTACAGGAGAAGCAGTGGCGCAGGGGCTTATGGGAGCTGCTGTTACGGTGAGGGTGCTAGAGAGATAATATGCACGTTTGGGATGCACAGAACAAAGGATTATTATTACAAATTGAAATTTTAAACGCTTCTCCAGGCATTGTCTTCAGAATCCTACATTGTTTAAATGTTTTAATGTCTTACACTTTGTTTAATACCCATTGTATTCTGTGTGTTTAGTAGTGACTGGAGATTTCCTTGTTTTTTTTTCAGCTGAAGAATCTAACAGGGATTAACCGGAGACGATGAAACAAGATTGCTATTTCTGTTTCACCACCCCCCTTCCCACCCCCTCTGATCTCTGCCAGTCAGGGGTTTGTGTGTGAGGCATTGAAGATCAGCTTCTGTGCTCACAGCTCAGGCATTTATTCTCTTATCTGTAATACCATCTGTAATACCCTATCGTGTTGGTTTGTTTTATTGCTTAGTCACCTTTATCCACTATAAAACTATTATTGTGCCTTAGGTCTGGTTTTTCCATTTGTAAAGTGGGTTGGTATGAGGTTTCACTTTCGTCCAGTTTGAAACGGTTGTCCCTCACATCCACTCCTATCCCATTTCCTTTTGTATAAAGGATGCAAAAATTTGATTGTATTTTAAACTTTTTGGTTTGGCTCCATTGAGAGTTCCTAAATAAATTACAGATTAATTTAAACAAAACAATGTTGTTTATTATTTTTGTTTTGTTATTGATTTATGTTGGGGGGGGGGGGGGGGGGGTCCTGCATGGATTTTACTATGGTCATACCTATGCTGTTGGAGCTTTCAAGACAATGGGGAACTCAGAAAAAAACTAGATCAAATCATGACATCAGCAATCTTCAGGTCAGAAAGTCGGAGTTCTAGAAAGATGCCAGATTTCCGAGTTGGATGACCGTTCAAAACGATTTTTCCCAGTCAGAGGTCGATTTTTCACGAGTTCCCAAGTGTCTGGAACGCACTAAAGTGTGAAGTCAGAGATTTCCGAGTTCCCAGTTGATTTGAACGCTGCATAAGTATTTTACCCAGGCGCACTTAACTTTTATTTTGAAACCTCTTTCTTGACGTCATGGGGGAAAGGTGTGACCCGGATGTTCAAAAGAACCCGCCTACTACGACTTGGTGACCAATCACAGACGTAATTTTATTTTGGCCAATGAGTAGTAGTCGACTGATTTCGCCGCGGCCGCGTTGTTTTCGAGACAGACCGACACAGAACTTGTATCTGTGCTATGCTAACGTTACTTTATATTGCTTTTCTTATACGTTAATTATGCCGTATGCTAACCAGCCAATAGTGAAAATCACAGAATTGACGGATGAGAATGTTAAATTTGTCATAGAGAACACCGACCTGTCGTGAGTAGCTATTCAATGGATTATCCAAACGTTAGCTAGCTAACTAGCTCGTTACGTAGCCAATGAGTAGCTGGCGCCCGCTGATACTTAATTGAAATAACTACAGCATTAAATATGTCCATGTTTTAATCTTAATGTATGCACGTGAATGATGAAGCAGCAATGGAATTTTCGACTAACGCGTTAGGTCACTAGTTGGCTTGCTGGGAGGGAGCAGCCGAGAGACGGGTTGCCTCCCACGATGTAACCAATGTAAACTCAGCAAAAAAAAAGAAACGTCCTCCCACTGTCAACTGCGTTTATTTTCAGCAAACTTAGCATGTATAAATATTTGCATGAACATAAGATTCAACAACAGAGACATAAACTGAAGAAGTTCCACAGACATGTGACTAACATAAATTGAATGTGTCCCTGAACAAAGGGGGGTTCAAAATCAAAAGTAACAGTCAGTATCTGGTGTGGCCACCAGCTGCATCAAGTACTGCAGTGCATCTCCTCCTCATGGACTGGACCAGATTTGCCAGTTCTTGCTGTGAGATGTTACCCCACTCTTCAACCAAGGCACCTGCAAGTTCCCAGACATTTCTGGGGGGAATGGCCCTAGCCCTCACCCTCCGATCCAACAGGTCCCAGACGTGCTCAATGGGATTGAGATCCAGGCTCTTCACTGGCCATGGCAGAACAGACATTCCTGTCTTGCAGGAAATCACACACAGAACGACTGGTGCAGTATGGCTGGTGGCATTGTCATGCTGGAGGGTCATGTCAGGATGAGCCTGCAGGAAAGGTACCACATGAGGGAGGAGCATGTCTTCCCTGTAACGCACATCGTTGAGATTGCCTGCAATGACAACAAGCTCAGTCCGATGATGCTGTGACACACCGCCCCAGACCATGACGGACCCTCCACCTCCAAATCGATCCTGCTCCAGAGTACAGGCCTCGGTGTAACGCTCATTCCTTTGACGATAAACGCAAATCCGACCATCACACCTGGTGAGACAAAACCGCGACTCGTCAGTGAAGAGCACTTTTTGGCAGTCCTGTCTGGTCCAGCGACGGTGGGTTTGTGCCCATAGGCGAAGTTGTTGCCAGTGATGTCTGGTGAGGACCTGCCTTACAACAGGCCTACAAGCCCTCAGTCCAGCCTCTCTCAGCCTATTGCGGACAGTCTGAGCACTGATGGAGGGATTGTGCGTTCCTAGTGTAACTCGGGCAGTTATTGTTGCCATCCTGTACCTGTCCCGCAGGTGTGATGTTCGGATGTACCGATCCTGTGCAGGTGTTGTTACACGTGGTCTGCCGCTGCGAGGACGATCAGCTGTCCGTCCCTTCTCCCTGTAGCGCTGTCTTAGGCGTCTCACAGTATGGACATTGCAATTTATTGCCCTGGCCACATCTGCAGTCCTCATGCTGCCTTGCAGCATGCCTAAAGCACGTTCACGCAGATGAGCAGGGACCCTGGGCATCTTTCTTTTGGTGTTTTTCAGAGTCAGTAGAAAGGCCTCTTTAGTGTCCTAAGTTTTCATAACTGTGACCTTAATTGGCTACCGTCTGTAAGCTGTTAGTGTCTTAACGACCGTTCCACAGGTGCATGTTCATTAATTGTTTATGGTTAATTGAACAAGCACATGAAACAGTGTTTAAACCTTTACAATGAAGATCTGTTTAGTTATTTGGATTTTTACTAATTATCTTTGAAAGACAGGGTCCTGAAAAAGGGACGCTTCTTTTTTTGCAGAGTTTATGTTCCACGATGTAACCAATGTATGTTCCAACATACACTATATGACCGAAAGTATGTGGACACCTGCTCATCGAACATCTCATTCCAAAATCATAGACATTAATATGGAGTTGGGCCCCCTTTTGCTGCTGTAATAGCCTCCACTCTTCTGGGAAGGCTTTCCACTAGATGTTGGAACATTGCTGCGGGTACTTGCTTCCATTCAGCCACAAGAGCATTAGTGAGGTCGTGCACTGATGTTGGGCGATTAGGCCTGGCTCGCATTCGGCGTTTCAATTAATCCCAAAGGTGTTCGATGGGGTTGAGGTCAGGGCTCTGTGCAGGTCAGTCAAGTTCTTCCACACCGATCTCGTCAAACCAGTTCTGTATGGGTATCACTTTGTGCACGGGGGCATTGTCATGGTGAAACAGGAGAGGGCCTTTCCCAAACTGTTGCCAGAAAGTTGGAAGTACAGAATCGTCTAGAATGTCATTGTATGCTGTAGCATTAAGATTTCCCTTCACTGGAATTAAGGGGCTTAGCCCGAACCATGTTAAACAGCCCCAGACCATTATACCGCCTCCCCCAAACTTTACAGTTGGCACTATGCATTTGGGCAGGTAGCGTTCTCCTGGCATCCGCCAAACCCAGATTTGTCCGTCGGACTGCCAAATGGTGATGCCTGATTCATCACTCCAGAGAACGCGTTTCCACTGCTCCAGAGTCCAATGGTGACGAGTTTTACACCACTCCAACCGACGCTTGGCATTGTGCATGGTGATCTTAGGCTTGTGTGTGGCTGCTCGGCCATGGAAACCCATTTCATGAAGCTCCCGACGAACAGTTGTGCTGACGTTGCTTCCAGAGGCAGTTTGGAACTCAATAGTGAGTGTTGCAACCGAGGACAGACGATTCTTACACGCTTCAGCACTCGGCGGTCCCGTTCTGTGAGCTTGTGTGGCCTACCACTTCGCGGCTGAGCCGTTGTTGCTCCTAGACGTTGCCACTTCACAATAACAGCACTTACAGTTGACTGGGGTAACTCTACCAGGGCAGAAATTTGACGAACTGAGTTATTGGAAAGGTGGCATCATGATGGTGCCACGTTGAAAGTCACTGAGCTCTTCAGTAAGGCCATTCTACTGCCAATGTTTGTTTATGGAGATTGCATGGCTGTGTGCTCGAGTCCACATACTTTTGTATATATTGTGCAGGTCTGGGATTTTTTCGAGACTAGTGCTGGGTCGTAGTGCCTGCTCATCATCCCGGGGGGCTAGCTGGATCATAAGCTTAAATATTACATGAGATTGCTATTGGCTGAAGTTACAATGTTAACGTGTTCTTTCACATGTGTTGTCTGATTATACAGGGTTGCAAATTCCATCCGACGTGTCTTTATGTCAGAGGTTGCAACAATAGGTAAGATCATCTATCTCCTGTGCTTGTTCTTATTAATAACATTATGAATGTGTAGTAGACTTGTAAGATCCATGTCCTCGCCGCAATGGTTAATGTAAGTGTTCATCTCATGTCTCATTTCAGCTATTGATTGGATTCAAATTGATGCAAATTCTTCTGTTATCCACGATGAGTTCATTGCTCACAGAGTGGGTATGTAGTGTATTATACGACTTTGTTTTTGTCCCTTCTGGTGTCTTCTGTATGCCGATATTGCACTGATCACTAACTATGATCACATTTTCAGGTCTTATCCCTCTCACCAGTGATGACGTTGTGGACAAGATGCAGTACTCCAGAGTAAGCATTTGGACACCTGAGGAAGATGGCTGAAGGTAACATTGCCAGCCATGCTCACTTGAAGATGAAACCCCTAATGCTTTGCCCCTCTCTTCCCCTCTACCGCAGGACTGTACATGTGACGATTTCTGCCCAGAATGCTCTGTTGAATTGACGCTGGACGTTCGCTGCACGGAGGACCAGACCCGGCATGTGACCTCACGAGACCTGCTGTCCAACCACCCTCGAGTCATCCCTGTCAGTGAGCTTCCATTCAACCATAATTCAACATAAAGATTTTCCTTACTATTTTCTTCAGGACCGAGTTGACTTTTATATTATCTGATCTTCAGGTGACCTCCAAGAGTCGAGACAATGATCCCAATGACTATGTTGAACAGGACGGTGAGCTGCTCTTCCCCGTGGTCTTCTATTACAGCATTTTATTATAAATATTTGGTCTCTTACACACGTTGCCTCTGTTTCTCTCTCTCTCGACTCTGCCTCCTTCGTCTTGTCAGACATTTTGCTGGTGAAGCTTCGAAAGGGTCAGGAGCTGCGTCTCAGAGCTTACGCCAAGAAGGGCTTTGGCAAGGAGCATGCCAAGTGGAACCCTACAGCCGGCGTATCCTTTGAGTATGACCCAGACAATGCTCTGAGGCACACTGTGTACCCACGGCCAGAGGAATGGTGTGTTATATTTTAATATTATTTATTAAGGGAGAGACAAAGTATTCTGTGAGGGAGAGTGTCACTCAATGTTTATCCATGTGAATTGACCCTGCTATTCTCTGTCTCAGGCCAAAGAGTGAATACTCAGAGATTGAGGAGGATGAGGTGCAAGCCCCCTTTGACCCCAATGGCAAACCTGAGAGGTAAATTACATGTCTGTTATGGAGCATTTAGGGTGTGCATCATCAGTAGGAATGGGCACGGTTATTCGAATACTCGAACAGACGTTGGTATTCGATTACTTGGGAGAGTATTCATTTTTGAGGAGAACAAATATAGGCCTATTTTAACAATGATAAGACTTTGTCTAAAATGTAATACAATTATCTGTGACATTGCTACATAGCATACAAGGATAGACCATTACATGTTAACACATGTTGCACCCCATTAAAAAAAGACTCACCGGTAGCCTACACACATTTCACACTAGCTTGTTGTTATTGTCGGTCAATCAAAGCAGCGCTACAGTCAGTCCATGTGTAGCAAGCGAAGTGGGAGATTTCTAATCAATGCAAAATATAATTGGCTAAGTTGATTAAATGAGAAGTAGGTGGCTACAATGATCATCCAACAGGTAGGCTGTTGTTTCATATTAATGGGGTTGTTGTAGACACGTACTGGGAGCACAGCAACATTTAGTCAATTAGCCTTGCTACTTTAGCTAGCTAGCTGGCTAACTTAGCAGGCTAGCTTCTTTAGGTACAACAATGTGATGCAGTCAAGACAGGCACTACCAGATGGTATGATAGATAACCTATGGCAGCAATACGTTTGTCTAACTAGCAGGAGTCGGTTTGGCTACTTTCTCTCTCGCCCTTCCCCCACCCGTTTGCTGAAACAAGCAGAGCGCACCGGCTCTCGCACGAGCAAGTCTCCATTGATGTTTCAACAACAACAATAATCTTTAAAACATCTACCCAGATATCTGAAAATATATATTATTTGAATGGTAGTGAAATCAATTCAAATGCCCATCCCTAATCATCAGTGTCCACTGTCCATTCCTATGAGGACAGTAACTGTAAGTGATAGAAGTTTTGATTATTACAGCAGTATGTGATGACAGATGGTGAATAATGATCGAGGAAGATGGCAGAGACGTCACTGTTAATTTCTGTTGTCGCAAACCTTTGCAGGTTCTATTACAATGTGGAGACGTGTGGCTCACTGCGACCGGAGACCATCGTCATGTCTGCTCTGGCAGTGCTGAAAAAGAAACTGAGTGACTTACAGACCCAGCTGAGCCACGAAATCCAGAGTGACGTCCTCACTATCAACTGAGACCTGCAGTTTTAGCCAGTCCTACACCACTGAGGCATGGAGCAGACCCAGTTGCAAATCATACACGTTTTGGATGACAACAAACCTGATGTTGGCAGGAGAAAAGTTGATTCAAGAGCTCACCTACTGAAACCAACAGTTTTTACATCATCCACCACATAGCTGAGAATTAAGAGAAAGGACAAAACTATGTTAATATTTGTCCTTTGTAGAAGTTGTTTGCGGGAATATGTTGTTTTGAATTGTTGTTTATTTTGTCTACCGAAAATATAAACCCCAATTTTCATCCAGATTGACTGTGCTTGCCTTTGAATCTAAATAAGGTGGCGAATGAGAGCATAGGTGAGCAGTCACTGTGATGTGACTTGGGGCTAAATTCTACAAGAGATATATTCTAAAGGCAAACAAGCCCTATATACCTTCTCTTGCAACGTGGTCTCAGAACATTTGGTATTATTCTGTATGTAAATCCGAGACACTCAATTTAGTATGATATGTTACGATTCATAAGGGATGTTTTAATTTAATGTCTATTCATTTCGTACGATATGTTACAAATTGCAATTCGTACAATATGTTACAAATTCCAATTTAGCTAGGTGGCTAACATTAGCGAGGCTAGGGTTTAAGGTTGGGAGGAGGTTATGTCAAAGGTTTAGCTAGAATACTAAGTATTGCAAAGTAGTAAAAAAGTAGTAAGTACTTGCTAATTAGCTAAAATGCACAAGTTAATCATGACGACCTCCTTTTGTTTTTTCGCCTTGAACTCTGACCCCCTCTGGTGACATTTTCTAAATGACGAAAAATATTGTATACTACCCTCATGAAGTACATTTCGGTTTCAACTACAAGTCCTACAAACACATAATACTGTTCGAAAGGTAAGAACTGCAAATCAGATAAAGGTGTCAGAAACAATGTGACTATGACAGAGCTCGAGATACAGCAGACCACAAAAACCTGGGTCCCCCTGTTGGGGAATAAGAGATTTGAAAGTCTAAGTTTGATATAACATACAGTGCATAAGGAAAGTATTCAGACCCCTTTACTTTTTCCACATTTTCTTACATTACAACCTTATTCTAAAATGGATTAAATCAATATTGTTCATCAATCTACACACAATAACCCATAATGACAAGGCGAAAACAGGTTTTTAGACATTTTTGCTAATTTATAGAAGATAAAAAACTGAAATACCTTATTTACATAAGTATTCAGACCCTTTGCTATGAGACTCAAAATTGAGCTCAAGTACATCCTGTTTCCATTGATCATCCTTGAGATGTTTCTACAACTAGATTGGAGTCTACATGGGGTAAATTCAATTGATTGGACATAATTTGGAAAGGCACACACCTGTCTATATAAGGTCCCACAGTTGGCAGTGCATGTCAGAGCAAAAACCAAGCCATGAGGTCGAAGGAATTGTCCTTAGAGCTCCGAGACAGGAGGCACAGATCTGGGGAAGAACACCAAAAAATGTCTGCAGCATTGAAGGTCCCCAAGAACACAGTGGCCTCCATCATTCCTAAATGGAAGAAGTTTGGAACCACCAAGACTTTTCATAGAGCTGGCCACCCGGCCAAACTGAGCAATCGGGGGAGAAGGGCCTTGGTCAGGGAGGTGACCAAGAACCTGATGGTCACTTTGAAGGAGCTCCAGAGTTCCTATGTGGAGATGGGAGAACCTTCCAGAAGAACAACCATCTCTGCAGCACTCCACCAATCAGGCCTTTATGGTAGAGTGGCCAGACGGAAGCCACTCTTCAGTAAAAGGCACATGACATCCCGCTTGGAGTTTGCCAGAAGGCACCTAAAGGACTCTGACCATGAGAAACAAGATTCTCTGGTCTGATGAAACCAAGATTGAACTCTTTGGCCTGAATGCCAAGTGTCACGTCTGGAGGAAACCTGGCACCATCCCTACGGTGAAGCATGGTGGTGGCAGCATCATGCTGTGGGGATGTTTTTCAGCGGCAGGGACTGGGAGACTAGTCAGGATCGAGGGAAATATGAACGGAGCAAAGTACAGAGAGATCCTTGATGAAAACCTGCTCCAGAGCGCTCAGGACCTCAGAATGGGAGGCGAAGGTTCACCTTCCAAAAGGACAACGACCCTAAGCACACAGCCAAGACAATGCAGGAGTGGCTTCGGGACAAGTTTCTGAATGTCCTTGAGTGGCCCAGCCAGAGAATCTGCAGAATGAATACACCTCTGATCACACGCAAACAGTTCACTTTCCTTGCAGCCACATAAAAATGGCATGATCACTTTGCTCATTGTATATATAATTCCTTCTCGCAACTATCTACGCGCTCTCCTCCTCTGACTTTTCCCCTTCGCTTGCGGACTTCAGTGCACAACAAAAACCTTTCCAAGCCAAACCTTCATATCATGACCGCTAACCGCTACATACAGTCTACATCGTTGTCAAGTCATAGTCAACTAGAACTAGAACTAACGCGTTAGTAAACCCGCTACAATCATGCAGTACAGTGTACAGTCAGAAAGCAGTTTAGCAGTTACACCGGTGACAATTTTCTAAAACCAAAAGCTTACCTTGACTTGGAAGAGTTCCAGTGTTGGATAGACATAGCCAGCTAGCTAACATAGCATCCCTCTCTGAGCCAGATGTTTGTGTAGGCTAAACTAGCTAGCTGCATTTGCTAGCTAAGTGAAAGTGAAAGTAAAAAAAAAAAAAAAATACAACCAAATATAGCTAGCTCTCTCTCTCACTTCTTAATTTTGGAAGAAATTAATTTATTCCAAACTATTGTCTTTCTCTCTCTTTGTGTCAACTACTCACCACATTTTATGCACTGAAGTGCTATCTAGCTGTAGCTTATGCTTTCAGTACTAGATTCATTCTCTGATCCTTTGATTGGGTGGACAACATGTCAGTTCATGCTGCAAGAGCTCTGATAGAGAAAGACACAAATGAGAGAACACCTCACTCTGACTCTGGTTAGGCTGTTTACATGTTATCGAGAGTGTTCTTGACTAACTATTACTTTTTGGCCTATGTTTACTGACACCGGTCATGTTCAGCAGGTGTTGCGCGTTCGTAAATTCATCAGTTGTTCTGCGCTCTGGCACACTCGAGAGTGCTCTGAAATCGGAGTAGATAGCCAGAGTGAATTTGCGAACGCAAGACATATGCTAACTGTATAAAAGTTGTTCAAGTTCTTGCTAGCTAACCAAATGACACCTGCATCTCTAGCTGTGTATAGCCACCGAAAAACAATATGAGGGGAAAAAGTCAGTCCCTCACCCACACCTCCAAAGGCATGACATTACATCCTCCTCGCAGCTAGCTAGCTAGCTAACGTTAGGCTCCGTGTTTTTAGCTTGCTACATAAATAGATACACTAGCCTATTAACCACGTTATGACTGACTTGTGATCATTGCCCTTGCTAGTTTGATTGTATTGACATTCCCAGCCTTAGTTACATTCGTCCGTTTTTGTCCAGAATATTGAGTCATTGAATCTGAAACAGTGCATCCAGAATGGAGGCAGCAAACAATGTACCAGGCCAGCTGTGATTTACAACCTGATAGCAATATTTTTTGGACTACCAAGAAATGTATTGGTGAATTATATTAATCATGTATTTAACTGCATCCATCTATTCTGCCAACAATGCCTCAGTATACCTCATGGAATATTGAGTCAAATATAACCTATTTTTAAAACCTCTTATAAAGTTGGTTTTGTAGCATAAACTGGGAATTTTATATATTTTTACTGATATTATGATTGTCTGTTTGTTTCATATCTGCAAAGTAGTTAAAACGCTGTCAGTTCCACTTTAAACTTTGTCACCTGTTACTTTGTGTGCTAAACGTGAAATGTTTGGTTGTGTTTTTGTATTCTTAAGATTGGGACCTACTGGCTTGTTATGCCTGAGTTTATGGACCGCTTATCCTTTGCTGTGTGTGACTGCTGTCTTTCCATCAGACCTATGCAGTGGTATAGTGGTGCCTGGAGAAGTGGGTAAACTCAAAAAAAATCACACTTTTTTAAATAGAAAAATAGAAAAATTGATGGTCTAAGTCCACAACAATGCTTATACAGCACATTATGATAATTGCCCATCACAAATAGCCTACTGTGGGGATCTATTTTCTTATAACTGGATGTGATGCCTAGCTTAGAAAGAATGCATTAATGATTAAACATAATAGGTTTGTACTGTACTGATATAAATTGTTTAACATAACAAGCTGAGATTCATGTGAGGAATGTTAGGGAGTAGGGTGAGACAGACTTGTGATTCTCACAGACACATACACACTGCCTCTTTGTTAAACTGCGCTCAAGGACATGTGTTCTGCTATAGTGGAGAGGAACAGACTATGTCTGAAGTTGCAAAACAACTAGACACCTGGCAACAGTGAAGCGCCAAGGGGCTGGGACCAGCCTGTGCGCCAACGATAGGCTGAGTAAGTCTAAACCACGCTCAGACTCTACTCTGATTGGCCAGCAGGGAGCGGGAACTATCTCTGTCAGAGTATTTGGAGAAGAACTTAGAACAATGGATCAGTTCTCTGAGTGCCCTGTGTGGTATTTCAGTGGACCCGTATATACGAACATCATATTTACCATTGAAGTGTTTGCATTAATTAAAATACTAGTATATCTTAGAAGTCGTGTTGACCTCTTTTGTTCCCAATACCAGATTTGAATTGACGCAACTTAACACTACTAACCAACACCTCAGAATAAACTTTTTCAATACCTGGTTTGCATACCCATTGTTGCCTTAGTTAGCATTTACTGGTAGATATCATACATTGAAACGTCTTTCCTACCCTACCGGCTACCGATGTAATTATTTTGTGAGCTGCTCCATGCCAAAACCAGTTGAGAGCTGCACACTCTTGCTGCCTGCAGATGATATTCCGCTAGGCTGTGTGCGACGCGCATGTGAATATATTTCGCGTGCTTCGCGATTGTGTAGGGTACTTTGTGCATGATTTCTCTATTGTACTACATAATTGATAAGTCGTATACCTCCACTACACTACACTACTTTGATACATTTGCAAACATTTCTAAAAACCTGTTTTCTCTTTGTCATTATGGGGTATTGTGTGTAGATTGATGAGGGAAAACATTAATTTTATCAATTTTAGAATAAGGCTGTAACGTAACAAAATGTGGAAAAAGTGAAGGGGTCTGAGAAATGTCCAAAGTGGGAGCAGCAGGGGAGGGGGATGGGGGTGGTGTTAGGAAGTCCGGCGGGGCAGGAGGGGGACAGGGAGAGCAGGTAGCTGACTAGTGGTGGCTATTCAGCATCCTGATGGTCTGGGGGTAGAAGCTATTGGACAGTCTGTTAGTTTTAGCCATGATGCTCCTGTACTGACCGTGTCTGAAAGATGGAACACCATCATCCCGGAAACCCTAGACCCACTCCAGGTCCAAAAGGCTCCTTAACAGCTTCTACCCCCAAGCCATAAGACTACTGAACAGTTAACTGCTGCTACTCACTGTTTATTATCAATGCATAATCACTTTACCCCTACCTATATGTACATATTACCTCATTTACCTCGACTAACCTGTACCCCCGCACATTGACTCGGTACCGGTACCCCCTCTATACAGCTTCGTTATTGTTATTTGATTGTGTTACTGTGTTTAACTTTAGTTTATTTAGTAAATATTTTCTGAACTCTATTTTTCTTAAAACTACATTGTTGGTTAAGGGCTTGTAAGGAAGCATTTCACGATAAGGTCTACACCTGTTGTATTTGGCGCATGTGACAAATACATTTTTATTTTATTTGATTTTATTTGAAGCAGGGTGAACAGGCTGTTGCTCGGGTGGCTGAGGTCCCTGATGATCTTCTTGGCCTTCCTGCGACACCTGGTGTTATAGGTGTCCTGGAGGGCAGGCAATCTGCACCCAATGGTGCGTTTTGCTTAGCGTACCACCCTCTGTAGTGTCTTGCGGTCAGCGGCGGTAGAATTGCCGTACCAGGCTGATGCAGCCCGACAGTATGCTTTCGATGATGCCTGTAGAACACTGTAAGGGCCCTCGGGGACAGGCCGAATTTCTTCAGCCTCCTGAGGTTAAAGAGTCACTGTCATGCCTTCTTCACAACGGTGTCCGTGTGGTTTGACCATTTCAGCTCCTCAGAGATGTATACGCCGAGGAACTTGAAGTTTTTGACCATCTCTACGGCAGCCCCATTGATGAGGATGGGGCGTGCCCAGCCTGGTTCCTCCTGAAGTCCACAATCAACTCCTTTGTTTTGCTAAGAGGTTGTTTACTGGGCACCACACGGTCAGAGTGCCTACCTCCTCCCTGTAGGCCATCTCGTCATTGTTGGTAATCAGGCCTACTACTGTCGTGTCATCAGTGAACTTGATGATGGAGTTGCAACTGTGTGAAGCCACGCAGTCATGGGTATACAGGGAGTACAGGAGGGGACTGAGGATGCACCCTTGCGGGGCTGATTGACGTGGCAGGTTAGGCTAATTAATGTGGCATGTTAGGAGAACTAGCACAGCAGGTTAGTTGAAATAACGTAGCAGGTAAGGAAAATGAGGTTAAGGTTAGGAAAAGGTTTAGGGTTAGGTTTAGCTACAATACTAGTTGTCAACAACTATTGTCCCCAACGCGATCATTAGATAGAGCTGTAGGCCTACTCCATCTAGCCACAACAGTAGAAATGTAAACAGACCATCAGTCCCGACCTTATTACCTGATCAATGATGTACATAAACCCTGGAATGCTGATTCTATGTATTGTCCATTGAGAGGCTTTGAAGCCACCTGTCGGCCATATTGGCACTCCCCAGTAGGAGCAGTCCTCCATAGGAATGAATGGAGAATTTTCAGTGGAATTCCAATCAGTGGAGGCTGCTGAGAGGAGGACATTTCATAATAATGGCTGCAATGGAGTGTAATGGCTGGAATGGAGTGAATGGAGGCTCAACTTCTACGCTGTTTTGGTCCCATGGCTACCACGCTCTAACAGCGTGAAGCAAACCCGTGCTCATGTGCAGATACTGTGTGTGACCGTGTGAGAGTGAAGTCTTGCATCTTGCTTATCTCAATATCTGTGGTGCTGCTGGTGGCAATGTCATTTCGCTGAGTCTATCTTTAAATGTTTCAAGGACAAAATTATATGTATCAAAGTATTTTTTTTTGTTGTAGTGGGGACCGAAACATTAGTAATCAAAAAAAAAAAGTACTTTAAGGATTAAAAATAAATAAAAAATAGGTTTCTGTTTAGCTCACATAATATAATTTCAAAGTATGTAAGTATGTAATAAAATAAATGCATTTCTATAGCTTCCAAAATATTTTTTTCAACGGTGGGGGAGTGCCAAGATGGAGGCACGCTGGCTTCAACACAGCGCCCCCTATCTGTCATCTAGTGTGTATATAAATCATTGGTCCCGACATTCTGTACCATCAGCACCATGATGACTTGCACGCTAACGGAGTGCATCGTGAACATTCAGAAAAATTGAGACGTGTGATGAGAAGATATTCATGTTCAAATGATTGCCAATATTTTTCCCACATTTCTTTGCAGAAAGATCATCAATTCGAGGCAATTGATGTCAGGTCAGAACCGACTATTATTGCATGATCTCAGTCATAAATACACCAAATACACAATGTTGCGACAGAGACAAGGAGCAGCAATGTTCCGTTCATTTAATGTTCCGTTCATTTAATGCTGCCTCGTAATCTACAGGGTAGGGGTGGCTCATGGGCAATTTATCTAAAAGCCTAATAATTCACTATGCAAATTGCTTCCTTGCCTTGACAGTGAAATTAATTTACATTAGTTTTTTTACTACTTTTGTCATTTTTACATTTATTAAGATTATAGCGATGCTTGCAAGTTGCAACAAGACAATCTCTGCTTTTTGTTTCAGATAGAGAAGTTGATGTGGATATCTTGATGTGCCTTTTCAACTTTGTCTGATGTACTGATGACACACCATCAACAAAGTGGCTGAGATGGCTGCAGCAGAACCCGAGGCCTGTGCCTGCTCCTCTTCTTCACTTGAAGTGGAAGAGACATGCCAGAACTATGGCAATTCCAGCTCTGATCCTCCCACTGAACCACATCCAGACATGGATATGTTCTGGTACACATTAATATTAAACCTATATCTATAAGTCTCCAGATATTCCCATGATTTAATTGTTATTGACTGAATAACATGTTGACTTTATTTTGTCACTGCAGCTGTCACAGTGTCCAGGATTCCTTACTGAGCTCTGACAGCCGCTTCACAAACTATAGAGGGATTCTCAACTGGATCATTATCCTTCTGGTGAGTCATGCTCTATAAGCAATGCAGGGAAAGAGAAGAGACCAATATTGTTGTATTTTGTGTGTTGTTGTTTTTTCAGATCTTGACCCATGCTCACCTGTTCCTGGATAACTTTATACAGTGAGTACACACACAGACACACACACACACACACACACACTTGATTAGCAATTAATGTGTTTTCTTTTTTCTCTGACATACCCTCTTTTGAACAGACATGGCTTCTTGATTGACTTGAGGAAAGTCTTGGAGCACCTTATGGAGGACAATTATAACTGGCCATCTGTAAACATGATACTGGGTGAGGCTTTGTCATCACTGCACTATTGTCAGCTTAACCAACTACACAAGGATATACTGTTAATGAATTTGAGTAAGAAACTCACTCATCCTTCATGCTTCTCTCACCTTTGCAGCTGCCAATATATTTGCTATTGCTGCTCTGCTACTTGAGAGGTGTCTGGATAAGGTGAGACAATTCTACCCCGGCTTTTCAAATAGGAGAGGCTCGGCTATGTGAACTGTCTCACAAAGGTTGATATGTGTGTGTTGATTCTAGGGAACACTATCCCCCAGTGCAGGGCACTGTTTACACCTGGGGAACCTGGGATTATTGACACTTTTTCCTGCTGTCATCATTCTATATGATACTTCAATATCAACAGGTAAATACCGCAAGTATGATCTGCACAGATATTGACCTGTACCTGAAATTCCAGGTTGTTATGGCACCATTGGAATATATCATATTTAGCTTATGGCTCCATTGTAATATATCATATATAGCTTTGTGTGGATTTGCACCTCAACTTGAGATGATGACTCGCCCTGTCTGGTCAAACTGTTTCACTATCTGCCCATCAGGGGGAGCGTATTTCTCACTCTGGACCTACACCGTTCTTGGTCTCAAGCTTTATTCTTACCAAGAAACCAACAATTGGTATCGTCAGGGGTCTGTTCCATCTCCAGGTATGTCAGTGGGAACCGGTTTGTTTTTTTGTTTTTAGTGGCTGCAGTTACCGCTGGTTGATTTCCTGCAGTTATCACTGATTGTAATTGCTGCTGATGCTGAAGATAATTACTTTGCTGTTTGGATTTCTGGTGTGGTGAACATCTGTATCTGTTTTCCAGGAACAGACAAGTGTGTATTACATGAGACAAAAGAACATATAGAACACCTAACTATTAAAGGTGAGAACGTCATTCTTTCTTACACATAATGGCTTGTGCACAATGTCTGCCTGTCTAGTTGTAGACTAAGAACACATAGACAGTTAATGACATTGACTGTGCTCTCTGTCAGACCTTTACTACTTCCTCCTGGCGCCCACTTTATGCTACCAGCGAGACTTCCCCTTCACACCAAGGGTCCGTATCAATGTCCTTTGTAAGACGATGATAGAAATGGTGAGATAAAACCTCACCCACACAATACCTATCCCGTGTAATTATTGTGTTATATGTTAATATGCATTGATTATCCACCATCTTATTTTGGGCCTTTACTTTCAGGTGGTCCTTACTCAAATTATTGTGGGAATCGTGCAGCAGGTGATATGTTTCAACTTTTAGGTTTGGTATTAAATTCTGTTTGCAAGTCTATCCATCTATCTAGGATTTATTTGAAAAAGCTTTATCTTTAGGTTACCCATTGTAATTCTATTCCGTGTGTGCCTTTGTTTTCCTATCAGTGGATTGAACCCATCTTCCAGAGATCAGAAAACTCTTTCTCTGTGAGTGAAAGCAATATCCCCTTTTCATCAAAAATGTAATGATATAATAATATCACATTATTTCCTCTGTTACTTTTCCTTTTCTCTAGAATATGGACATCACTACCAGGGTGGAGCACTTGATGGGGCTTGTGGTAAGTGTGTTTGTGTTTTAGGGTAGTGGAGCATTATTAGTATGTTCTGGTGGTGTCAAACAATAACCGTGTCAATAAAGCGGTCCAATTTCCTTTACAGGCTCCCAACCACTTCCTGTGGCTGATATTCTCCTTCCTGTTTTCTCACTCCTTCCTAAACTTCTGTGCTGAACTGTTGTGCTTTGGAGACCGCCATTTCTATGGGGATTGGTGGTCAGTTATATCCTAATCTTTCATTTTGGATGGTCCACTTGTATGTGTTTATGTGTAATAGAGTAACAGATGTGTAATCACATGTGTAATAGATTCATATTTTAATCCGCAGGAATGCTAAAACACTGAAATGTTTTTTGGGGAATTGGAATATTCCTCTTCATAAGTGGCGCTACAGGTAGTGACTCCTGACACCTAAATAGACTTTTCCATTCTCTCTCAGAAGAGATATTGTACTGTGTATGTACAACTAACTTCTATCACTCTTTATCCCTCTCTATCTCTGTCTCTTTTTCTCTTACATAAAGACACTTGTATACACCACTACTGAAAAAGAGGGTGTCAAAAAAGCAAGCAGATTTGCTGGTCTTCCTGATGTCAGCTGCCCTTTGCGAGGTAGGACTGGTTGTTATTATTATTAGTAGTATTAGTATTATTATTATTATTATTATTATTATGGTGTAGATGAGTGAGTACAATCAGTTCAGTTATCATGTGCGAAATAATGATTAGTTGCTAACTGTTTAAAGCTGTCCCCCATGCTACTATGAGACAATCCATGGTAATGGGTTATGTACAGTGAGGGAAAAAAGTATTTGATCCGATTTTGTAAGTTTGCCCACTGACAAAGACATGATCAGTCTATAATTGTAATGGTATGTTTATTTGAACAGTGAGAGACAGAATAACAAACAAAAAATCCAGAAAAACGCATGTCAAAAATTTTATAAATTGATTTGCATTTTAATGAGGGAAATAAGTATTTGACCCCTCTGCAAAACATGACTTAGTACTTGGTGGCAAAACCCTTGTTGGCAATCACAGAGGTCAGACGTTTCTTGTAGTTGGCCACCAAGTTTGCACACATCTCAGGAGGGATTTTGTTCCACTCCTCTTTGCAGATCTTCTCCAAGTCATTAAGAATTCGAGGCTGACGTTTGGCAACTCGAACCTTCAGCTCCCTCCACAGATTTTCTATGGGATTAAGGTCTGGAGACTGGCTAGGCCACTCCAGGACCTTAATGTGCTTCTTCTTGAGCCACTCCTTTGTTGCTTTGGCCGTGTGTTTTGGGTCATTGTCATGCTGGAATACCCATCCACGACCCATGTTCAATGCTCTGGCTGAGGGAAGGAGGTTCTCACCCAAGATTTGACGGTACATGGCCCCGTCCATCGTCCCTTTGATGCGGTGAAGTTGTCCTGTCCCCTTAGCAGAAAAACACACCCAAAGCATAATGTTTCCACCTCCATGTTTGACAGTGGGGATGATGTTCTTGGGGTGATAGGCAGCATTCCTCCTCCTCCAAACACGGTGAGTTGAGTTGATGCCAAGGAGCTTGATTTTGGTCTCATCTGACCACAACACTGTCACCCACTTCTCCTCTGAATCATTCAGATGTTCATTGGCAAACTTCAGACGGCCCTGTATATGTGCTTTCTTGAGCAGGGGGACCTTGCGGGCGCTGCAGGATTTCAGTTCTTCACGGCATAGTGTGTTACCAATTGTTTTCTTGGTGACTATGGTCCCAGCTGCCTTGAGATCATTGACAAGATCCTCCCGTGTAGTTCTGGGCTGATTCCTCACCGTTCTCATGATCATTGCAACTCCACAAGGTGAGATCTTGCATGGAGCCCCAGGCCGAGGGAGATTGACAGTTATTTTGTGTTTCTTCCATTTGCGAATAATCGCACCAACTGTTGTCACCTTCTCACCAAGCTGCTTGGCGATGGTCTTGTAGCCCATTCCAGCCTTGTGTAGGTCTACAATCTTGTCCCTGACATCCTTGGAGAGCTCTTTGGTCTTGGCCATGGTGGAGAGTTTGGAATCTGATTGATTGATAGCTTCTATGTACAGGTGTCTTTTATACAGGTAACAAGCTGAGATTAGGAGCACTCCCTTTAAGAGTGTGCTCCTAATCTCAGCTCGTTACCTGTATAAAAGACACCTGGGAGCCAGAAATCTTTCTGATTAAGAGGGGGTCAAATACTTATTTTCCTCATTTAAAATGCTAATCAATTTATTACATTTTTGACATGCGTTTTTCTGGATTTTTTTGTTGTTATTCTGTCTCTCACTGTTCAAATAAACCTACCATTAAAATTATAGACTGATCATTTCTTTGTCAGTGGGCAAACGTACAAAATCATCAGGGGATCAAATTTTTCCCTCACTGTATTGACATTTTGTTTGTTTGTTCCTTGCAGTATGTCATTGCTCTGCCCTTACACAGCTGTCGACTATGGATCTTCCTCATGATGATTTTTGAGGTGAGGGTCACTAAAATATCATCAAGTATATACTGTATGTGTTTATGCAGTGTGTGTGTGAACATGCATGTTAACTCCTCCCTCTCTTTCCCTGTCCCAGCTCCTGGTAGATGTTTACCTTGGAGACTATTTCAAGGGTAACTATGGCAATGGGCTGGTGTGGCTGTGCTTGCTACTGGGTCCTCCCCTGGCTGTGATGACCTATTTCCATGACCACTACATGAGTCACCATGGCCAACATCCTCCTGGACTGTCCGTTGATGACTGTTTGTCATGATCACTGTCTTATACACAATTGGATATAGCACTTTTGGATACCTTTGAAAGACTTATGTCCAGCAATGGTCCATTTGTAGGGTCAGACAAATTGTTCCCGTTTTTGTTGAAAAACTCAAGAAATCAACACCTTCACAGCTATTCATAATGCTTTTGAATTTGAACAATCTGTGGATAGGTTTTGTAATGATGTGACACAACCACACATGAATGATATGACTGCTTATTCACTGTTTATCAACATATGGTTTTGGTTCACCCAACTTTACTGTAAGCTTATGGATCATAGCCAACTTTTTTCAGACAACATTAACTGCTGGGTGAAAACTATTGGCAAACCACACCGTGTTGAGTTTAAGCACAGTGTGAAATATGTAGCTTCCAACTGAATTGTTGTTACTCAGTAAGGGGAAATATACTTTTAAATAAACAGCAAACAGCATTGTTATCTTTGGTTTATTAAAGGGGCAATCAGCGGTTGCTACATACATTTTTGAATTTATAATTAATTATATGTACCCATTGATTCTTGAAGAATATAAAAATGCCTCATGAGCTTAGGTTAGCTGTCGCACCCCATCAGAACAAAGTAAATGTAAACAAACACTAGTTAGCATTAAAACTATAATTTTGATATCATGGATGGTCAGTTCTTGCATCCATAGCGCTGTCTATGAATTTGAAAGTGGTTACATTTCTCCAGCCCCATCCCTCAGCTTTGTACCAACTATTGTTTCAACTGCTGTGTAAAGCAGTCAGATACTGTACATGTGTTTGCATGTTGTGAACCACAATTCAATGCGCTAGCGTTTAATGTGAATCACGTGACCACGTCATCCAGACAGGCGGAAATGAAAGTTAACTAGCTAGTAGTTGTACCAGCGGACCACAGCTAAAAAAGGTATTTATGGTAAAATTAACAAAATACGTTACCAACAATGTCAAGTAATATAGTATTGTAGAAAACATTTCTTAAATAGTACACATTTATATATCTACGTTTACGAGGAAAGGTGGCAATTAAATTGTCCTTATGCCGACAAAAGCTGTTCGCTAGTTTGCTATGACTCGGAGCTATCATCTAAATAGCTCACCATATTCCGTGTTTTGTTTTTGTGTGCAGGGTATTTCAATATGGAGACAATGAGCCAATTTGAGTTACTGATATGTAGATACAGTTAATCGATGTAAGTTTAGATAGCTAGTAGTTCGAAGACAATGCGATGTCTCACCCTGGAACTAGCATCTCTTACAGGCAGTAGATGTCGATATTCTCGTTTTATCGTTTTTCGTTGGGATTACGCTGTTTACTAGTAGCTAGCTACGGCTAATCGCTCCGCTAGCTATATGCTTTCATATCATAGTCGACATCAGTGATGAAATTGCAAGGTGATTCACAGGACTCTGCCACGACCCAAGTTATTGGCTAAGATATATCAAACCTTATCAGAATAGCTAACTATCTCTTCGCTGATGTATGTGATCGCTACTGTAATTTGCTAGTTAACGGTTTTGCTGGCTACACTAACGTTAGTCACGTTTTCGGGTTAACGTTATTAGCTAGAAGTTTGCTATGCTGGACGGAGGACGTGTATTTTAGGACGTGATAACACCCATATGAGTCGAAACTATTCGAGCTACTACTGTCTACTATGACTAGCTAGATACACAGAGGAAATACAATCCACTGCCAATTGTCATTGTGCCAGATAGTTGTTTCCAAGGTAGTGAGATGGCTAGGTAGCTAATGTATGATCATTTGGCTGTAGTAGTGTAGATTGCAGTGGCATGATATTGCTGGCTAATTAATGTCTGTTGTAAGGATTCACTGCGACATGTTATTTTACTATGTATGTTGTTGTTGTTCACGTTGTGTGTTGGAAAGGAGGTTACACAGGGGAAATGCATAGCCAATTGTTTTGAATTGCAGTGTGTGATTTAGGCCTACTTTACAGTTAGCCTTCATGTCAGTTATGTGTGTTCTCTGATTGTGCCTGTGTGTGTCTCAGGGCTGTGATGTCATGGCAGCTGCCAGTGTGACAAGACCTGGCAATGTCCAGACCACAGAAAAATCACAGTTGACCTTGAAAGGTAATAATCAATAGGAAACTTTTAATTCCTCTCATCTATCACCTCCTATTGTAACCTACTCTAATACTCATCTTCCCTGTGTCTGTCTGACAATTTCTCTCTTGACAACCACACCAAGCTCTTGCCACATTATTTCATCATCCATTGTTATTCCAGTTTCCCATTTGCTCTCCCTGCCATTTATTCCCTCCCTTCTGCTCTCTCTTTCCCTCAGTGAATTGTTCATGAACTACTACTATGTCTCCCATCACTCGCTCCCCCTCTCGTATAAGATCAGATAAAACAGGTTTAATTCACCTTGACAGTTTAAAAGAATTGGAAGATTTCAGGTCTATTGAAAAGATACATACATCAGTAGCCTAACAGTTATTAGACCCATGTTTTCCTTAGTGGATATTTAATGAAGTTCAAAGTTCATTCTGACATGGATAGCCAGACAGTTGTGACATTTCACTGGCCAAGTGAGCATCACAGTAGTATGGAACAATCAACAACACATTTATTAACAGAACATGCAATCCAAGGGGCAAAATCCTCCCAGTTTTGCATGTGTCAGCTAGAGGGCGATATTAGCAGTTTTGTGTTTGCTTGCCATATAGTTACTTGCCATACAGTTACAAATGTAGAGGAGCTGTAATAAGTATGTTTTATTACTGTAGGTTAATGTTTGATCAGAGTTCGGTGTACCACAGTCATTCAAATTGTATTTTTTTGTATTTTGCATATACAGTACCAGTCAAAAGTTTGGACACACCTACTCATTCAAGGGTTTTTCTTTATTTCGGCTATTTTCTAAATTGTAGAATAATGGTGAAGACATCAAAACCATGAAATAACACATATGGAATCATGTAGTAAACAAACAAGTGTTAAACAAATCAAAATATATTTGAGATTTGAGATTCTTCAAAGTAGCCACCCTTTGCATTTTACATTTTACATTTACATTTACATTTTAGTCATTTAGCAGACGCTCTTATCCAGAGCGACTTACAGGAGCAATTAGGGTTAAGTGCCTTGCTCAAGGGCACATCGACAGATTTTTCACCTAGTCGGCTCGGGGATTAGAACCAGCGACCTTTCGGTTACTGGCACTACGCTCTTAACCACTAAGCTACCTGCCGCCCTTTTGCCTTGATGACAGCTTTGCACACTCTTAGCATTCTCTCAACCAGCTTCATGAAGTAGTCACCTGGAATGCATTTCAATTAACAGGTGTGCCTTGTTAAAAGTTAATTTGTGGAATTTCTTTCCTTAATGCGTTTGAGCCAATCAGTTGTGTTGTGACAAAGTAGGGTTGGTATACAGAAGATAGCCCTATTTGGTAAAAGACCAAGTCCATATTATGGCAAGAACAGCTCAAATAAGCAAAGCGAAATGACAGTCCATCATTACTTTAAGACATGAAGGTCAGTCAATCCGCAAAATTTCAAGAACTTTGAATGTCGCAAAAACCATCAAGCGCTATGATGAAACTGGCTCTCATGAGGATCGCCACAGGAAAGGAAGACCCAGAGTTACCTCTGCTGCAGATAAGTTCATTACAGTTACCAGCCTCAGAAATTGCAGCCCAAATAAATGCATCACAGAGTTCAAGTAACAGACAAATCTCAACATCAACTGTTCAGAGGAGACTGCGTGAATCAGGCCTTCATGGTCGAATTGCTGCAAAGAAACTTGATTGGGCCAAGAAACACGAGCAATGGACATTAGACCGGTGGAAATCTGTCCTTTGGTCTGATGAGTCTAAATTTGAGATTTTTGGTTCCAACCACCATTTCTTTGTGAGACGCAGAGTAGGTGAACAGATGATCTCTGCATGTGTGGTTCCCACCGTGAAACATGGAGGAGGAGGTGTGATGGTGTGGGGGTGCTTTGCTGGTGACACTGTCAGTGATTTATTTAGAATTCAAGGCACACTTAACCAGCATGGCTACCACAGCATTCTGCAGCGATACGCCATCCCATCTGGTTTGGGCTTAGTGGGACTATCATTTATTTTTCAACAGGACAATGACCCAACACACCTCCATGCTGTGTTAGGGCTATTTGACCAAGAAGGAGAGTGATGGAGTGCTGCATCAGATGACCTGGCCTCCACAATCACCGGACCTCAACCCAATTGAGATGGTTTGGGATGAGTTGGACCGCAGAGTGAAGGAAAAGCAGCCAACAAGTGCTCATTATATGTGGGAACTCCTTCAAGACTGTTGGAAAAGCATTCCAGGTGAAGCTGGTTGAGAGAATGCTAAGAGTGTGCAAAGGTGTCATCAAGGCAAAGGGTGGCTACTTTGAAGAATCTCAAATGTAAAATATATTTTGATTTGTATAACACTTTTTTTGGCTACTACATGATTCCATATGTGTTATTTCATAGTTTTGATGTTTTCACTATTATTCTACAATGTAGAAAATAGTAAAAATAAAGAAAAACCCATGAATGAGTAGGTTTGTCCAAACTTTTGACTGGTACTGTATGTTCATCAATTGTAATTTTTTTTTATTGTCGCAGTGGTCTCAGCAAAGCCTCAGTCACCCAAGCTGCCCACCCGTTCCAGACTCAGCTCTTTTGTGGAGGTGACTGCCGATGGCCTGACTAGTGAAACCAAGAAAACGGGCAAACGCACTGGACACCTTGAGCTACAGTGGAACGAGGACCTCACCCTGTGAGCCCCCCCCCCCCCCCCCTTCTCTCAACCTCACTGTGTTTTAGATGCTTGTGTGTTGTTTAGTGTATGTGTGTTTTTCTGACACAACATGCCAATGCTATGCCGCTGTACAGTAATACCACATGAATGTGTAATGTAGGCCTATTTGGTTGTGTAGCTGATTTTGACTTGTGTGTTGTTTAGGAATGTGACGCCTCAGAGCCACTTAGATCTAAAGTTGTGGAACTGCCACACCTTGAGGAAGGAGTTGCTGGGGAGTGCCACCATTGACCTGCTTGACACCCTGCGTACACATGATGGCAAGAGTAAGACAATAAACTTTTATTTTTAAAAAGTTGTTTAAATTTTTATGTAGGCCTATGTTCATGGATTGTTAGCAGGATTCCCAGTCATGCTACTAAAGTAGTCTTTCCAGTTGGAAAATATTAGGGGTTATCCTCTACAGAAATTAAAGATCAAGCTCCATCAGGATGTTTCTTTATACAAACATGTAAGAAGAAGAGAGAAATAACTTTGTTTGCCTTTATGCAATTGATAGAGCACATCTTATCATCTCTTACTTTCCCTAATCCTTCATTTTCTTTCCCTCCTTCGTTTTCTCTTTCTTCACACTCTCCTCCATCTATCCCTCCCTCCATTCCACAATCCCCCCTTTCCCTCCAGTGGAGAATCTGCAGCTCAGTCTGGTCTTGCAGACAGAGAACAAAGGCTCAGTTGTAGCAGGAGGCGAGCTGAACGTCTGTCTGGACGGCCTGGTTGTTGATCTGGGATCTTTGCCCAATGGCAGCACAGCAACAGACAGTGAGTCCTGCCTTACTACTCACACACACACACGTTAACACTTACAAAAAAGTACACACCATTTTTTAATGCAAACAAAATGCTCCCACACACACACACTTTCACTCTGTCTTGCTTTCTTGCATTTTCTCTCTCTCTTGGTCTCTGGTATATATTCACACTCATTATGTTTAGTGACATGTTTGTGATTACTTATATTTGTTATTTTTCATACTCCACCCAAGCGAAAAGTGGGGCTCATTTGGAAAAAGCCAAAGAGTTTTTACTTTGAAAGTGTGGTGGAGTCTCAAATGTGGTGGAATATGACTATTTTGAGCCATCATGTTACTAGTGTGCAAGTTTGCACACAATCTATCACAGGTTTTGGCAGAGTCTTTCACATGTTTTGAAACGTGGACTGGAAGACTGGGGAGTACTATGTGTCTGTTGGACCACTTTCCATACTTTCATGTAGGCCTAGTTGATACTCTTGCTTAACATCCACTAGGCCTATAACTTGTGGACACTCTAACATAATTAGATTTCAGTAACAGTAACAGACCTTTTGTGTTGCCGATAGTTAACTACACGTATACAAACAAGTGGCGAAAGAAAGGCCAAACAGCAGACAAACTTTTGTAAGACAAAGATTGGGCTTTCCTCTTCAGTTTTTTAAATGACTAACAACCCATTAAACTGATTTATAGGGGTCGCTTGAGTTTCCCAGTTCATGCATCTCTCATCTGTGTATAAAATAACACACAGGCCTTTTCATACAGAATCACAGAGCCATAGTGTTTCCTAGTGAATGAACACAGCACAAGTCAGGGTTGGGTCTCTGAGCATATGGTTCATAAATGTGTCTCTTTGTGTGTGTTTATATATATATATAAATGTGTGTGTTTGTGTGTGCATGAACATTTAATATTGTTCTTAAAGCGATGAATAGGCTTCACAGCGCCTGTTCCATTCAGATCTGTTACTTTGGTGTTCTCCAAGCACTGTTTCACACACGCACAACATCATCACACACAGCCATGCACACTCGCACACATGCTTGGGAGTCCTTATGTGTAATTTGTTTCTCAGAATTGCGTAATTGAGTCTTGTTTCTGTGAGCTGTGCAGGACATTCGGCTCCTGTGATCCATGACGCGGGGGGGGGGGGTTCCTCTTTTCCCCGGGTGGGGGTTCACTGGATGTGGGACAGGGGGAAGGGTGGGGGAGGAAGGGAGGTGTATTAAGGCAATGAGTATGTGCTTTCTGAGGTCTTAATGGTCTTGTTTGTTGGGGATGGTTGTTAGTGAATAGAGGTCTTGAGTGTGCCCTCTGAGGTCAGATTTCTTCTTTTTTTTTTTTTGGGGGGGGGGGGGGGGGGGGTGTTTTTTTGGGGGATGTATGAAGGTCTGGAGTGTGTGCTCTCTGGCAGGGTGGTGTATAAAGGTTCAAGTGTGTGCCCTGTTGCTGGGGGAAGGTGTGTTAAGACCCTCTGTGTTCTCTCTGAAGGCAGCTCTGTTACGTTAATGTTTTAAATCATTTCCCCTGGCAGTTTTTTTGACACGCTGACACACACTGCTACCATAAACAGGCCTTTGTGCTGCAGCCAGTAAAAAAAACACACTTAGACCAGACAGAACTCACCTTTACGTGCAGTGGGGTCTGAAATGATTGACACCCTTGATAAAGATAAGCAAAAATGACTGAATAAAATAAATAATTCAAATACTGAGCTACATGTAACTGCCAAAATAAAGGAAACCCAATATAATGTGTCTTAATAGGGTGTTGGGCCACCACGAGCTAGAACAGCTTCAATTAACCTTTGCATAGATTCTGCAAGTGTCTTGAACTCTATTGGAGGGATGAAACTCCATTCTTCCATGAGGAATTCCATCATTTGGTGTTTTGTTGATGGTGGTGAAAACTCTGTCTCAGGAACGGCTCCAGAAGTGTTCAATTCGGTTGCGATCTGGTGGCCCATGGCATATGGTTGACATTAGTTTTTATGCTCATCAAACCATTCAGCTCCGCTCGTGCCCTGTGGATTGGGGCATAGCCATGGTCGCCAGAATAATGGCCTGCCAAGCATTTTTATACATGACCCTAAGCATAATGGAGTTTTATTTCAACCTAAATAGACATACCCAAACGTAATAATATTTCATGAGATGGCCATAAACAATAACTGGTAATGTTGCGTAGTTTTAGAAAGGTCTGGAACTCACCTTTCTAGTAGTCTTTTTTTAAATAAATTGCTGAGGTGTATTCACTTTTGATGACACAAGCTCAAATATGTAGTATTATGAAAATATGAAAAAGTAAGATTTCTTTCCCCTATTCAACAAATAGGGCTTGGAAAGACTGAAATTATTTCCAAATACAGTATCAATCAAATTATAAACGACTTACTATAAGATTTCAAATTTCTTATAACTGTAAATAAATACGATCATACTTAGTGACAGTACAATATTGGCACTATTTCATACAACTGATGACAGAGAATTTTCTCCTAAATGTCAACTGAGCGGCGCAAAGACACCATTCACATGTGTGCAGACTCATTACAATTTCAGCTTTAAGCACAAAGTGATTCCGTCTGTGACAAAGAGAAAGTGGTCTTGTTTCAATGCTATTAAATTATTTAGTATTTCTTCATGTTGAGAGCTCTAAATCCGGCTGAGAATATCACAGCGAGATGAAACCACAACGACTGGATTCGCTAGACCAGGGCTCACCAACCCTGTTCCTGGACTGCTACCCTCCTGTAGGTTTTCACTACAACCCCAGTTGTAACTAACCAGATTCAGCTTATCAACCAGCTAAGTATTAGAATCGGGTGCGCTAGATTAGGGTTAGAGCGAAACCCTACAGGACAGTAGTTCTCCAGGAACAGGGTTGGAAAGCCCTGCACAGGACTGTAACCTTTCATATGCCGTCTCCCAGGCTGGGCTCACTCGCTCAGAGGAAGAGAAAATCAATTATTTGTCTGGATAGGCCCGAAAATGTGACACGTCACTCCCAATGCAAATGTGTGGTCTGAAACCTGACACTTCAAGTCGGCTCCACTGAGAGAGTGGAAGCGGAGAGCAGACAGATGGGGCTTACTGGCACTATAAGGCACGGGACCTTATGGCGTTCACAGAGTGCTTTATACAATGCATTCGGAAAGTATTCAGACCCACATTTTGTTACGTTACAGCCTTATTCTAAAATGGATTAGATGAATTTTTTTCCTCATCAATCTACACACAATACCCCAAAATGACAAAGCAAAAACAGGTTTTTAGACATTTTTGCTAATTTATTACAAATAAAAAACAGAAATACTGTATTTACAAAAGTATTCAGACCCTTTGCTGTGAGACTCAAAATTGAGCTCAGGTGCATCCTGTTTCCATTGATCATCCTTGAGCTGTTTCTACAACTTGATTGGACTCCACCTGTGGTAAATTCAATTGATTGGACATGATTTGGAAAGGCACACACCTGTCTATATAAGGTCCTACAGTTGACAGTGCATGTCAGAGCAAATACCAAGCCATGAGGTCGAAGGAATTGTCCATAGAGCGCAGAGACAGGATTGTGTCGAGGCACAGATCTGGGGAAGAGTACCAAAACATTTCTGCAGCATTGAAGGTCCCCAAGAACACAGTGGCCTCCATCATTCTTTAAATGGAAGAAGTTTGGAACCACCAAGACTCTTCCTAGAGCTGGCCGCCCGGCCAAACTTGAGTAATCAGGGGAGAAGGGCCTTGGTCAGGTAGGTGACCCAGAACCCGATGGTCACTCTGACAGAGCTCCAGAGTTTGTCTGTGGAGATGGTATAACCTTCCAGAAGGACAACCATCTCTGCAGCACTCCACCAATCAGGCCTTTATGGTAGAGTGGCCAGATGGAAGCCACTCCTCAATAAAGGCACATGACAGCACGCTTGGAGTTTGCCAAAAGGCACCTAAAGGACTCTCAGACCATGAGAAGCAAGATTCTCTGGTCTGATAAAACCAAGATTGAACTCTTTGGCCTGAATCCCAAGCGTCACGTCTGGAGGAAACCTGGCACCATCCCTACGGTGAAGCATGGTGGTGGCAGCATCATGCTGTGGGGATGTTTTTCAGCGGCAGGGACTGGGAGACTAGTCAGGATCAAGGGAAAGATGAACGGAGCAAAGTACAGAGAGATCCTTAATGAAAACCTGCTCCTGAGCGCTCTGGACCTCAGACTGGGGCGAAGGTTCGCCTTCCAACAGGACAACGACCCTAAGCACACAGCCAAGACAACGCCGGAGTGGCTTCGGGACAAGTGTCTGAATGTCCTTGAGTGGCACAGCCTGAGCCCGGACTTGAACCTGATGGAACATCTCTGGAGAGACCTGAAAATAGCTGTGCAGCGATGCTCCCCATCCAACCTGACAGAGCTTGAGAGGATCTGCAGAGAAGAATGGGAGAAACACCCCAAATACAGTTGTGCAAAGCTTGTAGCATCATACCCAAGAAGACTTGAGGCTGTAATCGCTACCAAAGGTGCTTCAACAAAGTACTGTGTAAAGGGTCTGAATACTTATGTATATCTGATATTTCAGGGTTTTTTAACTATAAATTGGCAAAAATTTATAAAAACTTGTTATTGCTTTGTCGTTATGGGGTATTGTGTGTAGATTAATGAGGGGGAAAAAACCAATTTGATCCATTTTAGAATGAGGCTGTAACGTAACAAAATGTGGAAATAATTAATGGGTCTGAATACTTTCCGAATGCACTGTACACCAAAATGTCAGTTGGAACCGGTCCAGAACCGCTCAATATGGGGGACTTACCATCTAAGACTCAGGACCCACATGTGTGGAAGCACCTGCTTTCAATACACTTTGTATCCCTCATTTACTTAAGTGTTTCCATTATTTTGGCAGTTGCCTGTATGTTGAGAAATTATATTATTTTATACAATTGCTCAGAAAAATAGATTTTGTTTAACAAGTAATACTTTTTTATCTCAAAGGTAGGGGTCAAAATCATTGACGCCGCTGTTTTCAATACCTTTTCAATACCTCACCTTACGAGGATAAGGGCACTGACCCCACTGTATATACAGGCTTACACAGACAAACACATGCACTCTTATATGTCCAGTGCACACACAACGTCAACAGAGTATATATGTTCAGAATAATTGTGAGCTGTTAAACCATATGGAAATATTGCCAATGCCAAACAGCAAACAAAATAAACTTTATTGGAGTTGGTGGGGAGGCTGGCTGCTGAGGATAGTTTTTTTTAGGGGAGCACATGAAATCCAAGACAATTTGGCTCAACTCGTTGAAACATTGACTTTTGCAAGGATTTCAATAAGCAGTATTCACCAGCAGACGGTCGACCCTTTAACCACATTCCAACCTCCATCTCCGGAAAGTTAGCTAAGGCAACACAAACAAACATAGATACACTATATATACAAAGGTATGTGGACACCCTTCAAATTAGCGGATTCGGCTATTTCAGCCACACCCTTTGCTGACAGGTGTATAATATCGAGCACACAGCCATGCACTCTCCATAGACAAACATTGGCAGTAGAATGGCCCGTACTGAAGAGTGAGTGACTTTCAACGTGGCACTGTCATAGGATGCCACCTTTCCAACAACTCAGTTTGACATATTTCTGCCCTGCTTCTCCGGTCAATTGTAAGTGCTGTTATTGTGAAGTGGAAACATCTAGTAGCAACAACAGCTCAGCTGCGAAGTGGTAGGCCACACAAGCTCACAGAATGGGACCGCTGAGCGCTGAAGCTCGTAGTGCATAAAAATCGTCTGTCCTCGGTTGCAACACTCACTACCAAGTTCCAAACTGCCTCTGGAAGCAACGTCAGCACAATAACTGTTCGTCGGGAGCTTAATGAAATGGCCTAAGATCACCATGCGCAATGCAAAACGTCGGCTGGAGTGGTGTAAAGCTTGCCGCGATTGGACTCTGGAGCAGTGGAAACGCGCTCTCTGGAGTGATGAATCACGCTTCACCATCTGGCAATCCGACGGACAAATCTGGGTTTGGCGGATGCCAGGAGAATGCTACCTGCCCGAATGCATAGTGCCAACTGTAAAGTTTGGTGGAGGAGGAATAATGGTCTGGGGCTGTTTTTCATGGTTTGGGCTTGGCCCCTTAGTTCCAGGGAAGGGAAATCTTAACGCTACAGCATACTATGACATTCTAGACGATTCTGTGCTTTTAACTTTGTGGCAACAGTTTGGGGAAGGCCCTTTCCTGTTTCAGCATGACAATGCCCCCGTGCACAAAGCGCGGTCCATACAGAAATGGTTTGTCGAGATCAGTGTGGAAGAACTTGACTGACCTGCACAGAGCCCTGACCTCAACCCGATCGAACACCTTTGGGATGAATTGGAACGCCGACTGCGAGCCAGGCCTAATCGCCCAATGTCAGTGCCTGACCTCACAAATGCTCTTATGGCTGAATGGAAGCATGTCCCCGCATAAATGTTCCAATATCAAGTGAAAAGTAATCCCAGAAGAGTGGAGGCTGTTATAGAGCAAATGGGGGACCAACTCATAACCATCATTTTGGAATGAGATGTTCGATAAGCAGGTGTCCACATACTTTTGGTCATGTAGTGTATGTCTCATTTCACTCTGGAGGTATTTGCGGACAACAGCTAGACTGTGACAAGCTCTGTTTATTAGATGATGCATTCAGAGCAGTATGACACAATGGTTTCTCCACAACTAGACCGATATGGCCTCTCACAAGGCCTTTTCAGACAGTTGAAACAGGAGCATTCCCTGGACAGACACACATGCTTGTTTTTCTCAATGTCTACCTGTTTACTTAAAGCAGGATCTGAGTTATATATAAACACATTAAAGCATTGAAGCTGTCTAGCTTCAGGAGCCAGTGTTAGACAGACTGCATTTATTTATTGGAGGTTAGTTACTGCCGCCCGTGCCCCACTCCTTATGAGTGTCCCAGTTTTATAATGAAAAGCATGTTATATGGCTGTGGTTTCAGTCAGGGGAGGGAATTAACTTATAGACTCATACAGTCACAGACCACATTCTATAGCAGTGAAAATTGGTCTCTGTGAAACAGTAACAGTCATTTCATGACCGCAAGGGTTTTGGAATTTTGATCTTGTGTGATTTACTCTGTAGAGATTGGATGGTATATATATATATATATATATATTTTTTTACTAATGGTCATAATGAAGTTTGATGTATCGATGGTGTGTCTTTGTCTCTCCTGTTTGTACAGAGATGCTGCAGTCAGACAGACAAAGCCTACGCAGGACCCAGAGTGAGGAAACCCCCAGTTCCGCCGGCGGCCCCCGCGGCAGGTGAGCACAACCATACACATATTTGAATTGACCTGTATATGATTTATACTTTGTTGTATTCATACCCCTACAGAGTACATACTGTATGAACAAACACTTTCACACAAATGGTCATAGATTCATTTCACAACTTGGATGTACAGAGACTCATGTTTCTCTACCCTCTCACACATACACACACATGCACATGCACTCACTCACACACACAAACTCTCAGAAGTCTAACTTTAAACACAAATATACTGAGGGTAATGGTCAGTGCAGTGATCCAACACAGAGATGCCCTAATCAAATCAATGATAAGGTACAGATAGGGAGCGTGCCAAAGTATGAGACACTAGTCTGCTCTACTACAAAGCACAGATGGTATTGTATGGTATTTCCCTGAAAACATTAAGAGGGCACTGCTCTGGACCTTTTTTATTCGAAACTGCATTGAACAGCTCCATCCATCTGTCCCTAAAGACAGGAGTAGAAAGGGAGGTGTAGATAGAGGCAGGAAGAGACAGGAGTGCAGAGAGTTCTATGTCGTGTATTTTGTTGCTTCTGCATTCTCCCATGACGAGAACCATGTGCCCCCCCCCGCCCCTCCCCAAGGGGGAAAAAGCTTCAATGTCGGGTGCTCAAAGTTTATATTTTCTCCTGTCCTTTTCCAAACGGCTGTTCCTCTGTCCCTCTTTCAGTATAGGTAGTTGGTGAAAAAGATTCACTGCAAAGACACAGTTTCAGAACCTTTCTAATAAAGTTTCCATTGATAATTATCCAAGTTTGTGCTCAGCATTCCAATGTCTGGGGGGTAAAAACCAACATGTTTTCATTGTATAAAAGCACTTGTAGGAAAGAAAAGCTATATTTAGTTTGAGGAAAATTAGTATATTTTGAGAGGAAAAGGAGCTCACACTGACATCTCTTTGTGTGTGTGTGCATGCATGTTCCGGCGTCTGTATGTTTGTGATCTGTGCTGAGCTACTTTTGAAAGATTTTCTTAATCCTTTGGTTTATTCCTAAGCAGCACTCCAAAGTATCAACCGCAAACGGATTCTATATTTTTTACAGTAGAAATGTACATTTACATAAGTAGCTTAGCTTTAAATCACATTCACATTCTGTTCATTGTCACACAGCATGAGTTGAGAGTTTAAGGGTCATTTTGTGTGGTATGAGTGATCCTGACCCCTCCCCTGTTTTCTGTCTGTGTTCTGGTCAGGACTCACAGACACTCTGCAGGGGGTTCGCGAGGGGGTTCCCCGGGGGGCTCTCTGACTAACGGAGAGCTGAGTGAGGAGCATAGTCCTGCGGCTTCCGGTCACCCTCGCTCGGCCAAGAACTCCCACAGCAGCCCTGGGAGTGCAGGTACGATAACCTTGGCGACATGAAACCATTTTTCTGTCGCTCTCCATTCACTTGACACTAGAATTGGAACAGTATCATGAATCAGCTGTGAACTTTCATACTATAGACAAAGTGTTTTAATCATTATGATGTGTAGCTTTTTGTTCCGGTGTGGATCAATCAACTCCTTTACCTACCCACCCACAGGTAAAGTTGAGCTGACTGCCAACGGGCTGGAGAATGGCCGTAGTGGTCTGGCTCATCATACACCCCCACCCTCCTCCCCGTCGGTCCGGTCCCCAGCCCCCAGCAGCAGCAGCCCCTCTCCTGGGCCAGACAGCACAGTCCTCCCCCCTCCTACAGAGGCACCCCCTGCTGGCACCAACCCAACCACTGCTACAGAGCCTGTTCCAGAATCACTACCGAATGGGTAAAATGTTGCGTGCGTGTGTATATGTGACAGATGATTTGAGGTTACGTTCAATCTCTTTCCTCACCTGTAACTAGACATGACCTAATGCCTCCCCCACGCTCTCTCTCTCGCTCTCTCTCTGTCTCTCTCTCTGTCAGCTGGGAGCAGCGAATCCTGCCCCATGGCAGAGTGTACTACGTGGACCACAACACAAAGACCACCACCTGGGAGAGACCTCTTCCACCTGGGTCAGTCGGTCGAAAATGTTGAAATCCCAATGTGGCCTTTGAGTCAAGATTATTGTCCACCCCTGGCTACACACTTTGACCTCTCATACTCCTCCTCCTACAGTCAGAGAAGAGTAACGACAGTTAGCAAGCCCACTGCATGATGGGAATGTCTCTCTGTGGAGGGGAGATGTTGCCCACTTGTGAATATTCCCTGCATGTCTCTCCCAGGTTGAAACATTTACAAAATAAATTTAAAAATCCCACATCGGTTCATCCTTGCAAATGATTATGAACAACTCCAGACTACACCTGTATGTAAAAAAATTATAGTGGACCTATATATTTTTAAATAACTGCCCTTTTTTCTGGCCTGTAAATTGATTTTGACAAACAAATTGGTCCCCAAAAAACTGTGCAGCCCTTCGTTAAATGTTGAAATCTCAATGTGGCCCTTGAATCAAGATTATTGCCCACCCCTGGCCTACACACTTTGACCTCTCCTCCTCCTCTCTTTATCTCACACTTCCTACCATCAGAGGAGCTTGACGACAGTTAGCCAGTCCAGTGCATGATGGGAATGTCTCTCTGTGGAGGGGAGATGTTGCCCACTTGTGAACATTCCCTGTGAAGTGGGCCCAGCAGGGAGTGGCAGAATCACTCACAGCACAGTAACTTTCCTGTGGGTCTGACTCCGGACAGTCAAGTGATCGGAGACTAGGCCTATTTTCTCTGGATGGAAGAAGTGACTAAATATGAGAAAAGACTGAATAATTGGTTACTGCTGCTCCCCACCCCAACTTAGACTATACTATCCAAGTAGAGGAGTCCTTTACTTACAGTATACAGTTGAAGTCGGAGGTTTACATACACCTTAGCCAAATACATTTAAACTCAGTTTTTCACAATTCCTGACATTTAATCCTAGTAGAAATTCCCTGTTTTAGGTCAGTTAGGATCACCACTTTATTTTAAGAATGTGAAATGTCAGAATAATAGTAGAGAGAATTATTTATTTAAGCTTTTATTTCTTTCATCACATTCCCAGTGGGTCAGAAGTTTACATGCACTCAATTTGTATTTGGTAGCATTGCCTTTAAATTGTTTAACTTGGGTCAAACGTTTCGGGTAGCCTTCCACAAGCTTCCCACAATAAATTGGGTGAATTTTGGCCCATTCCTCCTGACAGAGTTGGTGTAACTGAGTCAGGTTTGTAGGCCTCCTAGACACGCCTTTTCAGTTCTGCCCACAAATTTTCTATAGGATTTAGGTCAGGGCTTTGTGATGGCCACTCCAATACCTTGACTTTGTTGTCCTTAAGCCATTTTGCCACGACTTTGGAAGTATGCTTGGGGTCATTGTCCATTTGGAAGACCTATTTGCGACCAAGCTTTAACTTCCTGACTGATGTCTTGAGATGTTGCTTCAATATATCCACATACATTTCCTTCCTCATGATGCCATCTATTTTGTGAAGTGCACTAGTCCCTCCTGCAGCAAAGCACCCCCACAGCATGATGCTGCCACCCCTGTGCTTCACGGTTGGGAGGGTGTTCTTCGGCTTGCAAGCCTTCCCCTTTTTCCTCCAAACAGAATGATGGTCATTATGGCCAAACAGTTCTATTTTTGTTTCATCGGAGTAGAGGACATTTCTCCAAAAAGTATGATCTTTGTCCCCATGTGCAGTTGCAAAATGTATTCTGGCTTTTTTATGGCGGTTTTGGAGCAGTGGCTTCTTCCTTGCTGAGCGGCCTTTCAGGTTATGTCGATGTAGAACTCGTTTTACTGTGGATATAGATACTTTTGTACCTGTTTCCTCCAGCACCTTCACAAGGTCCTTTGCTGTTGTTCTGGGATTGATTTGCACTTTTCGCACCAAAGTACGTTCATCTCTAGGAGACAGAACGCGTCTCCTTCCTGAGCGGTATGTCAGCTGCGTGGTCCCATGGTGTTTATACTTGCGTACTATTGTTTGTACAGATGAATGCCGTACCTTCAGGCGTTTGGAAATTGCTCTCAAGGATGACCCAGACTTGTGGAGGTCTACAGTTTTTTTTCTGAGGTCTTGGCTGATTTCTTTTGATTTTCCCATGATGTCAAGCAAAGAGGGACTGAGTTTGAAGGTAGGCCTTGAAATACATCCACAGGTACACCTCCAATTGACTCAAATGATGTCAATTAGCCTATCAGAAGCTACTAAAGCCATGACATCATTTTCTGGAATTTTCCAAGCTGTTTAAAAGCACAGTCAAGTTAGGTATGTAAACTTCTGACCCACTGGAAATTGTGATACAGTGAATTATAAGTGAAATAATCTGTCTGTACACAATTGTTTGGAAAAATTACTTGTGTCATGCACAAAGTAGATGTCCTAACCGACTTGCCAAAACTATAGTTTGTTAACAAGACATTTGTGGAGTGGTTGAAAAACAAGTTTTAAGTGTATGTAAACTTCCGACTTCAACTGTATGTGTGTCAGGTCTTTAAGTGTGTGTTTTATGTGTTTGGGCATCCATACATTTAGTCATCTCTTATGTCTTTAACAGGCTCTGAATCACCGGCACTGATTATTTGAGTGTAGTGGTGTTTCTCACTGTGTTCTGCGGAAACCCAGCTCTCTCTTTTGGGGTTACTACAGCCAAGCCTTTTATTGCCTTTTTATTTCTGTGATTATTTATTGATTTTCGCTTACACTGTGTGAGAAGCCTGTTTGAGGGAAAGGTCACTCCCGCCCCATCTCACTTTTTCCACTGGAGGGAACGGGCCAGAAAACAAAAGTCCTTTCTTAGAAAGAGCACATGTATGCAGCGCTACGCTGGGCCCATCCTGAGGCTCAATTAGTGGCTTGCCTCTTGGAGGCTGAGCTGGCTTTGACTACAGCTGCAAGGTTTGGTGCTTAGTGCTTTGGCTGCGTATCTAGTCTGAGTTAGCATGGCGCTGCAGCTCAGATGAAAGGCATGTGGTGCTGGGCTGCATTAATGGGCCTGGAACTGAGCTCTTCTCTAGCAGTGTTGGGTTTAACTGCTCTCAGGTTCCCCCTCGAAGGGCAGACTGTATGGGAGCTATAGCACTACTCTGTAGGGTAGGGGAGCTATAGTACTCCACTGTAGGATAAAACACTCAAACCACTTAAATTGGACAGTTTTATCTCCATCTCTTCATTCAAAGACTCAATCATGGACACTCTTACTGACAGTTGTGGTTGCTTCGCGTGATGTATTGTTGTCTCTACCTTCTTGCTCTTTGTGCTGTTGTCTGTGCCCAATAATGTTTGTACTATGTTTTGTGCTGCTACCATGTTGTGCTGCTGCCATGTTGTGTTGCTACCATGCTGTGTTGTCATGTGTTGCTGCCATGCTAGGTGGTTGTCTTAGGTCTCTTTATGTAGTGTTGTGGTGTCTCTCTTGTCGTGATGTGTGTTTTGTCCTATATTTTATTTATTTATTTTTAATCCCAGCCCCCAACACCGCAGGAGGTCTTTTGCCTTTTGATAGGCCGTCATTTTAAATAAGAATTTTTTCTTAACTGATGGTTCTGAAAATAAAATGACCGTCATAACCGTACAAAAAATATATATAATTGTTTTTGTGTGTGTGGAATGAACCGCTGACTGAAGACTGGATGGCCAGGCATTTGTGCTGTTGAATCAGTTTCTACTGTAACATGGACTCTACAACGTGATGACATTTTGTTACTCCTTGCTGAGACAAAAAAGGTGTTGTAGCAAACGAGTCTTCGGTTGCCTAGGCAACGTCCCCCTCCCTGCAGCAGCAGCACATGCAGTCAGGAGCGGAGGACAGAAGAAAATGTGAGTCTTAAAAAAAACTAAAAAGATTAACGGTTATAATGGTGACCGCGGTCATTTGGCTGACCAATTACCGTCATCCAAACTTGACCAGGACCTTTACAGCCCTACTCCGCTGTAGGATAGGGGAGCCATAGTACTGCTCTGTAGGGGACCTGTTCTCTCAGGGGAACAGCAGCACAGCACAGGGAACAGGGAGGGATGTTATGTTGCAGCTCTTAAAGCTCTTTTTTGAGGAATGTCTCCTTTTTGAGTTCTGAGCTGTGTGTGTGTTAGCATATGGAACTCTTTGCTGTTTTCTCTTCCAAATTCAGTTCTGGTTGAGTCAGAGATGAGAATAGCAACAGCAGCCTCCACACATGAAAAAACACTGCTGCACTGCACTGGAAATGTGCTCATGTGTTGTTTTACGTGTGTGTCTGTGGGATAATGCATATCTTAATCTTGTGTTTGCATATCCAGCCTTGTCTGTGTCCGTGATTACATACAGTACCAGTCAAAAGTTTGGACACACCTACTCATTCAAAGGTTTATCTTTATTTATTTTTATATTTTCTACATTGTAGAATAATAGTGAAGACATCAAAACTATGAAATAACACATATGGAATCATGTAGTAACCAAAAAAGTGATAAACAAATGAAAATATATTTTATATTCTTCAAATAGCCACCCTTTGCCTTGTTGACAGCTTTGCACACTCTTGGCATTCTCTCAACCAGCTTCACCTGGAATGCTTTTCCAACAGTCTTGAAGGAGTTCCCACATATGCTGTGTACTTGTTGGCTGCTTTTCCTTCACTCTGCGGTCCAACTCATCCCAAACCATCTCAATTGGGTTGAGGTCAGGTGATTGTGGAGGCCAGGTCATCTGATGCAGCACTCCATCACTCTCCTTCTTGGTAAAATAGCCCTTACACAGCCTGGAGGTGTGTTGGGTCATTGTCCTGTTGAAAAACAAATGACAGTCCCGCTAAGCCCAAACCAGATGGGATGGCGTATCACTGCAGAATGCTGTGGTAGCCATGCTGGTTTAGTGTGCCTTGAATTCTAAATAAGTCACTGACAGTGTCACCAGCAAAGCACCCCCACACCATAATGCCTCCTCCTCCTCCATGCTTTACGGTGGGAGATACACATGCGGAGATCACCCGTTCACCCACACCGCGTCTCACAAAGACACGGCAGTTGGAATCAAAAATCTCTAATTTGGACTCCAGACCAAAGGACACATTTCCACCGGTCTAATGTCCATTGCTCGTGTTTCTTGGCCCAAGCAGGTCTCTTCTTCTTATTGGTGTCCTTTTAGTAGTGGTTTCTTTGCAGCAATTCGACCATAAATGCCTGACTCCCACAGTACCCTCTGAACAGTTGATGTTGAGATGTGTCTGTTACTTGAACTCTGTGAAGCATTTATTTGGGATGCAATTTCTGAGGCTGTTAACTCTAATGAACTTCTCCTCTGCAGCAGAGGTAACTCTGGGTCTTCCATTCCTGTGGTGGTCCTCATGAGAGCCAGTTTCATCATAGCGCTTGATGGTTTTTGCGACTGCACTTGAAGAAACTTTCAAAGTTCTTTTAAATGTTCCGTATTGATTGACCTTCATGTCTTAAAGTAATGATGGACTGTCGTTTCTCTTTGCTTATTTGAGCTGTTCTTGCCATAATATGGACTTGGTCTTTTACCAAATAGGGCTATCTTCTGTGTACCACCCCTACCTTGTCACAACACAACTGATTGGCTCAAACGCATTAAGAAGGAAAGAAATTCCACAAATTAACTTTTAACAAGGCACACCTGTATATTGAAATGCATTCCAGGTGACTACCTCGTGAAGTTGGTTGAGAGAATGCCAAGAGTGTGCAAAGCTGTCATCAAGGCAAAGGGTGGCTATTTGAAGAATCTCAAATATAAAATATATTTTGATTTGTTTAACACTTTTTTGGTTACTACATGATTCCATATGTGTTATTTCATAGTTTTGATGTCTTCACTATTATTCTACAATGTAAAAATAAAGAAAAACCCTTGAATGAGTAGGTGTGTAAACTTTTGACTTGTAGTGTATGTCCATTTGTACATTCGTATGAGTCTCACACCTCTCTCTCCGTCTCTGTCCCTCTCCAGTTGGGAGAAGCGTGTGGACCAGCGAGGCAGGTTCTATTATGTGGACCACAACACCAGAACCACCACATGGCAGCGGCCCACGGAAGAATCAGTCCGGAACTATGAGCAGTGGCAGTCCCAGCGAAGCCAGCTCCAGGGGGCCATGCACCAGTTCAGCCAGAGGTTCCTCTACCAGGTAACTCAAACTCAACATGAAATACTGTACTGTCTGTACTTCCTCTTTAGTCCCTTTAGGTGTGGCCCTCTGAAAGCTTCCCCTAAGCAGAGCATTCTGAGTAAAACACAACGGTACAGAAGGGCATTCGTTAAGATAAAAATAATAAAGCATTCTGAATATGAAATGGGCGTTCCATGGTACAGACCATTACTGAAATGAGCCTCAACTGTCATTGGGTTCTATTAAAACCTGCCTGCTCCCACCCAGGCTGCTCGACAAGCACAATTCTGAGTGTCTTTCAAAATAACATCCACCTCCTTGTGGATTCTGAGTAACAATGGATCTCTGAGAACTAGATAGCATGTCTGCTTTTGATCAGTGTTTCCGCTGCATTCATTTAGCTGTGGCGCTATGATGTTAACGTAAAAAAAAAAAAAAAATTACATTGTTTTTCAACCGGACATCAGTAAAGTTTTTCGTTATGCACATTCCCTTTTCCTCAGTAAATAGACCTTTCTTGGTACAACATCTAAAGATTATTGAGCTCTTTGTGCCACTGTGGCAGCCAAACCTGCCTTCGTGCGAAACACAGTGCACCGTCCTCGACACAGCGCACTAGTCACTGGAGAGACCCAGAGAGCCAGCATGCAAGTCACTGGTACGGAATAAATATCTGGAACTTCATAATTCCTGTTCCTCAGACCTCACCCCTCACCTAGTTAAGTCTCACACTTCCTCCTCAACCCTCACTCCTCCCCTAGTCAAGTATCATCCAGTGGCTTAGCGCAGTTTCGCCAGGCCCCTCTCAAGGTCCGAGCAAAGCCCTCCCCTCCCAATATTATATACTTTTAAAAATAATAATCTTTAGGGGGTAGATCATCTTTAATATTGCAGATAGATTGTGGCTTCAATGTAATTGTCTGCATAATTTCCAATCCCCCATGTATTCTTTGGGTAAATATACACTACCGGTCAAAGGTTATAGAACACTTACTCATTCAAGGGTTTTTCTTTATTTTTTTACTATTTTCTACATTGTAGAATAATAGTGAAGACATCAAAACTATGAAATAACACATGGAATCATGTAGTAACCCAAAAAGTGTTAAACAAATCAAAATATATTTTATATTTTAGATTCTTCAAATAGCCACCCTTTGCCTTGATGACAGCTTTGCACACTCTTGGTGTCCTTTAGTAGTGGTTTCTTTGCAGCAATTCGACCATGAAGGCCTGATTCACACAGTCTCCTCTGAACAGTTGATGTTGAGATGTGTCTGTTACTTGAACTCTGAATCATTTATTTGGGCTGCAATTTCTGAGGCTGGTAACTCTAATGAACGTATCCTCTGCAGCAGAGGTAACTCTGGGTCTTCCATTCCTGTGGTGGTCCTCATGAGAGCCAGTTTCATCATAGCGCTTGATGGTTTTTACGACTGCACTTGAAGAAACTTTCAAAGTTCTTGAAATGTTCCATATTGACTGACCTTCATGTCTTAAAGTAATGATGGACTGTTGTTTTTCTTTGCTTACAGTGGCTTGCGAAAGTATTCACCCCCCTTGGCATTTTTCATATTTTGTTGCCTTACAACCTGGAATTAGAATTGATTTTTTGGGGGTTTGTATCATTTGATTTACACAACATGCCTACCACTTTGAAGATGCAAAATATTTTTTATTGTGAAACAAACAAGAAATAAGACAAAAAAACAGAAAACTTGAGCGTGCATAACTATTCACCCCCCCAAAGTCAATACTTTGTAGAGCCACCTTTTGCAGCAATTACAGCTGCAAGTCTCTTGGGTTATGTCTCTATAAGCTTGGCACATCTAGCCACAGGGATCTTTGCCCATTCTTCAAGGCAAAACTGCTCCAGCTCCTTCAAGTTGGATGTGTTCCGCTGGTGTACAGCAATCTTTAAGTCATACCACAGATTCTCAATTGGATTGAGGTCTGGACTTTGACTAGGCCATTCCAAGACATTTAAATGTTTCCCCTTAAACCACTCGAGTGTTGCTTTAGCGGTATGCTTAGGGTCATTGTCCTGCTGGAAGGGGAACCTCCTCCCCAGTCTCAAATCTCTGGAAGACTGAAACAGGTTTCCCTCAAGAATGTCCCTGTATTTAGCGCCATCCATCATTCCTTCAATTCTGACCAGTTTCCCAGTCCCTACCAATGAAAAACATCCCCACAGCATGATGCTGCCACCACCATGCTTCACTGTGTGGATGGTGTTCTCGGGGTGATGAGAGGTGTTCTCGGGGTGATGAGATTCCTTTTGGTGAACACCAAACGTGTCTGCTTATTTTTTTCTTTAAGCAATGGCTTTTTTCTGGCCTCTCTTCCGTAAAGCCCAGCTCTGGGGAGTGTACGGCTTAAAGTGGTCCTGTGGACAGATACTCCAATCTCCGCTGTGGAGCTTTGCAGATCCTTCAGGGTTATCTTTGGTCTCTCTGTTGCCTCTCTGAATAATGCCCTCCTTGCCTGGTCTGTGAGTTTTGGTGGGCGGGCCTCTCTTGGTAGGTTTGTTGTGGTGCCATATTCTTTCCATTTTTTTAAATAATGGATTTAATGGTGCTCTGTGGGATGTTCAAAGTTTCGGATAATTTTTTATAACCCAACCCTGATCTGTACTTCTCCACAACTTTGTCCCTGACCTGTTTGGAGAGCTCCTTGGTCTTTGTGGTGCCGCTTGCTTGGTGGTGCCCCTTGCTTAGTGGTGTTGCAGTCTCTGGGGCCTTTCAGAACAGGTGTATGTATACTGAGATCATGTGACAGATCATGTGACACTTAGATTGCACACAGGTGGACTTTATTTAACTAATTATGTGACTTTGGAAGGTAATTGGTTGCAACAGATCTTATTTAGGGGCTTCATAGCAAAGGGGGTGAATACATATGCACGCACCACTTTTCCGTTATTTATTTTCTTCATTTCACTTAACCAATTTCGACTATTTTGTGTATGTCCATTTTAAAATCCAAATAAAAATCAATTTAAATTACAGGTTGTAATGCAACAAAATAGGAAAAACGCCAAGGGGGATGAATACTTTTGCAAGGCACTGTATTTGAGCTGTTCTTGGCATAAATTGGACTTGGTCTTTTACCAAATAGGGCTATCTTCTGTATACCAACCCTACCTTGTCACAACACAACTGATTGGCGCAAACGCATTAAGAAGGAAAGAAATTCCGCAAATTAACTTTTTAAAAAGGCACACCTGTTAATTGAATGCATTCCAGGTGACTACCTCATGAAGCTGGTTGAGAGAATGCCAAGAGTGTGCAAAGCTGTCATCAAGGCAAATGGTGGCTATTTGAAGATTCTCAAATACACTTTTTAAGGACTTTCAGCTCCCTCCAAAGATTTTCTATTGGGTTCAGGTCTGGAGACTGGCTAGGCCACTCCAGGACCTTGAGATGCTTCTTACGGAGCCACTCCTTAGTTGCCCTGGCTGTGTGTTTCGGGTCGTTGTCATGCTGGAAGACCCTTACTGAGGGAAGGAGGTTGTTGGCAAAGATCTCGCGATACATGGCCCCATCCATCCTCCCCTCAATACGGTGCAGTCGTCCTGTCCCCTTTGCAGAAAAGCATCCCCAAATAATTATGTTTCCACCTCCATGCTTCACGGTTGGGATGGTGTTCTTGGGGTTGTACTCATCCTTCTTCTTCCTCCAAACACGGCGAGTGGAGTTTAGACCAAAAAGCTATATTTTTGTCTCATCAGACCACATGACCTTCTCCCATTCCTCCTCTGGATCATCCAGATGGTCATTGGCAAACTTCAGATGGGCCTGGACATGCGCTGGCTTGAGCAGGGGGACCTTGCTTGAGCAGGGGGACCTTGCGTGCGCTGCAGGATTTTAATCCATGACGGCGTAGTGTGTTACTAATGGTTTTCTTTGAGACTGTGGTCCCAGCTCTCTTCAGGTCATTGACCAGGTCCTGCCGTGTAGTTCTGGGCTGATCCCTCACCTTCCTCATGATCATTGATGCCCCACGAGGTGAGATCTTGCATGGAGCCCCAGACCGAGGGTGATTGACCGTCATCTTGAACTTCTTCCATTTTCTAATAATTGTGCCAACAGTTGTTGCCTTCTCACCAAGCTGCTTGCCTATTGTCCTGTAGCCCATCCCAGCCTTGTGCAGGTCTACAATTTTATCCCTGATGTCCTTACACAGCTCTCTGGTCTTGGCCATTGTGGAGAGGTTGGAGTCTGTTTGATTGAGTGTGTGGACAGGTGTCTTTTATACAGGTAACAAGTTCAAACAGGTGCAGTTAATACAGATAATGAGTGGAGAACAGGAGGGCTTCTTAAAGAAAAACTAACAGGTCTGTGAGAGCCGGAATTCTTACTGGTTGGTAGGTGATCAAATACTTATGTCATGCAATAAAATGCAAATTAATTACTTAAAAATCATACAATGTGATTTTCTGGATTTTTGTTTTAGATTCCGTCTCTCACAGTTGAAGTGTACCTATGATAAAAATTGCAGACCTCTACATGCTTTGTAAGTAGGAAAACCTGCAAAATCAGCAGTGTATCAAATACTTGTTCTCCCCACTGTATTTTTATATATATATATATATTTATAGTACCGTTCCAAAGTTTGGGGTCACTTAGAAATGTCATTTTTTTCGAAAAGAAAAGCAATTTTTTTGTGCATTAAAATAACATGAAATTGATCAGAAATACAGGGTAGACATTGTTAATGTTGTAAATGGCTATAGTAGCTGGAAACGGCTGATTTTGAATGGAATATCTACATAGGCGTACAGAGGCCCATTATCAGCAACCATCAGTCCTGTGTTAAAATGGCACGTTGTGTTTGCTAATCCAAGTTTATCATTTTAAAAGGCTAATTGATCATTAGAAAACCCTTTTGCAATTATGTTAGCACAGCAGAAAACTGTTGTGCTGATTAAAGAATCAATAAAACTGGCCTTCTTGAGACTAGTTGAGTATCTGGAGCATCAGCAATTGTGGGTTCGATTAGAGGCTCAAAATGGCCAGAAACAAATAACTTTCTTCTGAAACTCGTCAGTCTATTCTTGTTCTGAGAAATGAAGGCTATTCCATGCGAGAAATTGCCAAGAAACTGAAGATCTCATACAGCCACCCAAGTCATAGACTGTTCTCTCTGCTACCACACGGTAAGTTGTACCGATGCGCCAAGTCTGGAGCCAACAGGACCCGGAACCGTTTCTACCCCTAAGCCATAAGACTGCTAAATAGTTAACCAAATAGCTACCCGACTATCTGCATTGACCCCCCTTTGCACCAACTCCTTTGACTCGTCACATACGATACTGCTTATTATCTATCCTGTTGCCCAGTCACTCAATTACCTCGTACCCCTGCACATCGACTCGGTACTGGTACCCTGTCTATATAGCCAAGTTATCGTTACTCGTGTATTTATTCCTTGTGTTATTATCTTTCTAGCTTATGTAAGCATTTCACTGACGCATGTGACAAATAAAATGTAATTTGATTTTGAGATGAGACTGAGAGAAAATTAAGGTAATTTACCGTAATTCTAAACATTTTGCCATGCTTATGACATGTTCATATGCTATCTGGGGGCCACCCGAGCTTTAGGGAGCCCCCAACCCTCGGTAGAGTGTTAGGCACCCCCCCCCCCCCCCCCCCCCGCTACTACAATTTCTAGAGCAAACACTGCTGCTGATAGTCGGGTTCTGTTATGGAATGCCGCCTCTGTTGATAGTTTGGTTATTTTTAGGCCGGTGTGAAAGTGAGTGGAGCTGGGGGAAGTGACATACACCACCCTTCTGGCCTGTGGGTTGACTCCAACCTTACAGCTGTGTGAGCACACATGCTTGCACGCCTGCACACACACACACACAGTTTTGTTTTACACAAGGATAGTTAAACAAAAACACACACACACAATTGTGACACAACACACAATACACCCCAAGGCATACAGTGCCTTCAGAAAGTTGTTCTGTTACAGCCTGAATTTAAAATGGATTAAATAGATATTGTGTTACTGGCCTACACATAATACCCCATCATTTCAAAGTGGAATTATGTTTTAAAAAATGTTTACAAATTAATTAAAAATGAAAAGCTGCAATGTCTTTAGTCAATACAAATGTGCGTAACAAGTCAAATAGTTGCTTACCAAGACGACATTGAATGTTCCTGAGTGGCCTAATTACAGTTTTGACTTAAATCAACTTGAAAAGATCTATGGCAAGACTTGAAAATGGCTGTCTAGCAATGATCAACAACCAGCTTAAAGAATTTTAAATGGAATAATGTGCAAATATTGTAGAATCCAGGTGTGCAAATCTCTTAGACATTTACCCAGAAAGACTCACAGCTGTAATCCCTGCCAAAGGTGATTCTAACATGTATACATGTATTCTAACGTGAATACTTATGTTAATTAGATATTTGTGTATTTCATTTCCAATAAATTAGCTACAATTTCTAAAAACATGTTTTCACTTTGTCATTATGGGGTATTGTGTGTAGTTGGGTGAGATAAGTAATCTATTTAATTCATTTTGAATTCAGGCTGTAACACAACAAATTGTGGAATAGGTCAAGGGGTATGAATACTTTCTGAAGGCACTGTAGATTAAGTAACACATACACACAGTGGGGTTTTGTGTGTGTGTGTGTGTGCCTGTACGCATTTGGCCAGTAATTGCAGCTTATTAGGAACTCCTGAGAGAGCAGTCTCGGAGTCATTAACTGCTGTTTCCGGCTCCTTCTCCCAAATCCCCCCTTTTCTACCTCCTGCTTCTTATTCGCACTGTCCATTCTCACTAACAGAAGGACACATACAGTAACATCACTGGAACTGGACCATTGTCTCAATACTTGACTACCTACTTAAGACATCCATGTACACCTTTCTAAGATACCTCATTGTTATACAACCTGGTTAAAGCAAAGTTTAGTATTTTAGTCACTGTATATTATTAGGAGTCCTCCTATCACTCCAATTGTTTCGCACCATTTGGGTGAACTATCTTTTAAAAGCGCTAACATTAGTTACTAAATCAGAGAGACACTACAATGTATGCCAGTGTGTGCAATGTAGGTCTGTGACTTTTCCCACTCAGCCATCAGTGTTCAGACTAACTGGCCTTTTATGTAATTCTCTGATCTTGAAGTAGGATAGGAGTCTGTTGCTATTTACGTACATTTATCACAAATAATATCTCATCTCAAATCACCTACTTACCACTCAATCGCCATATTTTGTATTTTAGCACTTTCCCTTTTATTATTATACCACTTTCTTACCCACCCGCTCTTGTTTTCCCTGTCATTTCCTGTTTCTTTCTCTCTCTCTCTCACTCTCTAGCTCTCTCTATCCCTATTGGAACTGGTTAGGAACGGAATTGTCAGGGCATAGGAGATAATATAATTTCTTTATTTCATTTATCTTTTGTCTTATTTTTTTGTCACTGAAACACAGAAGGGTGGTCTCATACATATATTGGCTGTTGATCGAGTGACACACACACATTCCGCTTTAACCCCATATGCCTCCTTTTCCTCCTTTGCACTCTTTACCATCTTATTCCTTCAGTTCTTCTCAAAGTTTCCATGATGAATTCTAGGGCTGTGATGTTACCACTAAAAAAATTTAAAACATGAAGCAGACCAAACTCGTTGGTCCTTTAAAAACCTACTGAATGTAAAATATTGTGTGCTATAGCTTGAAAAATAAATAAATGTGACTCTGGATGACAACATAACAGAGTATGTGAGCGGAGTTGAGTGGTCGGAAATCCCAGTCATGGCTCACGGAGTGGTGCGGGGGGAAAAAACCTGCCGCTCCAAATTCACTCCATTCATTAAAATCACCATTTAACCAACACCCATCTATTTTTGTGACTACCTGGACCTACCATTTGGTATTGAAACCAAGCCATATGATTTGAATGAAAAGTATTTTAATAAACAAAATGGCAAGGTGACTGTAAGAAGCGCTCATGATTTCAAATAGGCTACATGTCGTATTGAACAACATATGACAACTAAATAGATCAGGAGAAGGAACGAAAACAAATTATTTAGGTTATATTAAGAAGGAACGGAAATGTATTATTTAGACTGTTATTAGCCTATTATTTCAAGGTTATAGCATACAAATACATTGTGAAGCATTTGCGAGTGTGACACACTAGGCTGGTAGGAACATTAAGCACTCAGCATTTAAACAACATCTCTTTGTATTAAATCATTATAGTCTATACATTGTGCATACTTACTTAGAATTAAATAAAAGTAACCCCTAAATAAAAATGAAATGAAAAATGCATTATTAGGCAACAGTGCCTTTGGCCAAACTTGTGTTTCTAAAAGTGAATTCAGAGTCTGGCTTCAGGCTCATGCGATGGTGCCTGAAGAGCAGGCCAGCAGCAGAGAATACCCTCTAAACGCTTGCAGAGCCACTGGGGATGCTAAACACCCTTTGGGCCACTCTTGCCAGGCTGGGCAGGGATGCAGTTTTATATATTTTTTTATATATATATTTATATATTTTTATATATATATATATATATATATATATATATATATATATATATATATATATATATATATATTAGGCAAAATAACCCTATCAAAACAGAAAGCTCCTTGAAAGAGGTAAAATGTCAGGCCTATTGGGCCAAAATCAATGATAGCCTATTGTATAGATAATAGAATGAAAATGAACTAAACTTTTAAGAGATCAGTTTTTTTGTTTATAAATACTTTGCTACAATGACACACTTAGCTAGCTACCTACCTCTTTCCTTTATGTTAGCATGTGCACGTAGTACACCATCATGCTTTTGGGATACGTGTCTTTTCAGATTCTACAATGATTCTTTAGTTGTGGACACTCCCTCTCTTACTCCTGGTCCTCCTCTTCTTTGTAAGTCACCTTGATTTTGCACCTGTGTTTTATCAGTTTCTTTATGAAAATATTGAGCGAACTCCATGACAGTAGCTAAAGCAAGAGCCTATAGCAGCACTAGTGCTGAGCGATTAACCGGTTTTTAAGCAACAAATTGACTGACGTTGAATTCCATTTCGCATTGTGAGCTCTCTAGCGATAGATCAATCAGATCTAGCCTGAACTGTGCAATGTATTAGGTACAGTGCATTCAGAAAGTATTCAGTCCCCTTGACTTTTTCCACATTTTGTTACATTACAGCCTTATTCTAAAATGGATTAATAAAAAAAATCTCATTAATCTACACACAATACCCCATAATGACAAAGCAAAAGCAGGTTTTTAGATTTTTTTGCAAATGTATTCAAAATAAAAACATCACATTTACATAACTATTCATACCCTTTAATCAGTACTTTGTTGAAGCACCTTTGGCAGCAATTACAGCCTCAAGTCTTCTTGGGTATGACGCTACAAGCTTGGCACACCTGTATTTGGGGAGTTTCTCCCATTCTTCTCTGCAGATCCTCTCAAGCTCTGTCAGGTTGGATGGGGAGCGTCGCTGCTCAGCTTTTTTCAGGTCTCTCCAGAGATGTTAGATCGGGTTCAAGTCCGGGTTCTGGCTGGGCAACTCAAGGACATTCCGAGACTTGTCCCGAAGCCACTCCTGCGTTGTCTTGGTTGTGTGCTTAGGGTCGTTGTCCTGTTGGAAGGTGAACCTTCACCCCAGTCTGAGGTCCTGATCGCTCTGGAGCAGGTTTTCATCAAGGATCTCTCTGTACTTTGCTTCGTTCATCTTTCCATCATCCTGACTAGTCTCCCAGTCCCTGCCGCAACAAAAATATCCCCACAGCATGATGCTGCTACCACCATGCTTCGCCGTAGGGATGGTGCCAGGTTTCCTCCAGACGTGACGCCTGGCATTCAGACCAACGAGTTCTATCTTGGTTTCATCAGACCAGAGAATCTTGTTTCTCATGGTCTTAGAGTCTTTAGATGCCTTTTGGCAAACTCCAGGCAGGCTGTCATGTGCCTTTTACTGAGGAGTGGCTTCCGTCTGGCCACTCTACCATAAAGGCCTGATTGGTGGAGTGCTGCAGAGATGGTTGTCCTTCTGGAAGGTTATACCATCTCCACAGACAAACTCTGGAGCTCTGTCAGAGTGACCATCGGGTTCTTGGTCACCTCCCTGACCAAGGCCCTTCTCCCCTGATTACTCAGTTTGGCCGGGCGGCCAGCTCTAGGAAGAGTCTTGGTGGTTCCAAACTTCTTCCATTTAAGAATGATTGAGGCCACTGTGTTCTTGGGGACCTTCAATGCTGCAGACATTTTTTGGTACCCTTCTCCAGATCTGTGCCTCGACACAATCCTGTCTCGGAGCTCTACAGACAATTCCTTCGACCTCATGGCTTGGTGTTTGCTCTGACATGCACTGTCAGCTGTGGGACCTTATATAGACATGTGTGTGCCTTTCCAAATCATGTCCAATCAATTGAATTTACCACAGGTGGAGTCCAATCAAGTTGTAGAAACATCTCAAGGATGATCAATGGAAACAGGATGCACCTGAGCTCAATTTCGAGTCTCATAGCAAAGGGTCTGAATACTTTTTATAATTTATAAATTTGTAAAAATGTCTAAAAACCTGTTTTCACTTTGTCATTATGGGATATTGTGTGTAGATTGATGATATATATATATATATTTTTTTAATCCATTTTAGAATAAGGCTGTAACGTAACAAAATGTGGAAAAAGGGAAGGGGCCTGAATACTTTCTGAATGCACTGTAGTTGTAGTTACCAGCAGGCCAATATTCTACATAGTTTAGCGTATAAAACATGGTAATTAACTACAATGACCATAGTCCATTGCGCATCTACTTCTCCGGTGTTTATTTTTTATGCCTGCTACAGAAGAGGCAGAAGAATGCGCGATCTTGAGGGGATATAGAGAGCAGCTGTTTCTTTGCTAGGTATCTGCTTGAAAATACATTATCTAAGTGATTGATAGTTGGTATTCAATAGTCATAAAAGTATATATGCCATATTTACTTTGAAGAACTACAAAATAGTGATTTTGTCAGAAAGCATAGGCAGCAGCTTTATAGAGATGAGATGTTGACATGGAATTAAATAATAAAGTAATCAAATACAACAAATGTAATATACACAACAACTGAAATATTTTATTAAAGTAGTGTGAATAAATGGTTAATAATTGATAAGCAGTAATGGGCAGTCACTACCATCATGGGACTTGTATTAATTGTTTTATTGTGTGTTGCAGCATTCAACTCAAATAATTGAAACCAAAATCGCAAAAAAAAACAATTTAATCTAAAAAAATAACCGAACCGACTTCAAAAAGCACTAATCGCTCAGCACTAAGCACCACACAGGTAGACTACAAATGCATGCTGGTCTGGGCATGCCCTGAGCTCGTGAAGTGAGCAGTACTGGAGTGATATTGGAGCGGGCGAGAAGGCCAACGCTCCAGCCTTTGGGAAACTCGCTCAGCACTCCAATCAAATTGGGCATGCTCCGCTCCTCGTTCCGCATCCATTCCGCATCATCCGTTCCAACATTAGTGCTGTTTTCCTAAAGAAGTTACATTCGCTTCATGTTTTGTTTCCTTGCCATGATACTAACGAGTATCGCGAAACTGGTATCGTCCCGGCCCTAATTAACTCTCATAAACGGGCACAGTATGAATATTCTGGGGAGCTACTGGTTGTGTGTTCAGGGACACATGGGCTGCTGTAAGGACAATTTTGTTTCATTATAGGAAGAAATGGAATACCTTCTGAGGTAAGGAGAATGGATTAATTAGATTTGCTCTGGAATTTTTCATCCACAGCCACAACTTTCATACTCAGTCATGAAACCAACAGTATGGGCACTAACTCCTCAAAAGCATCTTAAACGTTACATTTCCACTTGGAGGCAAATGTACACACACCTACACACCTACACACACAAACACAAACACGTATTCAAACACAAGCTCATACACATTCAATGACTATTTTCTATACACATTTTCCGTACAGTGCCACACACACACACACACACACGCTCTCTCTCTTTCTCTCTGTATGCACAGGCTGAATAAACCACACTGGTTCCAGGGCAGGGTGAATAAAGGTGCTTTTGTCAGGAGGGGGTGGGCAGTCTGGAAAAGGGATGAATGTTCCCTCAGTTGGCTCAGACATCGCGCCTGCCTGCTTACTTTCACAGCACATCTAGAAGAGGAGGACCTCTGCAGATGGGTGGGGTAGGGAGGGGTGCCAGGGGGGCAGGAGACAGGGTGGGGCTTGAAGCCAGCCAGTGATCTCATTGGAACAGCATGTTTTTTCTGTCCTGAGTGTGTAGTTTTTGGAAGGCATACGAGCTGCGTCTGAGCCTCTCTGTCAGTCTCCTGTTCCAGCTGCACGAGAGAGGCCACCTTAGCCTTCTGGGATACCCCTTAGCACCCCTCTGCTCGCTCCTGCTCCACCAGACTCAGGGTGTTAAACTGTGTGGTTTCTGTGGCATTTTGAGGCATTTGCTGCGTTCTTCCTTTTCCCCCCCTGTATGTTTAGTTTTCTGAGTTTTTTTCTACCTCACACCAGTGTGAGAACTGAGTTGGGAGCTGTGTGGACGGACAGAAGAATTTCACACAGAGCCGCTGCCGTGAAGCGAGTGTGAGAAGAAGACAAAGGTGGAGGAAGGAGGTGGAAAGTGTCCTAACTGGAAACGTATTCTCTCTCTCTCTCTCCCTCAGTCGTCTGGCGTTCCAGCTGTGGAAAATGACCCTCTCGGTGCGCTCCCTCCAGGATGGGGTAAGTGTTCCCTACACATACACCTATCACTTCTCGCCACACTAAGACTAGTAATAATCAGTGGCCCCCAATGGTCCCAGGACCTGTGACCAGTGAGATGAGTAAATGGAGATGCTTCTGGGTCCAGTGATGCTGAAGAGTGGCATTGGCTACATCGACACCTGCACTGGTTGTTATGAGAGTGGGTTCTGATAACATGTATGCATTTCAAGGGCACAGGACTTTGTTTTTGTGTTGAGGGGGGAGAGTTGGTTTGTGTGTCTTTCTCACACATACACACTCACACAGATACACACCACTGTGGGCTCACATCTGTTGTTTGGTGTCTTGTATACATTGTGATATATAGCCTTGTCCTTAATCAAAGAAGCTCATACTGAAGATCCCTTTATTCTTACAGCCAAACTCATCTTACCATTTAGTTATTGGTCAAAAAGTATGATTTGATTGAATTGTTGTTAGGGATTTTGGTCTTTTCCCTGATATTTTTGATTAGTTGTTGGTTCAAGTGTAATCTCAAGGAATTGGTTGTTATATTTGTGTGGCCGTATTGTGCTCTACTCATATATTCCTAGGCGCTCTGCTCTCATGCATTCATATATTCATTAATATTCTCAAAAGCGCATATTCTACCAACATTCCCACCCACACAATTATACAGTGTATACACACACACTCCATCACTCAGAAGTAATGGTCATTGGCATTTTTCTCTCCACCTCACATTTTCACATACTTACATTCGCACTCACCCATGCACACTCATATTTTCTAACCATGATTATTTTTCAACATGTTGCGGCATCCCAAGCAAAAGCCTCAATTATACATTGCTTTAATTTTGATGAATTTCCTTTCATGTATTTCTGTGTCATCTGTGGTTGCCCTCTTTCTTTGGGGCGTAAAAGAGGGAGAGAAGAGAGGGTGGATTGAAAGAAACTCTTTACAGGAAATAGAAAGGAGAGAAAGACTTGACCAAGCGCGGGAACAGTCAAAAAAGGAGGGGTGGTGGAATAGAGGGGGGAAAGTGAAGGAGAGGGGGAAAATTAGCAGGCTAGTAAGAGTTGCAACATGAGCGCTACTGTTCCTGTGCCTTCCACACACATCTGCTAATGAGAACAAGATGTCAGAGAGAGAGTGGTGGGGGTGGAGAGAGAGAAGGGGGCGGAGGGGGCCCCAACTATGGTCACGAAATCAGTGGGTCAGGACTAAAGCAACACAGAGATGCACAAACTTGAACATATCAACGCACACAACACACATTCTTGGTGGAGGAAGTTGACATGGTTGCCATGTCATTATCTTCCATGTAGTCATTGTAGGACTCCGACTGCTAGAAATATAAAATAGTCAGCAAATTGTCCTTTTCCGGCTCTCCCTCAAAGTTACGTTTTTGCTCTTTACACCTCTGTAACATTCTACGTCTGAGTCCGCCCCCATCTTTCTCCAACACCGTGTCCTCCAGAGCCAAGTCAGAAAGGCTGAGGTGGATTGTAGAAAGTTATTTTGGAACAAGCATGAGTGAAATGCAACACAGACGCGTCAGTTTTCAGTCAGCTTTGCGAGATTTAGCCATACCTTTTTCTCTTTCCTCTTCTTCTCACTCACAACAATTCACTGTATACTACGGTTGACATTCACATCTCCACACACATTCACTTTGTACTGAAACAAAATAGTCAACTGTTGATCTCTCCTGTTATTAACTGTAGTCACTTCTCTTGGTCCCTGTAGAGAAACGGCAGGACAATGGGAGGGTGTATTTTGTCAACCACAACACACGGACCACACAGTGGGAGGATCCAAGAACCCAAGGGTAAGCCAATCTGTCTTTGCTCCACTGTGAAAGTGTGCGTTTGTTAATTGTGTGTGGGTGTGTGTGTGTGTTTGTGTGTGTGTGTGTGTGTGTGTGTGTTCATGTTTGTACACACAGGTGTCTCAGAGAAATGCCACCATACATTGCTCCCATATTTTCACTGATATTATATTAACTAGTGTAGGATAGGGACTGGTAGCTCGAGGGCCCAACGCTATGCAGCACACTCATCAGACATCCTTATAATTATATTAATTAATCATGTAGAGTCATAGACATAATCTACCAGTAATTGAGATCCATATTTTGAAATCATTCTGCACAGGTCAATAGGGCGGTGTCCTATGTCACCTGAATTGAAGGCTGTGTCAACGTGTCTCTGAGCCGTGAGGGTGGGGTTTAGATTAGTATTGTAAGCTATTGGTCAAGGAGGGGCCTATGGAACTAGTGTGGGTGGTACTGCTGTCCCCTCACATCAAATCGAACAACAAAACGACATCAATAGTGGATGGCCGAATTATCCAGATTGTATTATTGTGGGTTTTAGGACATTTGACAGTGTCATAGCATTTTATTCATTCATCAATTAGTTAATTCACTCCCTCATTCATAAATTAGTTCATTCACTCCCTCATTCACCACCTCAGTAAAGTTGAGTTACATTTTCCCTCATATTTATATTTTCATGTTGTATAACTACATCCATGTGGTCTCAGAAGCATCACCGCTGTGGCCAGAGGTTCTGAATCCCGGTCAGGGAGAGCTGCTAGTGGGACGGGGCAAGGGCCAGAGCCAGGGCTGGGGCCAGGGGGGACAGATGTGCATAGTTTGGGGAGCCTCCCGTTTAGGCTCTGCTCACTGCCCTCTCCCTCTTACAGGATGATCCAGGAGCCCCCCCTGCCCCCTGGCTGGGAAATGAAGTACACCGCGGAGGGAGTCCGATATTTTGTGGATCACAACTCTCGCACCACCAGCTTTAAAGACCCTCGTCCCGGGTTTGAGTCAGGGTAAATATTATTCTGCAGACCCGTTTTTGAGAAGGGGTAGTTACAGTTTCTGATCAAATCTACTGATAAAAGCACCGTACGGCTCTTTTCTGTCAGGGATGATGTATGCAGGGATTCTCACATCATAGCCGGCTTTTGTTTGGATTTCTTTCCTTTTCCCCTTTTTCCCCTGTTTCTTTGAACCAGAGGGAATTTACGTTGACTATCTTTAGGGCATAGATAGCTAGCCTAGATATGAGGAAGGGGATTATATGTACGTACACACATATACATGCATGTAAACATAAGCATATGTGTCTTGCCTTGAATCATGGCCTTATTTTGAAATCTTCCAAAAAAATAAAGTCAAAAAAAATAAACAGATGTGGGCCAACAAATCAAGTCCAAAGCAGACTGCTCTGCTGTCTGAGTCTGTCTGTGTGTACGTATGGATGTGTGTGTATGAGAGAGAGCAAGTGTTCATGCTGATGTTGAAACATATGAAGGTCTTGGTGTTATATTTTTAGATGAGTGTTCATAGAGGGTTTTTAAACTGTCTTAAATGTTTTACATATGATACTGCTGCAGTCCATATCTGTAGCCAAAGGGTTGCCTCTGTGGTCTGAAACGTCCTAACCAAAACCAAGATGTGCCTGGCAGCATTCGATAAAGCGAGTATCAGAGGCCCCTCTCTCTCTCTTTTCCTCGGGCTCCATATTTCCCCTTCCTTGCTCTCTCTCGCCCACTCGGTTTCTCCTCTGCTGACGAGGCACATATCCAGTATGTCTGTAGTGAAGTGGTGTAGCTTCTATTAACACAGCTGCACACCAAGGCATACGTCCATCTCTGGGCTTAACCCAGTTATTTCAATCCTGCTTCACATCACATCTGACCACTTCAATAGAATACTGCCCAAAGTCCTCACTGCGCAGCTCCGCAACAGGGCCCTATTTTCCAGTCTCTAAAGCATTGGGACAGACATGTTGGCCTGTCTTTTCCCAGTACAGCTACAGTATCCTTACCTGACATGTACACATGTAAAACCTGGCTTTGCTATTTCATTTATTTCTTGCTGGAACAGAATAAAAGAAGCTCCTTTTTTTCTCTGTAGGTCGAGGACGGGTGGTTCCCCCGGGGCCTATGATCGCAGCTTCAGGTGGAAATACCACCAGTTCCGCTTCCTGTGCCATGTAAGTGCTGACTCTCATATCTTAGACCTCTGTTATGAGAACAGGCTCTTACCTCAGTTCACTTCTACTGTTCAGACTCAAGAGATCTCTTTGTCTGATGTCTAGTATTGATTAAATACATTTTTACACTTCTCTCTGCCTCTCCAGTCCAATGCCTTACCCAGTCACGTGAAAATCTCAGTGTCCAGACAGACTCTATTTGAGGACTCGTTTCAGCAGGTAAGAATGACATGGAGTCAGTTTACCTACTGAGGATATTCTATTCTAAATGTTATGTGATTAAACTTGCATGAGGGTTGCTATTTTTGGTTATGTATTAATTAGTACCACTATTTGTATTTTAACAACTGATATATGATCGTAGGGTGGTAGTTTCTTTTTTGTGATGTACTGTATGTGCCTGTGTTTTTTGTTCTATTTCCTCAGATCATGAATGTGAAACCGTATGACTTGCGTAGAAGACTCTACATCATCATGAGGGGAGAGGAAGGTCTTGATTATGGAGGCATTGCCAGGTAAGATGACCGTTTCCTGCCTGCATGTCTGGCCTGCTGCCTCTTACAACAGTTGTCTTTCTTTCTCCTAGCTGTTAGTCTTCCTTGTCTACCCTGTGTTCCTTACTTAAATGTCCATCATCCATCATTCATCATCTCCCTCACAGCCCCTGTCTCTTGCACTGTCATCTGTTGTCTGTGTGTGTTTTGGTGTTTGTGGACTGGTGACAGTGTGTGTCCACCTCTGGTTGGTGTCAGCGGTGGGATCCCGGGCTTTGTTCCTCCCCCTCCTCCTACTCCTCGTGGTCTGTGTTTGCGTGTGTCTCTGTCTCTGGTGTCGCGCCAGTGGTTTTACCCTATGGTAGGTTACGTCATGCTGTTCTACCACAGGGTAGAACCACGGACGGGATGTTTGGAGGTGTCTGCACAGCCCCGGTATGACCCCCGGGACTGGCTGGCCGGCCGTGGGGGCAAAGGTCAGGGGCTTGGTGGTGGCCGGGGCTTCATTCTCTACATGCATTTCATGTTCCACATTATACTGCTTGTCTTCATGGTGTTTTATGGTGTTTTTTTGTGTTAGTGAGTATGTATATCTGTATGCCCATGTGCTTACTGTGTACATGTAATGATTTCAAATAACAGTTCAGTGATGGCTCCGTATTGGACCATTCCTCAGTACGGCAGTTGCGCTTTCATTTTTTGCTGACAGAAAATTGACATTTGGAAGCCATTTCTGAGTTTGGTTATAGAGTTGCTATATGAAAATAGTTTGGGGTGCAGTACAGTTACACCACTTAGTATGATGCTAAATGGAAATGTCATGACCAGAAGCAATAAAGACCTGTTTTTCAGGAGTACACGTTTTTGTTGAAACTGCCGTACCGTGAATGACCTCCCATATGTAGAATAATTTGTGAATTTGATATTGTTGTGCTTGTATTAGTTTTATTTGTTACATTTTAGTTGTATTTGTGCAGGTGTGTGGAGAAACCAGACCCCATTTTTACAAAGTATTTTTAAATTATACAGTCTATTTTAACAACCATGCAACTTGTTTGTGCTGTCAAAATCACTGATTGTGTCATGTTTGCTGCTGTTGTCAAATGTGTGGTTTTGTAATGTATGAAATACTTTGTAAAATTCTGCACTACTCTGTTGTCAATCCAAAAAACGAGTATGGCAAAAAGTAACAATTTGTAGCCCTCACACATAAGCAGAAGGGTAGTTAGCCTGTACACACCCTGCTTTTCCATGAGGCAAAACAATGGTCTGTCTCTGATAGATATAGATGTGTAATGCCCTGTCTCTCCCCAATACAGAGAGTGGTTCTTCCTGCTGTCCCATGAGGTGCTGAACCCTATGTACTGTCTGTTTGAGTACGCTGGGAAGAATAACTACTGTCTACAGATCAACCCCGCCTCCTCCATCAACCCTGACCACCTCACATACTTCCGCTTCATAGGGCGATTCATCGCCATGGTGAGCAATGCTTCATTGGCAAATTTTGCCCAGATCTGCAACAACAACAAAAGTCAACTACAACAATAGTTATGGTTAGAATTGAAGAACATATGATGAGGATGTGTAGCACATAATGTTTTTTAGGAACAGGAGAGGTGAGGGCAGTGTATGAGTGTCTGTGGGTGTGTGTTCTTCATCTGTAAGTCGTTTTAAAGCTATGTGTCCCTAAACCAAGTGAATAAGTTTATTATACTAAGAACCCTCCCCTCCCCCACCGCCCATCTTGCCAAACCCAACTCTCTCTGGGACAATATCCAGAAGCTACAGGCCCCAAAACCAACAGCACCACCCTCTCAACCCCCTCCCCTCCTCCAGAGCATGACCTCACTGCCACACAGCCCACACCCGCCAAGAATGGCCTGTATTTAGTCTGCTAGCACACTTCAGACAACACCCCTTATAAAGATGCTTGTCTCATATAGCCCATGTCTTCTCTCCCTCTTTTCTGGGCTCCTTTTCTCCTCTTTTTCGCTCCCCTCCTCCTGCTCCCCACTTCCCCTCTCTCTCACTTTTCCGTCTCTCTCTCTGCCTCATGTCCTGTTGCTCAGAGCAGAGGATGATGCTAGTACTGACGGTGCAGACTGAACAGACTGTGAGTCACTCAGTGGAGGGTGTCTGTGTTGTTCTTGGACAGATATACACTGGGGCTCTGTGGTATTACATTATACAGTCTGGGTCTTATCCACCGCTTCAGTACTAACTGAATCATCAATCTTTTCCACACAGAGACAGACTTGTGACTGACACTTTAAGTGTTCTGTGTGTGCGTGTGTGGTAACACTTTACTGTGGTTAGGCTAATAGGCTATATCAAATCAAATTGTATTTGTCACATGCGCTGAATACAACCGGTGTAGACCTTATTGTGAAATGCTTACTTACAAGCCCTTAACCAGCAAGGCAGTTAAAAAAAAATAAGAATTAAGAAAATATTTACTAAATAAACTAAACTAAAGTAAAAAAAATAATAATTACACAATAAAATAACAATAATGAGGCTATATACAGGGGGTACCGGTACTGAGTCAATGTGTGGGGGTACAGGGTAATTGAGGTAATATGTACATGTAGGTAGGGGTAAAGCGACTATGCATAGATAATAAACAGCGAGTAGCAGCAGTTAACTGTTCAGCAGTCTTATGGCTTGTGGGTAGAAGCTGTTAAGGAGCCTCTTGGACCTAGACTTGGCGCTCCGGTACCGCTTGCCGTGCAGTAGCAAAGAAAACAGTCTATGACTAGGGTAGCTGGAGTCTTTGGCAATTTTTAGGGCCTTCCTCTGACACCGTCTGTTATAGAGGTCCTGGATGGCAGGAAGCTTGTACTAGGCTGTATACACTACCCTCTGTAGCGCCTTGCGGTCAGATGCCGAGCAGTTGCCATACCAGGTGGTGATGCAGATGTGTTGCTGCCTACCCTTACCACCTGGGGGCTGCCCGTCAGGAAGTCCAGGATCCAGTCGCAGAGGGAGGTGTTCACTAAGCTAAGGACCCTGGGACTGATGAGCTTTGATGGCACTATGGTGTTGATCACTGAGCTGTAGTCAATGAACAGCATTCTCACGTAGGTGTTCCTTTTGTCCAGGTGGGAAAGGGCAGTGTGGAGTGCAATAGAGATTGCGTCATCTGTGGATCTGTTGGGACGGTATGCGAATTGGAGTGGGTCTAATGGTACTGGGATGATGGTGTTGATGTGAGCCATATATGTCTGTATCTATGTGTATTGGCCCATAGGAGGGATGACGCTTATGATATATTTTAGTTTTGGTATGGTACTTATTGCATCCTCCCCTCTCCCTTTTAGGCCCTGTACCATGGCAAGTTCATCGATACTGGCTTCACTCTGCCATTCTACAAGCGTATGCTCAATAAGAAACCCACTCTGAAAGACTTGGAGTCTATTGACCCTGAGTTCTACAACTCTATCATGTGGGTCAAGTAAGTGCACCGCTCCTTTATTATGTGTGTGTGAGACTGTTTGAATGTGGTCGCCCTTGTGGCAAACTGTGTATGTGAAGAGCCTGATGGAAGTGTTTTACATAATTGTGTAGCTTAAAGCTTTAATATGTGTATAATGCGTCTGTGTTATGTCTACAGGGATAACTGTCTGGAGGAGTGTGGAGTGGAGCTGTACTTTGCTCAGGATATGGAGATTCTGGGGAAGGTGTCCACCCACCAGCTGAAGGATGATGGAGAGAACGAGCTGGTCACCGCGGAGAACAAGGAGGAGTATATCAGGTCAGCCATCTCCGTCACTACTTTGACTCCCGTCTGTATGCCTATCAATCCTGTGATACCTGAGATTGGTACTCTGCAGACTAGCATTAATGTTGTTTCATGTTGACACTCAATTTGTTTGAATAAATATCCTCCCTTGTTGCTTAGAAAATGAATCCCTGTTTCCGCAGTCTGCTGACGGACTGGCGGTTCATGCGTGGTGTGGAGGAGCAGACTAAAGCCTTCTTGGATGGCTTCAATGAGGTCGTGCCTCTGGAGTGGCTACGCTACTTTGATGAGAAAGAGCTGGAGGTACGTAAAGGGTCTGGAAGGACATGCTGGGTTAGCTAGGCAGAGTTATAGGTTATGGAGCTTTCACAAAGACTTATGAGTTGGTAGAGGGGACTATTTGTTGCAGATTCCCTCTTTTTGACTGTGGATTAATGGTATGGTCTCATTCCTTCCTCCAGCTGATGCTATGTGGGATGCAGGAGATAGACCTCAGTGACTGGCAGAAGAACACCATCTATCGGCACTATACCAAGAACAGCAAGCAGATACACTGGTTCTGGCAGGTATGGTGGCCTCTCTTCACAGCATCTTGTGTGTATGTGAGACTGTTGATGACTGTCTATATCTCACTATGTGCATCCTTGACGTGTCTTACCTGTGTATTATGCAGGTGGTAAAGGATATGGACAATGAGAAGCGGATCCGCCTGCTCCAGTTTGTCACAGGAACATGCCGTCTGCCAGTCGGAGGCTTTGCTGAACTCATAGGTGGGTCATTTCACCAATACGGTGCCTTTTCAGATGTGTAACTTGGTGGGGGAAAAAACGTCTGATTTCACCTAATTTTACCATTCTGTCATAAAGGGCACATGTTCAACTTAATAAAAAACACGTTCTCAAGAGGTTAAATAAAAGAAATACTATACTAAGTGTATATTAAGTGCCAAATAAAGTAACAGGGTTGACAATTATGTCTTAAATCAGCCATAGATCCCCTTGTGACAGGGGGAATGGAAGCTTGTTGTGTGCAACAGGAAGGGACAATTGGATGCAAGTTTCACAAAACAAATGTACAGTGGGGAAAAAAAGTATTTAGTCAGCCACCAATTGTGCAAGTTCTCCCACTTAAAAAGATGAGAGAGGCCTGTAATTTTCATCATAGGTACACGTCAACTATGACAGACAAATTGAGAGAAAAAAATTCCAGAAAATCACATTGTAGGATTTTTAATGAATTTATTTGCAAATTATGGTGGAAAATAAGTATTTGGTCACCTACAAACAAGCAAGATTTCTGGCTCTCACAGACCTGTAACTTCTTCTTTAAGAGGGTCCTCTGTCCTGTATTAATGGCACCTGTTTGAACTTGTGATCAGTATAAAAGAAACCTGTCCACAACCTCAAACAGTACATGTCCAGGCCCGTCTGAAGTTTGCTAGAGTGCATTTGGATGATCCAGAAGAGGATTGGGCGAATGTCATATGGTCAGATGAAACCAAAATATAACTTTTTGGTAAAAACTCAACTCGTCGTGTTTGGAGGACAAAGAATGCTGAGTTGCATCCAAAGAACACCATACCTACTGTGAAGCATGGGGGTGGAAACATCATGCTTTGGGGCTGTTTTTCTGCAAAGGGACCAGGACGACTGATCCGTGTAAAGGAAAGAATGAATGGGGCCATGTATCGTGAGATTTTGAGTGAAAACCTCCTTCCATCAGCAAGGGCATTGAAGATGAAATGTGGCTGGGTCTTTCAGCATGACAATGATCCCAAACACACCGCCCGGGCAACGAAGGAGTGGCTTCGTAAGAAGCATTTCAAGGTCCTGGAGTGGCCTAGCCAGTCTCCAGATCTCAACCCCATAGAAAATCTTTGGAGGGAGTTGAAAGTCCGTATTGCCCAGCGACAGCCCCAAAACATCACTGCTCTAGAGGAGATCTGCATGGAGGAATGGGCCAAAATACCAGCAACAGTGTGTGAAAACCTTGTGAAGACTTACAGAAAACGTTTGACCTGTGTCATTGCCAACAAAGGGTATATAACAAAGTATTGAGAAACTTTTGTTATTGACCAAATACTTATTTTCCACCATAATTTGCAAATAAATTCATTAAAAATCCTACAATGTGATTTTCTGGAATTTATTTCCTCATTTTGTCTGTCATAGTTGACGTGTACCTATGATGAAAAGTACAGACCTCTCTCATCTTTTTAAGTGGGAGAACTTGCACAATTGGTGGCTGACTAAATACTTTTTTCCCCACTGTACATTGTTAAAATATTTCTAGCCTGTCTATCTAATGGGTAAACAGGGTTGACGTGTTATGCTCAACCCACTTAGTTTTCCACCACAAAACACCAGAAAATCGGCAAAAAGCTCACCTGCTTTCACAGTATTAGACTGTTTCTTTTTTCACCATATTAAAATGAGAGTTCAGATCAAGTAACGGAGTTGACCTTAAAATTGGGGACATGTTATTTTTTATCACTGAATGAATCACTAATCACATTAAATGAATAATAATCTTCAGAAATGACTTTGTCAAAGCAACAAAATAACTAGGGCTTTACAATGGTGGTGAAAACTTGGATACATTTTGGGGTTAAGTGGGTTAAAATCTTCCTGGAACCATGCACGGAGGGACATGTCAAAATGCTGAATTTTGGCACTTTAGCTAATCTTTATTCATATAAAAAAATCAGATTAATTGAATTCTCCACTGCCTGCCGTTGTGCCCTTGAGCGAGGCACTTAACCACCCACAACAACTGCTCCACGGGCACCCAGTATGGCAGCCCCCAGCTCCAACCTCTCTAACCTGTATATATATGTGTTTCTTTCGGAGGGGTTGAAATAAAGCTGAAGTCAAATTTTGGATGGACGTTGTGTACAATTGACGAATAAAGTAATTGTAATACAATAACCACCTTCTTCACTGTCAAATGTCTTTTGACAGAAATGTAATTCCCTGCCCAAGAATCTAACATGGTCTCTCTTCCCCTTAGGGAGTAATGGACCACAGAAATTCTGTATAGACAAGGTGGGGAAGGAGACTTGGCTTCCAAGAAGCCACACCTGGTGAGACTGACATTTTCCTCAATTCCTCTGCCATAGTTGATTTATCGTTCCCATGACAACATCCATTACTTTTGTATCTATGAATGTACCCCTGCTAACCACAAATGTATCCCTCACTGTCTCTTTTCTTTTCATCTCGAACACTCACACAGCTTCAATCGTCTGGACCTGCCGCCCTACAGGAGTCTGGAGCAACTGAAAGAGAAACTTCTGTTTGCCATTGAGGAGACTGAAGGATTCGGGCAGGAATAAGGGAAAAATAAAAATAATCACATTATGAGTGAGGGAAGGTGGATAGAGAAAGAAGAGTCATTCATTCAAATAGTTTTTTTTTTGTTAATCACAGGGATATGAACTCTCCGATCATCTGTACATCTAGACCCCACTTCCAGATCATGTGTGGTTGGGAGACCATAGAGAACCATAGGACTGTGGGTGCCCACCTGTACCTATCATACTAGGCTGTGGAGGAGGCTGGGGGGTACAAGGGAACCAGTAGGGAACAGGTGTGTGAGCTGAGGGGTGGTCCAGACAGATTAGTGTTATAATATATGACCATAGACCCCCTCTCCTGCCGAAGACCCCACCCACTAGATCTAGAGACACACCAAAAACATAAAGGATAATGTCATCAAATAATTATATCAACTGCAAATCGCAACGACAGCAAAGCTACAGCAACTATATCATATCTATCTAAGAGAAATTAACATTTTAAAAAGGAGTGTATGTGAATGGGAGAGAGCAAAAGGTTATAATTAGTGACCTCTGTTAAGAGGATTGATTGGTGAAATGTGATTTTATTTATTTTCTATTCATTGTGACATTCAGCATTACCTGTACATAGCTAAAATAAATGACTCAAATCTTAGTGGGTTGATTGTGATGGTAAGAAACCTATTTTCTCAGAGCCTTGGTTAATAGTTTTTTACCTGAATCTGGTTTTGGTTAGAATGTCATTCTACTGCTAGAACACTGATTGGGTTATCCAGCCAGCCATGTTAGTATGCTAACAGTATTACTGTGAAACAGCTGTGCACATGACTTCCCATTTCAAACAGAAACTTCAACTGCTGATACTGAAAGGAGACAATGACAATGTAAGCAAGTGATAAATACATGATGACGCAATCACCATCGCACTGCACACTGCCCTATCCCATCTTGACAAGAGGAATACCTATGTAAGAATGCTGTTCATTGATTAAAGCTCAGCCGTTAACACCATAGTGCCCTCCAACATCACTAAGCTTGGGGCCCTGGGCAGTGGCGTGTATTCATGGCGGCCAAGGGAAGCCAGGCTTCCCCCAAATGACAAAGAAAGAACGAAGAAAAAAACATACCAAATTATTTATTTATCTTTTGTCTCTCTGTGTTTCATAAATGTCCTTAAATTAGCAAGAGGCTGAATGTATCTCACCGGAAAAGCATCCAAGCGAACGAAACAGCGCCCCTCTGTGTCTATATGTGTAGCCCATCTGTGCTGTCTGGTCAAAAAAAAGTATGACATTGTTCCCACCCGTAGCATTGAATGCAAGGAAAGCCAGCGAGCATTTGGCCTCCCTTGATAAAACATTTAATTATAGCCAATCAGCGTTGAGCTAAACTGAGTGAGCTCAGTTGTGAATGGTTCTGGCGCACCAGAAGAAAGTATCAAGGGAAGCCAGTTTGCATTTGGCTTCACACCAATCACATCAAGTTAGAAGGCAAATGTCATTGACAGAACTTGAATTGTTGCATCTCGTTGTGTCGTTGTCCTCCGGTGGCTAGTTAGCTAGCTAAAATCGTCCCTTTCCTAAATTTTCCATGGATGTGAGGGATTTGGACTTCTGGTTTTACTTAATTCTCCATACTGGCCAATGATCATAACGGCGATTCTGATCAACCATAAATGTATGCATTATGCCCCTGGCCTGAGAGGATGGAAGTTCAACATAGCTAGATGTAGTAACGTTAGGCTAATGTTAACTAGCTGGCCTGGCGCATCGTTGCCCATGAAAGGAAGTTAGGCAAGCTGTCAAAAAGGCAAAGGGTGGCTATTTGAAGAATCTCAAATATGTTTTGATTTGTTTAACACTTTTTTGGTTACTATATGATTCCATATGTGTTATTTCATAGTTTTGATGTCTTCCCTATTATTCTACAATGTAGAAAATAGTAAAAATAAAGAAAAACCCTTGAATGAGTAGGTGTGTCCAAACGTTTGACTGGTACTGTATATATATTTTTGTACTGGTTTTATTGCTAGCTTGAGTTACCTGGGGTGGCAGAGTTCCATGTAGTCATGGCTTTATTTAATACTGTGCGTTTCCTAGCCTCTGCTCTGGACCTGGGGACTGTGAAAAGACCTCTGGTTGCATGTCTTGGGTTGTACCGATGAGTGTCCGAACTGTGTGCCAACTGCTTGAACAGACAGTTCAGTACCTTCCACACATGAATACCTCGCACAAAGACCAATACTGATGCAGTCAATCTCTCCTCAACTTTGAGCCAGGAAAGACTGACATGCCTGTTACTGACATGCCTGTTTCCCTCCGTGTACATCTAAGTGCGATACGTGCTGCCTTGTAGTCCAGGTGCAACAAAACTAGGGCCTGTAGGACCTGTCTGGTCGACTGAGATGTCGAGAATGCAGAGCAACGCCCTATCATGGACATACCTCTTCCCATTTTAGCAACCAGTCTATATGTTTTGACCATGACAGCTTGCTATCTAGGGTTACACCCGGCAGTTTAGTCTCCTCAACTTGCTCAATAGCCTCATTATTCAAAAATAGATCTAAACAAGGTTTTGCGTTGAGCGAGTGATTTGTCCCAAAATGTATGCTTTTAGTTTTTGAGATACAGTATTTAGCATCAGCCTATTGCTAGTTACCCATTCTAAAACTGACTGGAGCTCTGTTAAGTGTTTCAATTATTTATTTTACTGTTGCAGCCAACGTGTATATTGTTGAGTCGTCAGCGTACATAGACACATGTACGCTGGTCAGTGGAAGGTCATTTGTAAAAACAGAAAACAATAATGGCCCTAGCCGGCTGCTCTGCAGTAAACCACACTCAACTTAATTTGCATGAGAGAGGATTCCATTAACGAAAGCCCTCTGTGTTCTATTAGATAGGTAACTCTCAATCCATAATAAGGCAAAGATTGCAAATCCATAACACCTAAGTTTTTTCAGCAATGGGTTATGATCAATGACATCAAAAGCTGCACTGAACTGGCCTGCCTTGGGCAGGGGGGAGGAGGTGTGCTTCGACTCATGCCAGCCTGACCCACCGCACATGTACCAGCGGATAGTGTCAGAATCCTCGCTGGGAGATGGAGGAGGGCCCAAGACCTTGTTTCTTTTGGTCAGCGACCAGCTGAGCTGTGGAGGGTGCCGGCCATCCAGATAGGTAGGTCCGGCTAGCCAGGTAGCGAGGTCCTTCCGGATAGATAGGTAGGGCTGGCTGGCCAGATAGGTAGGTCCGGCCGGCCAGATAGGTAGGTAGGTCCGGCCAGCCAGGTAGCGAGGTCCTGCCAGCTAAATAGGTAGGGCAGGCCAACCAGATAGGTAGATCCGGCCATGTAGGTCCGGCCGGCAAGCCCGCCAGATAGCTAGGTCCGGCCGGCCGGGCCAGTTTTGTCACACAACACAATACCACAGATGTCTCAAGTTTTGAGGGAGCGTGCAATTGACATGCTGACTGCAGGAATGCCAACCAGAGCTGTTGCCAGAGAATTCAATGTTAATTTCTCTACCAAAAGCCACCTCCAACATCGTTTTGGAGAATTTGACAGAACGTCCAACTGGCCTCACAAACGCAGACCACGTGTAACCACGCCAGGCCAGGACCTCCACATCCAGCTTCTTCACCTGCGGGATCGTCTGAGACAAGCCACCCGGACAGCTGATGACACTGAAGAGTATTTCTGTCTGTAATAAATCCCTTTTGTGAGGAAAAACTCATTCTGATTGGCTAGGCCTGGCTCCCCAGTGGGAGCGTTTATATTTTTGTTCAGTATTCTATCGCCTATAGTACAAAAGTTTACCTATTCTGTTGGTCAACTTGTCTTTCTGTGCGAGAAAAAGATATTCCAAATATAATATGGCACAGATCTGGGGAAGGGTACCAAAAAATGTCTGCAGCATTGAATGTCCCCAAGAACACAGTGGCCTCCATCATTCTTAAATGGAAGAAGTTTGGAACCACCAAGACTCTTCCTAGAGCTGGCCGCCCGGCCAAACTGAGCAATCAGGGGAGAAGGGCCTTGGTCAGGGAGGTGACCAAGAACCTGATGGTCAATCTGACAGAACTCCAGAGTTCCTCTGTGGAGATGGGAGAACCTTCCAGAAGGACAACCATTCTTGCAGCACTCCACCAATCAGGCCTTTATGGTAGAGTGGCCAGATGGAAGCCACTCCTCAGTAAAAAGGCACATGACAGCCTGCTTGGAGTTTGCCAAAAGGCACCTAAAGGACTCTCAGACCATGAGAAACAAGATTCTCTGCTCTGATGAAACCAAGATTGAACTCTTTGGCCTGAATGCCAAGCATCACATCTGGAGGAAATCTGGCACCATCCCTACGGTGAAGCATGGTGGTGGCAGCATCATGCTGTTGGGATGTTTCTCAGTGGCAGGGACTGGGAGACTAGTCAGGATCGAGGGAAAGATGAACGGAGCAAAGTACAGAGAGATCCTTGATGAAAAACTGCTCCAGAGCGCTAAGGACCTCAGACTGGGGCGAAGGTTCACCTTCCAACAGAACAATGACACTAAGCACACAGCCAAGACAATGCAGTGGCTTCGGGACAAGTCTCTGAATGTCCTTGAGTGGCCCAGCCAGAGCCTGGACTTGAACCCGATTGAACATCTCTGGAGAGACCTGAAAATAGCTGTGCAGTGACGCTCCCCATCCAACCTGACAGAGCTTGAGAGGATCTGCAGAGAAGAATGGGATAAACTCCCCAAATACAGGTGTGCCAAGCTTGTAGCGTCATACCCAAGAAGACTCCAGGCTGTAATCGCTGCCAAAGGTGATTCAACAAAGTACTGAGTAAAGTGTCTGAATACTTATGTAAATATATATATATTTTTGCAAACATTTCTAAAAACCTGTTTTTGCTTTGTCATTATGGGGTATTTTGTGTAGATTGATGAGATCAAAAACAATTTGATCAATTTTAGAATAAGGCTGTAATGTAACAAAATGTGGAAAAAGTAAAGGGGTGTGAATACTTTCCGAATGCACTGTAGATCAGGTAATATGCAGTCCACAAGAAACCGCAACAGATGACTTATAATTTAAGATACTAATTGCATAAACAAGGTAAAGGGAGTATAGTACAGTAATAAACCAACCTCATTAGAACAACACTTCTATACAGTGGGGAAAAAAAGTATTTAGTCAGCCACCAATTGTGCACGTTCTCCCACTTAAAAAGATGAGAGAGGCCTGTAATTTTCATCATAGGTACACGTCAACTATGACAGACAAATTGAGGGAAAAAAAATCCAGAAAATCACATTGTAGGATTTTTTATGAATTTATTTGCAAATTATGGTGGAAAATAAGTATTTGGTCAATAACAAAAGTTTCTCAATACTTTGTTAAATACGCTTTGTTGGCAATGACACAGGTCAAACGTTTTCTGTAAGTCTTCACAAGGTTTTCACACACTGTTGCTGGTATTTTGGCCCATTCCTCCATGCAGATCTCCTCTAGAGCAGTGATGTTTTGGGGCTGTCGCTGGGTAACACGGACTTTCAACTCTCTCCAAAGATTTTCTATGGGGTTGAGATCTGGAGACTGGCTAGGCCACTCCAGGACCTTGAAATGCTTCTTACGAAGCCACTCCTTCGTTGCCCGGGCGGTGAGTTTGGGATCATTGTCATGCTGAAAGACCCAGCCACGTTTCATCTTCAATGCCCTTGCTGATGGAAGGAGGTTTTCACTCAAAATCTCACGATACATGGCCCCATTCATTCTTTCCTTTACACGGATCAGTCGTCCTAGTCCCTTTGCAGAAAAACAGCCCCAAAGCATGAAGTTTCCACCCCCATGCTTCACAGTAGGTATGGTGTTCTTTGGATGCAACTCAGCATTCTTTGTCCTCCAAACACGATGAGTTGAGTTTTTACCAAAAAGTTCTATTTTGGTTTCATCTGACCATATGACATTCTCCCAATCCTCTTCTGGATCATCCAAATGCACTCTAGCAAACTTCAGACGGGCCTGGACATGTACTGGCTTAAGCAGGGGGACACGTCTGGCAATGCAGGATTTGAGTCCCTGGCGGCGTAGTGTGTTACTGATGGTAGGCTTTGTTACTTTGGTCCCAGCTCTCTGCAGGTCATTCACTAGGTCCCCCCGTGTGGTTCTGGGATTTTTGCTCACCGTTCTTGTGATCATTTTGACCCCACGGGGTGAGATCTTGCGTGGAGCCCCAGATCGAGGGAGATTATGAGTGGTCTTGTATGTCTTCCATTTCCTAATAATTGCTCCCACAGTTGATTTCTTCAAACCAAGCTGCTTACCTATTGCAGATTCAGTCTTCCCAGCCTGGTGCAGGTCTACAATTTTGTTTCTGGTGTCCCTTGACAGCTCTTTGGTCTTGACCATAGTGGAGTTTGGAGTGTGACTGTTTGAGGTTGTGGACAGGTGTCTTTTATACTGATAACAAGTTCAAACAGGTGCCATTAATACAGGTAACGAGTGGAGGACAGAGGAGCCTCTTAAAGAAGAAGTTACAGGTCTGTGAGAGCCAGAAATCTTGCTTGTTTGTAGGTGACCAAATACTTATTTTCCACCATAATTTGCAAATAAATTCATAAAAAATCCTACAATGTGATTTTCTGGATTTTTTTTCCTCAATTTGTCTGTCATAGTTGACGTGTACCTATGATGAAAATGACAGGCCTCTCTCATCTTTTTAAGTGGGAGAACTTGCACAATTGGTGGCTGACTAAATACTTTTTTTCCTCACTGTATGTTATGATTATGCTACCATAATCGTTCCATTCACTCAGGTGATCTTAAATTCACCAATGTGAAAAATTACACTTTTGGAGACTATAGTGGTTGTTTAGAAATGTTATTTCTGGCTGAGGCGGGATACGAACTGAAGACCTTCGGGTCCACTCTTCCTCTTCCTCAAACACAGGAAAAAACAACATTTTCATTGTTTTTCAGCTTATCATAATGAATAATAAACACATTATGAAGAAGAACCCTCAATTTGTCATTTTTTCTCGTATTTCTATTTTCTTTCCTAATTTGTTCCTCTTTTTTCTTCTACACCCTTTCTTCTCCTTCTTTCTCCCACTTAACATACTATTGTTCCCCAGCTTCACCAGAAGCAATGCCAGGATAGTGGATTTGATTCCCGGGACCACGCATACGTAAAAGGTATGCACGCATGGTCCTCTGTAGCTCAGTTGATAGAGCACGGCGCTTGTAACACCACGGTAGTGGGTTCGATCCCCGGGACCACCCATACACAAAAAAAAAAATGCATGCACGCATGACTGTAAGTCGCTTTGGATAAAAGTGTCTGCTAAATGGCATATTAGTATTATTATTATTACTAAATCGCTTCGGATGAAAGCGTCTGCTCAATGACATTTCCAGTATTATTATATTGCACCGTAAACAATTTCCTGTACATTGTGTCGCAGTAAAATGTGGGTCAATTCTACTCAGGAGCACTTTCCAAATCCACAGAGTTACACCCCCAGCAGTGTCGCTGACAATTTTGCGGCCCTTAAAGAGTGACCAATCAGCTTAAATGCAGTACGTTTTCATATTGAAAATTAGCAGTGACGCTCCTCGGGGTGTAAACTGTGGATTTGGAACCAGAAGTGCTCCTGAGTAAAATGGACCCCCCTTTTACTGCACCACAACGTACAGGCAATTATGTACAGCGCAATATATACAGTGCCTTCCGAAAGTATTCATACCCCTTGACTTATTCCACATTTTGTGTTACAGCCTGAATTTAAAATTGATTAAATAAATAAAAATTCTCCACCCATCTACACACAATACCCCATAATGACAAAATGAAAACATGTTTTTTTAAATGTTTGATCATTTATTGAAAATGAAATACAGAATTTATCTAATTTACATAAGTATTCACACCTGAGTCAATACTTTGTAGAAGCACCTTTGGCGGCAATTACAGCTTTGAGTCGTCTTGGCTATGTCTGTATCAGCTTTGCACATCTGGATTTAGGGATTTTGTCCCTTTCTTCCTTGCAGATTTTCTCAAGCTCTGTTAAATTAGATGGGAGCTGCAGTGAACAGCAATCTTCAAGACTTTCCACAGATTTGGCTGGGCCACTCAAGGACTTTCACATTCTTGTACTGAAGCCATTCCAGCGTTGCTTTGGCTGTATGCTTAGGGTTATTGTTCTGTTGGAATGTAAATCTTCGCCCCAGTCTCAGGTCGTTTGCACTGAAACTCCAGGTGTGCTGTCATGTGCCTTTTTCTCAGGAGTGGCTTCCATCTGACCACTCTCCCATAAAGCCCAGATAGGTGCAGTGCTGTGGAGACTGTTGTCCTTCTGGCAGGTTCTACAATCTCAGCCAAGGAACTCTGTAGTTCTGTCAGAGTGGTCAGTGGGTTCTTGGTCACCTCCCTGACCAAGGTCTTTCTTGCCCGGTTGCTCAGTTTGGTCGGATGGCCAGCTCTAGGCAGAGTCTGGGTAGTTCCATATTTCTTCAATTTCCCAATGATGGAGACCACTGTGCTCTAGGAAACGTTCAACACTGTATAAATTGTTTTATACCTTTCCGCAGATATATGCCTCATCACAATTATATCTCAGCGATCTACAGACATTTCTTTGGACTTCATGGTATAGTTTCTGCTCTGACATGCACTGTCAACTGTGGGACCTTATATAGACAGGTGTGTTTCTTTCTAAATCAAGTTGTAATGACATCTCAAGGATGATCAAAGAAAATTGGATGCACCTGAGCTCAATTTGGAGCGTCATCATAGCAAAGGGATGTGAATACTTATGTAAATTAGATATTTCTGTAACACAACAACATTTTGAAATAAGTCAAGGGGTATGAATACCTTATGAAGGCACTGCATGTCCAATATGAAAAAACGATTGGGCACTCTTTAAGGTCCTCAAAATGAGCAGAGACACTCCTCAGGGTGTAAACTCGGTGGATTTGGAAACTAGAAGTGTTCCTGAGTAGAATGGACCCCACTTTTACTTCAACACAATGTACAGGAAATAGTGTAGAGTCCAATAAATGATAGGAGTATAGACACAAAAACATTGTTGACCATTTAGGCTTGAAATAATAAACAAATAAATCACATATCTTATATAAATACTTTTAATTATTATTTGTATGACAACTAGTATAACATATAGGCCTATCGATAATTGTACAAATGTTCGCCCTAATTATTCATTTACAAAGTATACAGGATGGGACTCTTATTCTGAAGGATTCCAAAAATCCGTGACCTGGAAGTGCTTAGTTATTCTTGCCTGCTTCACACGAGTTATGTCATGTGTACAAATAGGAATATGTGTAATGCAATGAATGTTTCGTTGAGATACAAATATAAGAGAGACTACGAATAACCGTTTTTTAAATCACTTTACTTACCTCCACAACAGGCTGCTGCTGCCACTATAGTTAACCAGATAGCTAGTTTGTTTAAAACTCGCTGCAGTATGTGGACCGCCGATGAGATTTCCCAGCTGTGCTACCAGCGCTTCAGCGAGTTGCCCAAAAGAGGAAAGCCCGAGCCGGGCAGAGAGTGGACGCTTTTGGCAGCCGTAGTAAAATGTTCAGTGTCCCGGAATCAAGAGAAAGGTGAAATATAAATGCATGTCGTTAGCCATGTTTCATCCCCTTCAATTCATGTTAATAAAAAATATCGTACTTGATTGATTTTCTACCATAGTGAATGTCAGTAAAATAAAGACTGTTTTATCTCCTCCACAGTTGAGAAGGAGGTAGTTTCATTGGGAACTGGCACCAAGTGTATTGGGCACTCAGCCATGAGCTCAAAGGGTTGGTATACCTACACAGCCCCACACATACACACTTTTTCTTACACACACATGCTCTCTCTCTCTCACACACACACAAGGCATAAACACGTAGTGGCTCACTCACTTTCTCATCCCATCAGGAGATGTGCTCAATGACAGCCATGCAGAAGTCATTGCCAGGAGGGGTTGCATTAGGTGAGAGCGTGTCATGCATGAGAGTGAGACGTGTGAGTGACATTTGTTTGTGTGTATGTATGTTTTTACCCATAATAACATAAGCCTACTTTGTTTGTGCAGGTATCTGACTGAGCAGCTGCGGATGGCAGTATGTGGGCAGGGCAGCACAGTGTTCTGTCAGGGAGAGGAGAGGGGAAAGTGGAAGGTGCAGTCAGGGGTGTCATTCCTGTTCTTCACCAGTCACACACCATGTGAGTTTGTTGTTTGACATTTTTTTGTTCATGAGAACTATAGGCCCTATAGTCCCAGTCAGTATTAAAGTCCAGGTAGCATATAATGGACCCTATCAGATATTTATGTAGTTTGTTCAGTGTATTTAAGCAATAAGGCCCAAGGGGGTGTGGTATATGGCCAATATACCACAGCTAAGGGCTGTTCTTAGGCACGACGCAAAGGGGAGTGCCTGGATACAGCCATTAGCCGTGGTAAATTGGCCATATACCACAAACCCCAGAGGTGCCTTATTGCTATTTTAAACTGGTTACCAACGTAATTAGAGCTGTAAAAATAAATGTTTTGTCATACCTGTGCTATACGGTCTGATATACCACGGCTGTCAGCCAATCAGCATTCAGGGTTCGAACCACCCAGTTTATAATTAAGCAATAAGACCCAAGGAAGTGTGATATATGGCCAATTATACCACGGCTAAGGGCTGTTCTTAAGCACGACGCAACGCGGAGTGCCTGGATACAGCCATTAGCCATGGTATATTGGCCATATACCACAAACCCCCGAGGTGCCTTATTGCAATTATAAACTGATTTTCAATGTAATTAGAACAGTAAACAAAATATATATATATATAATCCTACCTGTGGTATATACCTGATATACCACGGCTTTCAGCCAATCAGCATTCAGGGCTCAAACCACCCAGTTTATAATAACTAATATACATGGGTTCTAACTTGAAAAATGATTTGTTAGTTGACAATTCATGCTAACCGCATATAAAAACCACAAAGACAGCCAGAAAGGCCCGAACGCAAGATCGTAATTTTGATGACTCACACGGCGAGCCTACTGTAGCCTACTTACTGTACATGGTAAGCTGGTGCACACCAAGTTGTACTTCACGTTTTAGTATGGAAAACGGCTGTGAGGATTTTTCTACAATATTCACAAAGACTCCAACCACCCTAGTCATAGACTGTTCTCTCTGCTACCGCACGGCAAGCGGTACCGGAGTGCCAAGTCTAGGTCCAAAAGACTTCTCAACAGCTTCTACCCCCAAGCCATAAGACACCTGAACAGCTAATCATGGCTACCCAGACTATTTGCACAACCCCCCACCCCACCTTTTTACGCTGCTGCTACTCTGTTAATTATTTATGCATAGTCACTTTAACTCTACCCACATGTACATATTACTTCAACTACCTCAACTAGCCGGTGCCCCCGCACATTGATTCTGCACCGGTACCCCCCTGTATATATAGCCTCCCTACTGTTATTTTATTTGACTTCTGCTCTATTTTTTTCTCAACACTTTTTTGTTGTTTTATTCTACTTTTTTATTAAAAATAAATGCACTGTTGGTTAAGGGCTGTAAGTAAGCATTTCACTGTAATACCTGTTGTATTCGGCGCATGTGGCCAATAAAATTTGATTTGATTTGACACAATTACAATCTTTATAGAATAACAATTTAATCAATTACATGTTATGAGTGAACATTATCAAGCCAGCAGCAGATGAAACAGAAAGTGAATTATCTCCTCCCTATCTCCCCGGTTTTAGCTTGTGGCTATCACTGTCTACATGGCTAGCTTTAGGATATTTACTAGCCCATACCAGTGACAAACTTGGCTATGTTATCGACATATGGCAGTACACAAACAAAATCTAGCTCACTTATTTTGCCAGCTAGAAAGGAAACAGACACAAATTAATTCAGAAACGGATAACTAGCTCCCCCGGCGCCACGGACACCATAGAACGAGCCATCCACACACACAGAGAGCCCAAGTGCAGACAGCCAGCGGCTTCCAAAACACAGCTCATGCAGCAAGCCCCAGAAATAAACTTTCCCATTGAGTAAAATCCACAATCCACCCCTCTAAAGAAAACCTGGCTCCTTTCTCCGAAATGCCACCAGATCAATGATCGAATACATGACTGAAGCATTGCATTTCGGTTTAGCCCGCCATCTCACACATAGACACACACAGTTTTGGCCCCAGCCACAGGGATCTATACAGAAACATTGACCTCCATCGCGACCAAATCTACTCTTTTTCCATAGGCTTGTCCTATGTATAGCTCTCAAACTCAATTCTGGACCTCGAAGCCAGTTCTACTGCTTTTTTAAAATTGTTCCCCTCTAATCAGGGATTTAGACCTTGGACACCAGGTGGGTGCAATTGAGTATCAAGTACCACAGAAAACCAGCAGGTTCCGGACCTCATAGGGTAAGAGTTGAATACCCTGATCTATAGTATGACAGCACCAGCAGTTAGCTACCAAGAGCTGGCAGACATGTTAATTTGGTTACTTTAGCGTTAGTCAGTGTTATTTAGATGGAAGACATGAGCTCTATAACGTTAGCATAGAGGTAGTAAGCTAGCTCTTTCACTTCCCCGGTGAAGCCCTGATAATGCTTTGTCTGCTGGTGCTGCTGGCTGTTTGTGATACTTTATATGCCACGTTGTTGGTAGTGACAGCATCCACTTTGAAAGCAACATTTTGCTGAAGCCCTCCTTCCATTGTTGATAGCCGTGGAAGTTCTCAAGGATGAAATGTGCCCCGCAGATTGACGAGCAGATGCCCCATTCGCCCGCCTCATTCTCACAAATGTATCCCACTTTTTACAGAGTGTTTCATTTGCATGGCCATAGAGGCATACAGACATTTGCATCACAAGTGTTGCTACACCCTGCTACCACACAAAGCTTGGCCATCTTGATTAATAAAAATGCAATTGCAAGCTAGGTGGTGGGCCGAAACCGGAAAACATGAAGTTGATCGATCCCCGTCGAGGGAGGAGCTGATTTTTTTTGGTATATGACAGTAAAACATTCTTACGATGACTATAAAATGTGTTGGTACCTTCAATTCTTGCACATTTTCTCATAAAAAGTATATTTCAACACTGTCTGCTCAGGCAAATTTGACGAACTGCTAAACTTGCAACCAATCAGAACTCCCGTACATACCCCTATTGATGAAGGCAGCCAATGACCTGTGTCTATCTACGATGAAAGAACAGCCTCTTAGATTTAGCCGGTGGTAACTTGTGGAATAGACACCGGCTGGAATGCGGTAGAAATACATTTTATTTTTTACCCGTCAGTATATACAGTTGAAGTCGGAAGTTTACATACACCTTAGCCAAATACATTTAAACTCAGTTTTTCACAATTCCTGACATTTAATCCTAGTAAATATTCCCTGTATTAGGTCAGTTAGGATCACCACTTTATTTTAAGAATGTGAAATGTCAGAATAATAGTAGAGTGATTTATTTCAGCTTTTATTTATTTAATCACATTCCCAATGGATCAGAAGTTTACATACACTCAATTAGTATTTGGTAGCATTGCCTTTAAATTGTTTAACTTGGGTCAAACATTTTGGGTAGCCTTCCACAAGCTTCCCACAATAAGTTGGGTGAATTTTGGCCCATTCCTCCTCACAGAGCTGGTGCAACTGAGTCAGGTTTGTAGGCCTCCTTGCTCGCACACGCTTTTTCAGTTCTGCCCACACATTTTCTATAGGATTGAGGAAAGGGCTTTGTGATGGCCACTCCAATACCTTGACTTTGTTGTCCTTAAGCCATTTTGCCACAACTTTGGAAGTATGCTTGGGGTCATTGTCCATTTGGAAGACCCATTTGCGACCAAGCTTTAACTTCCTGACTGATGTCTTGAGATGTTGTTTCAATATATCCACATAATTTTCCTTCCTCATGATGCCATCTATTTTGTGAAGTGCACCAGTCCCTCCTGCAGCAAAGCACCCCCACAGCATGATGCTGCCACCCCTGTGCTTCACGGTTGGGATGGTGTTCTTCGGCTTGCAAGCATCCCCATTTTTCCTCCAAACATAACGATGGTCATTATGGCCAAACAGTTATATTTTTGTTTCATCAGACCAGAGGACATTTCTCCAAAAAGTAAAATGTTTGTCCCCATGTGCAGTTGCTTGCTGAGCGGCCTTTCAGGTTATGTCAATATAGGACTCGTTTTACTGTGGATATAGATACTTTTGTACCTGTTTCCTCCAGCATCTTCACATGGTCCTTTGCTGTTGTTCTGGGATTGATTTGCACTTTTCGCACCAAAGTACGTTCATTTATAGGAGACAGAACGCGTCTCCTTTCTGAGCGGTATGACGGCTGCGTGGTCCCATGGTGTTTATACTTGCGTACTATTGTTTGTACAGGTGAACGTGGTACCTTCAGGCGTTTGGAAATTGCTCTCAAGGATGAACCAGACTTGTGGAGGTATACCATTTTTTTTGGAGGTCTTGGCTGATTTCTTTTGATTTTCCCATGATCTCAAGCAAAGAGGCACTGAGTTTGAAGGTAGGCCTTGAAATACATCCACAGGTACACCTCCAATTGACTCAAATTATGTAAATTAGCCTATCAGAAGCTTCTAAAGCCATGACATCATTTTCTGGAATTTTCCAAGCTGTTTAAAGGCACAGTCAACTTAGTGTGTGTAAACTTCTGACCCACTGGAATTGTGATACAGTGAATTATATGTGAAATAATCTGTCTGTAAACAATTGTTCTGAAAAATGACTTGTGTCATGCACAAAGTAGATGTCCTAACCGACTTGCCAAAACTATAGTTTGTTAACAAGAAATATGTGGAGTGGTTGAAAAACAAGTTTTAATGACTCCAACCTAAGTGTATGTAAACTTCCGACTTCATCTGTAGATGGGTTGGCTGACAACATCACAAAAACGATGTGCTCACTTCCATGGGGCAGAAGTCCGCCTGTTGTGATACTGGATGGTCAGATTCCTAGCAAGAATTACAAGAAACTGCCATGTAGGGAATCGCAAGTGGCTCGTTTCAGCTTGTTTCATCTTGTTTTTGATACCATGTCTTGTTTTGACTGATTTCATGTCAGTGCTATGGCAAAAATTCGATAGCTAGCTGACCAACAACTGTAACGATGTATATGAGAGACAAAAAGTGGTCATTGTGCTAATGTATTTATGTTTTCAATAAACATTGGTGACAAAATATAGCTCACATGTTGTCAACAATGTAAGCCAACATCTGTTTTGCCCCATGGTTGCGCGTGCATCGTTTTTGTTGCTAAACAACCAACCTGTCTATGAAGGGTGAGCCTCCCTGTGTGACGCTGACTGCGGGGCTTCGTGGGATTGTTTCCGAAGTTAAAGCTGATTTGGAGAACACCTCAAACCCAACTTTTAGAACAATATTACAGTACTATACAACAAAGTTTGTAATTTGGGAACGTTCTCTTGGGGTGCTTTAAGTTACTATTATATGTGTTTCTGGCATTGAGAAATAGCTGCTACATGTCGTTTAAATAGAATGTCCTGCCCGCCTGTGGGGAAAACAACCCATGTTACCTTGGTTACCCTATTGGCTCATCTACAAATCTACAAGTAGTGAGTGGAGTTAAGAACGGACTATAATAAAATAGTTAAATGTCTTACCAGTGTTTTCCACACCCATAGCTACGTGTAGCCTACTTGGACACCATGTCCCCACAATTTCCCACTCTTTCACACCGAATAGCCTTAAGCCACAGGGCTCTTCTCGCAGAACCTTTTCTGCATGTTTTGTTATTTCTGTATAACAAAAAAATCTACGACAACGTTGGCTCTTTTACAATGAGGGTCAATGGGAAAAAAATTTGTTTTCCCCAATTTCCGACTCTGAGTTATGTGTTTGCTAGCGTTAAATATATATATATATATATATACATACCAGTTTCCTATGATAATTAGAAGTTGTTAGAGCTGATATGCTTAATCAGTATGTTTCGCTGTTATGTCTCCAGGCGGAGATGCCTCCATCATTCCCATGACGACTGACAGCCAATCCCAACCCTGCCCACCAATAAGGTCAGAGGAGATCATCCCCAATGGAACCAATGAAAAAGCAGAAAGAGTAAACCTGAAACGCAGTGCGGAGACACAGACTGATGGGATCAATAAGCGTCTTCGATTAGAAGAACAGGAGAAGTCAGAGGATGAGCTAAAGTGTGGTGGGAACCTGGTTGTAAATCTTACTGACAACCCTGCACAGACTCCTACAGAGAGTCCAAGGCCGGAGGGGGAGAATGCACTGACCAACATGGTGTTAAAACAAAGAGACAATGCTTTGACACAACAGGCTCTGCAGGACATACACCGGACAGGTGCTAAGTGTGTCCCTGGAGGACCAGAGGATCCCCTCCAGCCCGGGTTAAGGTACCACAGTACTGGGCTGCTGAGAGTGAAGCCTGGTCGGGGGGAGCCCACTCTGTCTCTCTCCTGCAGTGACAAGCTGGCCAGGTGGGCAGTGTTAGGTTTCCAGGGTGCGCTGCTCTCCCATTACCTACAGGGGGCAGTCTACTTCAGCGCAATAGTGGTAGGGAGATGTCCATACAGCCATCAGGCCATGCAGAGAGCTCTGATCACCAGGTGAGCTAGCTACTACATATGGAAGGGGGGAAGGTATTAAGGGTTTAGGACTCTGAAAGAGTATGAATAATAGTCCTGTGTAGCTCAGTTGGTAGAGCATGGTGCTTGCAACGCCAGGGTTGTGGGTTCGATTCCCACGGGGGGTCAGTATGAAAAATGTATGCACTCACTAACTGTATGTCGCTCTGGATAAGAGCGTCTGCTAAATAACTAAAATGTAAATGTAATGGAAAGTTGAGAGAAGATGTTAGAAGATGTTGAATGTGGAGGTTGGGCTGCTGGGGTATGAGAAGAGTTTGTTAGTAAATACAGAGGGTTACAGTTAAGAGGGACACCAATCTTTAAATTCCCACCATGTCGTCAATGTCCTGCTCGGCCTCTTGGCTGGCATGTGTTGTTTGTTTCATGTTTCTGTGACCCGCCAGCTGTGGTTTAGTTGACCACCATCTCTGGTGGCTCATCATGTTACATGGCTGCTCACTAAGCCCTGGTGGTGTGAACTGTGAAGGAGCAAAGCCTATAACCTGTTTTTTTATTTAACCTTTATTTAACTAGGCAAGTTAACCTTTATTTAACTAGGCAAGTTATTTAACTATAACCTGTTAATGATATAGCTTTGCAAACTGCGTTTTTATGTCCCATATTTGTGTTTTTATGTTTCTGTTTGGTTGTGTGTGAGACAGAGTAGGGAAACAGATAGTCATTAGTGACCCCCTCTGTTTAAACAGATTTTAGTATAACTAGAAGTGATTGGTTCCTCTGTGTTTCTACAGGTGTTCTGAGGTGACAGCCCTGCCTGCTGGCTTCACAGTGCAGCCTCCAGAGCTCCTGCAGTCCAGCCTGGAGTTTGCTCACAGCCAGGCACAGACGGAGCACAATCATCAGCCCGGCCAGGGCAGAGTCTCACCTTGTGGCGCAGGTGGGATTCTTTTTTTTACTCCCCAGTCTGTAGCTACATTTCTATTTAAGGCCCAATGCAGCCTTTTTTTATATCAATATCAAAAAATCATTTCTGGGTATCAATTAAGTACCTTAGTGTAATAGATTTCCATTTAAAATGGGCAAAAATGACTTTTTAGCAAAAAACTTTCTCAAGCAAGAATTTTGCTAGGACTGTCTGGGAGTGGTCTGAGTGGGGAGGGGAAAACTGAAAACTAGCTGTTATTGGTTTGGAACTCTTTGTTATTGGTCTATTAACCAATTTACCGCATGGTGATGTCACCATGGAAAGCTGAAACTCCCGCCCATGCAAACCTGTTGATTAAAAGTTCCTGTGTAGATTGTATTTCCAATCAGCAACTATCAGGAACTAACACTAATAAAAAAAATCACACTTTTACAGTGTTAGTTTCAGCTGATGTACAATATGATATTAAACACAGGAAAAACATAATTTTGACTGCACTGGGATTATTATTATTTTTTAAATTTATAAATAATTAATTTTTCGCATAGAAAATAGATGTGACAATTGCCTGCTACAGTGCGTTTCCATTTAACGGTCTTGTGTCGATTTAAAACAGCTCGACGTAATGACGTCAACCATTTTTTATGTTTTCGCAAAAACCTAGAACGTGGAATAAAAATCATTTCAACGTCAATAATTGGGGTTATATTTGGTTGAGATGTTGAGCAACTAGATTACAACCTATATTCACTCGCAAAAGACAGCCAAAATCTAGTTGAATTTCCAATGTGTTATCATTATGCTTTCAACCATCTAAAAGCACAATCAAATTCCAATGGAAAATCTATATCTGAGTTTTGGTTTAGTTGTCACCTAAATGTCTATCACTGCGCTTTCAACCATTTAAAAGCACAGCAAAGTTCAAATGGGAATACAATGTCAGATATTTGGTTTATTTATACAACAGATTGTGTTTAGGGATAGGCCATATACCGGTATTGATGCACGGACCGGTTTGGGTTTTTACTTTACCTTCTATAATGGTATTTCAGTGTTTGTTTTGTTAAATGTGATATGCAACTCTGTTGAACAAAAATATGAACGCAACATGCACATTTCTAAGATTTTACTGAGTTACAGTTCATATTAGTAAATCAGTCAATTGAAATAAATTCATTAGGCCCTAAGCTATGGATTTCACATGACTGGGAATACAGATATGCATCTGTTGGTCACAGATAGATTTTTTTAAAAGGTAGGGGCGTAGATCGTAAAACCAGTCAGTATCGGGTGTGACCACCATTTGCCTCATGCAGCGCGACACATCTCCTTCGCATAGAGTTGATCAGGCTGTTGATTGTGGCCTGTGGAATGTTGTCCCACTCCTCTTCAATGGCTGTGCGAAGTATTGGCGGGAACTGGAACACGCTGTCATACACGTTGATCCAGAGCATCCAAATTGGTGACATTTGTGAGTATGCAGACCATGGAAGAAATGGGACATTTTCAGCTTCCAGGAATTGTGTACAGATCCTTGCGACATGGGGCCGTGCATTATCATGCTGAAACATGAGGTGATGGCGGCGGATGAATGGCACGACAATGGGCCTCAGGATCTCACCACTGTATCGCTGTGCATTCAAATTGCCATAGATAAAATACAATTGTGTTTGTTGTCTGTAGTTTATACCTTCCCATACCGTAACCCGACCGCCACCATGGGGCACTCTGTTCACAACGTTGACATCAGTAAAACGCTCGCTCCCACGACGCCATCTGCCCGGTACAGTTGAAACCGGGATTCGTCCGTGAAGAGCACACTTCTCCAACTTGCCAGTGGCCATCGAATGTGAGCATTTGCCCACTGAAGTCGGTTATGACGCCGAACTGCAGTCAGGTCAAGACCCTGGTGAGGAGGACAAGCACGCAGATGAGCTTCCCTGAGACGGTTTCTGACAGTCTGGTCAGAAATTCATTGGCTGTGCAAACCCAGTTTCATCAACTGTCCGGGTGGCTCGACTCAGACCATCCCGCAGGTGAAGAAGCCTGAGGTAGAGTTCCTGGGCTGGCGTGGTTACATGTGATCTGCGGTTGTGAGGCTGGTTGGACGTACTGCCAAATTCTCTAAAACGACGTTGGGAAGGCTTATGGTAGAGGAATTCACATTCAATTCTCTGGCAACAGTTCTGATGAACATTCCTGCAATCAGCATGCCAATTGCACGCTCCTTCAAAACTTGAGACATCTGTAGCATTGTGTTGTGTGACACAACCACATTTTAGTGGCCTTTTATTGTCCCCAGCACAAGGTGCATCTGTGTAATTATCATACTGTTTAATCAGCTTCTTGATATGTCACATCTGTCAGGTGGATGGATTGTCTTGGCAAAGGATAAATGCTCCCTAACAGGGATGTAAACACATTTGTGCACAGCATTTGAGAGAAATAAGCTTTTTGTGCATATGGAACATTTCTGGGATCTTTTATTTCAGCTCATGAAACATGGGACCAACACTTTACATGTTGCGTTTATATTTTTGTTCAGTATAGTTTACTCCTTTTGTCTCTCTCCCTCTCCTGCATGCCGCTTCCCACAACAAGCCCTGCCCCATCAAGGAGGGCAGTTGTTGGTGTTGCTCGACCACCGAGTAATGAGCACTTCACTTGCGGTTCACTCTGCAGTCTGCATGGTCAGACGCAACAAGATGTTGTTGACAACAGTGCTTTCAAAGCGTTCTATAATTACACTATTAGTTTGTGTATCTTACTGTCTTCAAACTGCTAGTTTGTCTTTTCTTAGCAAGTTGTGGATGAAAATAAATCGTGTTAGCCGCTAATCGCTAGTTAGAGCAAACCTAGCTAGCTAATACAACCTGATATCAATGCTGTACTCCCTTTAGTCACAACCTAAGCTACCGGTTTCCACTAGTTAACACAGCCACAAAGTCGACATGGCTATATCGTAAAGTTTCATGAAATAAAGGATGAACTTTTTGCTCTTAATTTAAGGTTAGGCACAAGGTTAGCAGTGTGGTTAGGTTTAAAATAAAATGTTAAGTAAATTCAGTGTAGAAATAGGTGGGGTTTATGACCCAAGCTAGCAACATGAAGAAGGGGAATGTAACACCGTATAGGGTCCCCTGGGAAACGGCGACCAACACTTAGGTTTATACCCTGTCACATTTCCTCCATGGAAAATTATTTTGGGTTGAAGTTGGATTGAACAGTATAAAACAATCAGAATGGAGAAAGCCCCATGTAAATCACTTATAATTAATGTGTTGCCAGATTTATGTTTAGAACATAAATACCGTAAAAAATGTGGAAAATATTGTGATATGATATTTGGGGCATATCGCCCAGCCCTAGTGTTATCACTGTACTTCATCTAATAGTATAACCAAATGACCTGGATTGCAGTTGAGATTACATTAAAAGTACAACTGATCACATTCTAGATTCTGCTCAGATTATTACAGCAATTGTGAACATTACATTTTAGTCATTTAGCAGACGCTCTTATCCATTTTCTTTTCTCCATACATCTCTACAGATGCATGCTATCTTGAACATTCACGCTTTATGTGATTACATAAAAATTAATGTATAGTTAGCCATAGGCCTGAGCAATGGAGCAAACAGAGCAGCTGCACCCCCACTTTCAAAATAGGGGTGCAAACGTATGTTTTTGCACCCCCACTTTTTTACTAGAAAATGATCATGGTCCATTGGGTAATTTGCCATGTTTTGAGCTAGTCTGTATTTAAATAGATATGTCTATTTTATATATGATATAAAAATTAACAGATTGTATTTTGAACCCCCTCCCCCCGTTGCCTCAAGATGAATGGTTTTGACCACTCTTATTGTTCAGTGCTGTTAGAAAGCACTAGTTGCACAACTGGTGTTTTAAAATGGAAAGCCACCTGCAAAATAATTGTTTTATCTATTTTGTTGTGCTGTTACATTTGTGTCGTTGTTTCATGTCTGATGGTGTTGGTCCAATGGTGTTCTTACATATCATTTGAGCTGCGTGCACCATAAGGGAATTCATTATAATTTGACTTTGCTTGTAAGAACCATGATGCGCAAGGGCATGTCTGATTAGGCTTTGCTGTAGCGCAGACTCTGAGTAGCCTTCCATCAGCCTACCAAAGGTTGCACCTTAGCAAACAACTGCATGTCCGGTAGCTCGCGGGCTGTCAATGAGTAGCTCGCAAGTAGATAGTGAGAAATAATCAGTAGGCCTAATGTTACATGATTAAATGTAAAAATAAATAAAAATAATAATAATAATCCTCCCCATGCTGTTTATAGGCAGTTAACACCATTATGCATTTTTGCCATCTATTTTCTAGTGATGGGGGGGGGGACTCGATACAGTTACATATTGGGATATTATTTTTGATGATACAGTGCATTCGGAAAGTATTCAGACCCTTTGACTTTTTCCACATGTTATTACTTTTACAGACTTATTCTAAAATGGATTAAGAAGAAAATTCTCATCTTTCTACACACTTTACCCCATAATAACAAAGTAAAAACAGGTTTTTACAATTTTTTGCTAATTTATAAAACATTTAAAACGGAAATATCACATTTACATAAGTATTCAGACCCTTTGCTGAGTACTTTGTTGAAGCACCTTTGACAGCGATTACAGCCTCGAGACTTCTTGGGTATGACGCTACAAGCTTCTCTGCAGATCCTCTCAAGCTCTGTCAGGTTTGATGGGGAGCGTCGCTGCACAGCTATTTTCAGGTTTCTCCAGAGATATTCGATCGGGTTCATGTCCGAGCTCTGGCTGGGCCACTCAAGGACATTCAGAGACTTGTCCCGAAGCCACTCCTCCGTTGTCTTGGCTGTGTGCTTAGGGTCGTTGTCGTGTTGGAAGGTGAACCTTTGCCCCAGTCTGAGGTCCTGAACACTCTGGAGCAGGTTTTCATCAAGGGTCTCTCTGTACTTTGCTCCGTTCATCTTTCCCTCAATCCTGACTAGTCTCCCAGTCCCTGCCGCTGAAAAACATCCCCACAGCATGATGCTGCCACCACCATGCTTCACCGTAGGGATGGTGCCAGGTTTCCTCCAGACGTGACGCTTGGCATTCAGGCCAAAGAGTTCAATCTTGGTTTCATCAGACCAGAGAATCTTGTTTCTCATGGTCTGAGAGACTTTAGGTGCCTGTTGGCAAACTCCAAGCGGGCTGTCATTTACATTTAAGTCATTTAGCAGACGCTCTTATCCAGAGCGACTTACAAATTGGTGCATTCAACTTAGGATAGCCTGTGGGACAACCACCACTGGGGGAGGGGGGGTGTAGAAGGATTACTGTTAGTCTATTCCAGGTATTCCTTAAAGAGGTAGGGTTTCAAGTGTCTCCGGAAGGTGGTCAGTGACTCCGCTGTCCTGGCGTCATGGGGGAGCTTGTTCCACCATTGGGGTGCCAGAGCAGCGAATAGGTTTGACTGGGCTGAGCGGGAACTGTGCTTCCGTAGAGGTAGGGGGGCTAGCAGGCCAGAGGTGGATGAACGTAGTGCCCTTGTTTGGGTGTAGGGTCTGATCAGAGCCTGAAGGTAAGGAGGTGCCGTTCCCCTCACAGCTCCGTAGGCAAGCACCATGGTTTTGTAGTAGATGCGAGCTTCAACTGTACCTTTTACTGAGGAGTGGCTTCCGTCTGGTCACTCTACCATAAAGGCCTGATTGGTGGAGTGCTGCAGAGATGGTTGTCCTTCTGGAAGGTTCTCCCATCTCCACAGAAGAACTCTGGAGCTCTGTCAGAGTGACCGTCGGGTTCTTGGTCACCTCCGTAACCAAGGCCCTTCTCCCCCGATTGCTCAGTTTGGCCGGGCAGCCAACTCTAGGAAGAGTCTTGGTGGTTCCAATCTTCTTCCATTGAAGAATGATGGAGGCCACTGTGTTCTTGTGAACCCTTCCCCAATCTGTGCCTCGACACAATCCTGTCTCGGAGCTCTACGGACAATTCCTTTGACCTCATGGCTTGGTTTTTGCTCTGACATGCACTGTCAACTATGGGACCTTATATAGACAGGTGTGTGCCTTTCCAAATCATGTCCAATTAATTTAATTTACCGCAGGTGGACTCCAATCAAGTTGTACAATTTCTCTACCTGTTTTCGCTATGTCATTATGGGGTATTGTGTGTAGATTGATGAGGAAAATTAAATTAATTTAATCAATTTTAAAATAATGCTGTAACGTGATAAAATGTGGAAAAATTAAAAGGGTCTGAATACTTTCCATATGCACTATATGTACATATCTACCTCAATTACCTCGTACCCCTGCACATCATCTCGGTACTGGTACCCCTTGTATATAGATAGCCAAGTTATCGTTACTGATTGTGTGTATATATTATTACTTTTATGCGTTTTATTTTTCTATTATTTTTCAAATTTCTTTCTCTCTGCACTGTTGGGAAGGGCCCGTAAAAAAATCCAGAAAATCACATTGTAGGATTTTTAATGAATTTATTTGCAAATTATGGTGGAAAATAAGTATTTTGTCACCTACAAACAAGCAAGATTTCTGGCTCTCACAGACCTGTAACTTCTTCTTTAAGAGGCTCCTCTGTCCTCCACTCGTTACCTGTATTAATGGCACCTGTTTGAACTTGTTATCAGTATAAAAGACACCTGTCCACAACCTCAAACAGTCACACTCCAAACTCCACTATGGCCAAGACCAAAGAGCTATCAAAGACACCAGAAACAAAATTGTAGACCTGCACCAGGCTGGGAAGACTGAATCTGCAATAGGTAAGCAGCTTGGTTTGAAGAAATCAACTGTGGGAGCAATTATTAGGAAATGGAAGACATACAAGACCACTGATAATCTCCCTCGATCTGGGGCTCCACGCAAGATCTCACCCCGTGGGGTCAAAATGATCACAAGAACGGTGAGCAAAAATCCCAGAACCACACGGGGGGACCTAGTGAATGACCTGCAGAGAGCTGGGACCAAAGTAACAAAGCCTACCATCAGTAACACACTACGCCGCCAGGGACTCAAATCCTGCAGTGCCAGACGTGTCCCCCTGCTTAAGCCAGTACATGTCCAGGCCCGTCTGAAGTTTGCTAGAGTGCATTTGGATGATCCAGAAGAGGATTGGGAGAATGTCATATGGTCAGATGAAACCAAAATATAACTTTTTGGTAAAAACTCAACTTTTCGTGTTTGGAGGACAAAGAATGCTGAGTTGCATCCAAAGAACACCATACCTACTGTGAAGCATGGGGTTGGAAACATCATGCTTTGGAGCTGTTTTTCTGCAAAGGGACCAGGACGACTGATCCGTGTAAAGGAAAGAATGAATGGGGCCATGTATCATGAGATTTTGAGTGAAAACCTCCTTCCATCAGCAAGGGCATTGAAGATGAAACGTGGCTGGGTCTTTCAGCATGACAATGATCCCAAACACACCGCCCGGGCAACGAAGGAGTGGCTTCGTAAGAAGCATTTCAAGGTCCTGGAGTGGCCTAGCCAGTCTCCAGATCTCAACCCCATAGAAAATCTTTGGAGGGAGTTGAAAGTCCGTGTTGCCCAGCGACAGCCCCAAAACATCACTGCTCTAGAGGAGATCTGCATGGAGGAATGGGCCAAAATACCAGCAACAGTGTGTGAAAACCTTGTGAAGACTTACAGAAAACGTTTGACCTGTGTCATTGCCAACAAAGGGTATATAACAAAGTATTGAGAAACTTTTGTTATTGACCAAATACTTATTTTCCACCATAATTTGCAAATAAATTCATGAAAAATCCTACAATGTGATTTTCTGGAGAAAAAAATTCTTCTCATTTTGTCTGTCATAGTTGACGTGTACCTATGATGAGAGAGGCCTGTCATTTTCATCTTTTTAAGTGGGAGAACTTGCACAATTGGTGGCTGACTAAATACTTTTTTCCCCCACTGTACATTGAGTCATGAATGTCAACTATCTCCTGTTTTCAGCTATCAGCTGGTGCGCTGTGTTGGATCAACCACTTGATGTCACTGCTAATGGCTATAAACATGGAGTGACCAAGAAGGCTCTGGGCACATCGAAAGCAAGGTAAGAGCCAGGACTTTTAAAAAAACGAATAGGTTGGTTTTTAGGCACAAATTGGAAGGATATAATCTGGCCAGTTCCTTTTTCATGTGTCAACCCAGCATTATGCAAAACCTTCTGTGCACCCTAATTCAATGCACAGGCTGCCTCTCATCACATTGGTATCTGTATTGCGTTAAGTCCCCTGAACTTCAGATTGACGGCTGTCTTTGTCTTTTCAGGTCTCTTATTTGCAAAGTGGAACTCTTTCATTCTTTCCTGTCACTGCTGGCTGTCACTGACAAGTCCCACCTCCCTGAATCTCTAAGGTAATTGCCCCCTCTGAGATGGAAGAACAAACGACTGCCGACATCATATTGTAATTTCTAAATATCCTGTTCTCTACCATTTATTCTGTTTGATTAGTGAATAGCGTGGTGTCCGTAGTCTGTGTAAAGTGCCAAAAATATTCTGTAAATGAATTTAAGAGGGGTCTCAATTTCCTGCATATGATTTGATAATAGATCAAAGGTGTGTGTGTGTGTGAGAGTCCATTAACAACAAATAACAAAATATACAGTCATACTTTAGAACACAGTATACAAAAAGGGGTACACATTTCAACAAAAATACATAAGGCTTCACAGGCATTTAGGGTTCGCTTTGTTTTCCCGTTTCTTTTTACGCAGCATTTTAAAGTAATTTAAGTTAAATTTTTCTTTAGCCCACTTACATTTATGTATAAAATATTTACCAAACATTAAAAAAATTAAATCTTTATGTATACTTTGTTCTGATCCAAATCCTGATTATTAAGTAAAAGTAAAATATCCTTACCATCAAGCTGAACCCTAGCACCAGTTGATCTAAAAAATAAATGCTCAAGATCTGTCCAAAAAAATCTTAGTGTCAATACAATCATAGAATAAAGGACAAAACGCACACTTTTCGTCAATATCAATTTAAAATCTTGGAAGTACCTGGTTAACTAGATAAATTAAGTGAATGATTTTAAAAGACACTTCATGGACTTTGTTAGTGTCACAATACTTTCTATTTAAATTCCATACCGCTGGGGGCCTCCCGAGTGGTGCAGCGGTCACTACAGACCTGGGTTCGATCCCAGGCTGTGTCACAGCCGGCCGTGACCGGGAGACCCATGAGGCGGCGCACAATTGGCCCAGCGTCCCTCCTTGTGGGGGGCAGGGCGCCTGCAAGCTGACTTTGGTCATCAGCTGGACAGTGTTTCCTCTGACACATTGGTGCGGCTGGCTTCCGGGTTAAGCGAGCAGTGTGTCAAGAAGCATTGCGGCTTCAAGAAGCATTCGGAGGACGCATGGCTCTCGACCTTCGCCTCTCCCGAATCAATAGGGGAGTTGCGGCGATGGGACAAGACTGTAACTACCAATTTGGGGAGAAAAAGGGGTAAAAGTACAAAAAATTATACATTCCATACCGCTTTCCAATTAATATTAAATGTAGGATTCCGTATACTTTTGCAGGAGGGAAAGCAGGCTCGGTACATATCTTCCTAATATCATTATTAGTGTACTTTTGATCCTAGATGCACACACCATGTAATAAAATAAAACTTCTTAATTCCTCTCATAAACATAATTTCCCTGTATAAGTCTTATAAGACCTGTAGGTATTGCATCAAAAAACGATGGCATACTCCTTCACATCACTGGAATTCCATATTTATTCAAAAACTCAACAATTATAAACCACATTTTAGAAATTAGCTGTTCAACCGGACCTTGATAAACTGTCTTTGATGTGTTTGAGCAGGGCTTGATCAAAAGCCTGCACACCCAGTATCTCTCCAGACTGAGAGTTGACCACGTGTTTTATACTATTGCCTAACAGGCATTCTAATTTGTGGGGGTTAAGTGCCTTACACAATGACAGGAGAGGGTACATGGGATCAGAGTGCAGCCTCCCAGTGTTGATACCACATTACCCTTACTTTTTTCCCTCACTGTACATAAAAAAGTATTTGATCCCCTGCTGATTTTGTACGTTTGCCCACTGACAAAGACATGATCAGTCTATAATTTTAATGGTAGGTTTATTTGAACAGTGAGAGACAGAATAACAACAAAAAAATCCAGAAAAACGCATGACAAAAATGTTATAAATTGATTTGCATTTTAATGAGGGAAATAAGTATTTGACCCCTCTGCAAAACATGACTTTAATACTTGGTGGCAAAACCCTTGTTGGCAATCACAGAGGTCAGACGTTTCTTGTAGTTGGCCACCAGGTTTGCACACATCTCAGGGATTTTGTCCCACTCCTCGTTGCAGATCTTCTCCAAGCCGTTAAGGTTTCGAGCCTGACGTTTGGCAACTCGAACCTTCAGCTCCCTCCACAGATTTTCTATGGGATTAAGGTCTGGAGACTGGCTAGGCCACTCCAGGACCTTAATGTGCTTCTTCTTGAGCCACTCCTTTGTTGCCTTGACCGTGTGTTTTGGGTCATTGTCATGCTGGAATACCCATTTTCAATGCCCTGGCTGAGGGAAGGAGGTTCTCACCCAAAATTTGACGGTACATGGCCCCGTCCATCGTCCCTTTGATGCGGTGAAGTTGTCCTGTCCCCTTAGCAGAAAAACACCCCCAAAGCATAATGTTTCCACCTCCATGTTTGACGGTGGGGATGGTGTTCTTCGGGTCATACACGGCGAGTTGAGTTGATGCCAAAGAGCTTGATTTTGGTCTCATCTGACCACAACACTTTTACCCAGTTCTCCTCTGAATCATTCAGATGTTCAGACGGGCCTGTATATGTGCTTTCTTGAGCAGGGGGACCTTGCGGGTGCTGCAGGATTTCAGTCCTTCACGGCGTAGTGTGTTACCAATTGTTTTCTTGGTGACTATGGTCCCAGCTGCCTTGAGATCATTGACAAGATCCTCCCGTGTAGTTCTGGGCTGATTCCTCACCGTTCTCATGATCATTGCAACTCCACGAGGTAAGATCTTGCATGGAGCCACAGTCCGAGGGAGGTTGACAGTTATTTTGTGTTTCTTCCATATGCGAATAATTGCACCAACTGTTGTCACCTTCTCAACAAGCTGCTTGGCGATGGTCTTGTAGCCCATTCCAGCCTTGTGTAGGTCTACAATCTTGTCCCTGACATCCTTGGAGAGCTCTTTGGTCTTGGCCACGGTGGAGAGTTTGGAATCTGATTGATTGATTGCTTCTGTGGACAGGTGTCTTTTATACAGGTAACAAGCTGAGATTAGGAGCACTCCCTTTAAGAGTGTGCTCCTAATCTCAGCTCGTTACCTGTATAAAAGACACCTGGGAGCCAGAAATCTTTCTGATTTGAGAGGGGGTCAAATACTTATTTCCCTCATTAAAATGCAAGTCAATTTATAACATTTTTGACATGCGTTTTTCTGGATTTTTTTGTTGTTATTCTGTCTCTCACTGTTCAAATAAACCTATAATTAAAATTATAGACTGATCATTTCTTTGTCAGTGGGCAAACGTACAAAATCAGCAGGGGATCAAATACTTTTTTCCCTCACTGTATGTATAAAAAATAAGTACCAATTGTTGGTCATGCCGCCAATTGTTAGCCATTGAAATTTGGTTAAAAGTCATGGAGAAGTCATGGAAAAGTAATGAAGTTCTATCTGTCAATGTGTATGAACCGGTTTTGACTAGCAGAAGTTACTTTTTGTAGCAGGTTAGGAGAACCTGCGCAGCATGTTAGAATTAATGTGGCAAGTTAGGAGAATAAGGTTAGGAAAAGGGTTAGGGTTAGCTAAAATGCTAAAATTGTCCCTGATGCGTCTTCAACGTATCTAGTTACAACCAGGCCTGCCATGAGAACAGTCTTGGTTTGCACTAATGCTATTCTGCACGCAGAGTGGGGGACAGACAGACGAGCAGCTAATTTGCGAAGGAAGTTATTTCTGATTTCTGTGCGTAAACGGGAGTGGACGGGAGTGATTTTTATCGGGAGAGTACAGGAAAGTTCCGGGGTTATAGAACTGTTGCGGGATCGGGACAGGAATACATTTTCACTCCTGTGTCAACCTCTAATCTACACCCTCTGACTAGTACAGTGTAAAGTCAACGGCTCTCCCACATCACATGTCCCTGCAATAATTACCTTAATACCAGTAGACAGCGTTTTTGCTCTGTTATAAGCAGTCTCACATAGCCCTTTACACTCGTAACTGTATACAGGTGGAAAATTGCAGATTTGAACATTGATAAGCGCCTAAATTGGAACGCAGTGGCTGTACTGTAACATGCTATACACTGCTATTCACTCTTGACCATTTCTTCTCCCCTTTCTGGGATGGCTACAAGGCCCTCCACCGCCCCCCCTTCGGCAAATCAGATCACGCTTCCATTTTGCTCCTCCCCTCCTATAGGCAGAAACTTAAACAGGAAGTACCTGTGGTAAGGACTGTTCAACGTTGGTCTGACCAATCGGAATCTATGCTTCAAGATTGTTTTGATCACGCGGACTGGGATATGTTCTGGGTTGCTTCTGAGAATAGTATAGACGTATACACTGGCTGTGACAGAGTTTATCAGGAGGTGCATAGAGGATGTTGTTCCCACTGTGACAATTAGAACTTATCCAAACCAAAAACTGTGGATTGATGGCAGCATTCGCGCAAAACTGAAAGTGTGAAAGACCGCATTTAACCACGGCAAGGTGACTGGGAACATGGATATGTACAAACAAATCAAATCAAATTTTAATGGTCGCATACACATATTTAGCAGATGTTATTGCGGGTGTAGCGAAATGCTTGTGTTCCTAGCTCCAACAGTGCAGTAGTATCTAACAATTCACAACAATACACACATCTTAAAGTAAAATAATGGAATTAAGAAATATATAAATATTAGGATGAGCAATGTCGGAGTGGCGTTGACTAGAATACAGTATATACATATGAAATGAGTAAAACAGTATATAAACATCATTAAAGTGACCAGTGATTCCATGTCTATGTACAAAGGGCAGCAGCCTCTAAGGTGCAGGGTTGAGTAACTGGGTGGTAGCCGGCTATTGACAGTGACTAAGTTCAGTTCAGGGCAGGGTACTGGGTGGAGGCCGGCTAGTGATGGCTATTTAACAGTCTGATGACCTTGAAATAGAAGCTGTCTTTCAGTCTCTCGGTCCCAGCTTTGATGCACCTGTACTGACCTTGTCTTCTCGCTGATAGCGGGGTGAACAGGCCGTGGCTTGGGTGGTTGATGTCCTTGATGATCTTTTTGGCCTTCCTGTGACATCGGGTGCTGTAGTTGTCCTGAAGGGCAGGCAGGGTGCTCCCGGTGATGTGTTGGGCAGACCGCACCACCCTCTGGAGAGCCCTGTGGTTGCGGGCGGTGCAGTAGCCGTACCAGGCGTTGATACAGTCCGACAGGATTCTCTCAATGGTGCATCTGTAAAGGTTTGTGAGGGTCTTAGGGGCCAAGCCGAATGTCTTCAGCCTCCTGAGGTTGAAGAGGCGCTGTTGCGCCTTCTTCACCACACTGTCTGTGTGGGTGGACCATTTCAGATTGTCAGTGATGTGTACGCCGAGGAACGTGAAGCTTTTCACCTTCTCCACTGCGGTCCTGTCAATGTAGATGGGGGCATGCTCCCTCTGCTGTCTCCTGAAGTCCACAATAAGCTCCTTTGTTTTTGTAACAAGGTGAGTAGGACGGATCCAGGCGCAGGAGGTGTGAATCAAAGAATAGTGTAGGCCTCCTTTAGCTCAGTTGGTAGAGCATGGTGCATGCAACACCAGGGTTGTGGGTTCGTTTCCCACGGGGGGCCAGTATTAAAAATGTATGCACTCACTAACTGTAAGTCGCTCTGGATAAGAGCGTCTGATAAAATGACTAAAATGTAAAAAGAAAATGGCCAATACAGCAGTTCGCAGCAATGCGTAAACCAAATACAGTGCAACCTTAAATGCGTACTGGGAAAACAAAACACAGGGGTGAATATCCCGGCGATAAAAGTAACATAATGCTCAACACAAGCTAGCGACACCTCCACATGGAACAATAACACACAAAGACATGGGGGAGCAGAGGGAATAATTATACAGAGACTGATGAGGGGATATGTACCAGGTGTGTGTGAAAAACAAGGCAGCTTCGGAGGGAGTTGTGACAGTACCCCCCCCCCCCCCCTTGACGGACAGCTCCAGCAGCGTGCCGACACCGGCCCCGGGGACGGCCAGGAGGACGCGGAGCAGGGTGATCTGATCCGGTGGAAGTCCTGCAACAGGGAGGGATCGAAGACATCCTTCACCTGGACCCAGCACTACTCCTCCGGACCGTACCTCTCCCACTCCACGAGGTACTGAAGGCCCGACGCCTCGAATCCAGGATGGAATTGATGGAGTACGCCGGGGCCCCCTCGATGTCCAGAGGGGGCGGAGGGACCTCCTGCACCTCAGACTCATGGATCGGACCAGCCACCACCGGCCTGAGGAGAGACATATGAAATGAGGGGTTAATATGATAATCAGGAGGGAGCAGCAACCTATACGTAACCTTGTTCACTCTCCTCAGGACTTTGAACGGCCCCACAAACCGCGGGCCCAGCTTCCGGCAGGGCAGGCAGAGTGGCAGGTTCCGGGTCGAGAGCCAGACCCGATCACCCGGTACAAAGTCCTCACTGCGTTGGCGTTCAGCGTTGGATGTGGACGTGGGCAGCGTTCCACGTCTCCTCCGGGCGCCGAAACCAGCCGTCCACCGCAGGAGCTTCGGTCTGGCTCTGATTCCACGGTGCCAGGACCGGCTGCTACCCTAAAACACATTGAAATGGTGACGTGTTAGTGGAGGAGTGGCGGAGAGAGTTCTGGGCATATTTGGCCCATGGCAAGAACACCGACCACTCCCCCGGCCGGTCCTGGCAGTAGGACCGCAGAAACCTACCCACATCCTGATTCACCCGTTCCACCTGCCCATTAGATTCGGGGTGACACCCAGAGGTCAGGCTGACCAAGACCCCAGACGTTCCATGAACGCCTTCCAGACCCTAGACGTAAACTGGGGACCCCGGTCAGACACTATGTTCTCTGGCACCCCGTAGTGCCGGAAGATGTGAGTAAAAAGGGCTTCCGCAGTTTGCAGGGCCGTGGGGAGACCGGGCAGAGGAAGGAGGTGGCAGGCATTAGAAAAGCGGTCCACAACAACCAGGATGTTGGTGTTACCCTGAGAGAGGGGAAGATCAGTTCGAAAATCAATCGATAAGTGGGACCATGGTCGTTGTGGAACTGGTAAGGGATGTAACTTAGCCACTGGAAGGTACCTAGGTGCCTTACTCTGGGCGCACACCGAGCAGGATGAGACATACACCCTCATGTCCTTAGCCAAGGTAGGCCACCAGTACTTCCCGGTAAGGCAGCGCACTGTACTGCCGATGCCTGGGTGACCAGAGGAGGGGGACGTGTGTGCCCAATAGATAAGACGATCACGGACACTAGACGACACGGACCGAAGTCCAGCTGGGCACTGAGGTGGAGATGGATCTGTGTGTCCACGTCCACCGCCCACACCACCGGCGCCACAATGCAGGAGGACGGGAGTATCGGGGTATTATCAATGGGCCTCTCCTCTGTGTCGTACAGCCGTGACAGTGCGTCTGCCTTCATGTTCTTAGTGCCTGGTATATAGAACAGCGTGAAATCAAACTGGTTGAAGAACAAGGCCCACCTGGCCTGGCGAGGGTTCAGCCTCCTCGCTGCCCAGATGTACTCCAGGTTACGGTGGTCAGTCCAGACGAGGAAAGGGTGTTTAGCCCCTCGAGCCAGTGCCTCCATGCTGTCAGGGCTCTGACAACAGCCAACAGCTCCCGATCACCAACGTCATAGTTCTGGTCCACCGGGCTGAGCTTCTTAGAGAAGAAGGCACAGGGGCGGAGCTTGGTTGGCGTGCCCGAGCATTGGGATAGGACAGCGCCTACCCCTACCTCGGACGCGTCCACCTCCACTACGAACGGCAATGAGGGATCGTGGTATCCGAGGAAAGAGACGGATTGTTGGAAAAACAGACACTTTTCTGCCTTGGGATACAGGTCATGCTCCAACAGTCACCCAAGCACTCTGCGAACAAGGGACACATGCTCGGCACGCGTAGCGGAATACACCAGGATGTAATCGATGTAAACCACCACACCGCGACCAAGCATGTCCCGAAACACCTCGTTCACAAAGGACTGGAAGACTGATGGAGCATTCATCAACCCGTACGGCATCACCAGGTTTTCATAATGCCCTGTGGTGGTGCTAAATGCTGTCTTCCATTCGTCCCCTTCCCGGACACGCACCAGGTTGTACGCACTCCTGAGATCTAATTTCGTGAAGAAGCACGCCCCATGCATTGATTCGGTCACGAGGAAATGATGGGTAGAGCATAACTATAGCGAATTGTAATTCTATTAAGTGCACGGTGATCAATGCAAGGGCGCAGACCCCCTGACAACAGGGACTCGGAGACGTATGTTTCCATAGCCTCCGTTTCAGCCTGCGACGGGATATACATGACTCCTGGGCGGCACAGCATCTAACCTGAGGTTTATCGTGCAATTCCCCAAGCAATGGGGTGGTAATTTGGTCGCCTGCGTTTTGGAAAAGGCGTGCGCCAAATCGAGGCATTGTCTGGACTTTCCACCGTGGTCGCACCAACGGAAACAGCTAGACACCTACCCTGACACTCTCGCGACCAACCCGTGAGAGCCCTCTGCGGCCATGAAAAGGTGAGGTTGTGTAGTGCTAGCCAGGGAAGGCCCAACACAACAGGGAAATCAAGGGACTCAATAATATGAAATGTGATTTGCTCATTATGGATCTCCTGCGTAATCATAGTGACTGGTGCGGTAACCTCCCTAACAAAACCTGACCCTAGTGGTCAATTGTCAAGTGCTTTGATGGGCAACGGAATAGACAGGGGAACACATGTAATACGTAGACTAAGAGCTAAAGACCTGTCCATAAAGTTCCCAGCTGCACCTGAATCTTCCAGCGCCTTACACTGGGGAACTACCGTGTAATCAGGGAAGTTGATGTGGATGGTTAAATGCGCAGCAGAGGGCTCTGAACAAGTGTGGGTTTGTGCTACCTGGGGTGACGCGAGAGTGCCCTGCCTGCTGCCTCCAGAACCAGAAGAACTCTGACGACATCGTGCAGCAGAATGTCCTCTTCTGCCACAAGAGTGACACTGGATCAGTCGTCCTCCGTTCTCCCGGAACGCTGCACCACCCAGCTCCATTGGAATGGGAGCCGGGGTGAGGGGGGGTGAAACGGGCAGGCCCCTTCCAGGATGTCCTCACGAAGCAAGCAGGTTGTCCAACCGAATGGCCGTGTCCACCAGTTGGTCGAAGGTCAGAATGGTATCCCGGCAGGCTAGCTCCGTTCGGGTGTTCTCACGCAGGCTGCATCGGAAATGGTCGATGAGGGACCGCTCGTTCCACCCGGACCCAGCCGCTAGGGTTCTAAACTCCAGGGTAAAGTCTTGCGAGGTCCTTGTCCCCTGCCTCAGATGGAACGAACTCTCCGTAGCTGTCCAACATGTCTCCTCCTTCACTCCAGATCACATTGGCCCATACCAGGGCTTTCCCCGAGAGGCAGGAGATGAGGGCGGACACCTTCTCCCGATCCGATTGAGCAGGGCTGATGGTGTTGAAGTAGAGGTCCAGCTGCAGGAGGAAACCCTGGCAGCGGGCAGCTGTCCCGTCGTATTCCCTCGGTAGAGACAGTTGAATACCCCTGGTTGCTGGTGTGTGGGTGGCTGGATCCGGTCGCTCAGCTGGTTCTGCAGGGTCGGATCCTCTCTTCTCCAGGCGCTGGACGGCCTGGAGACCCCGATCCATCTCTTTGCCCAAGCTGGCTAACATGGTGGAATGCTCCCGGACCCGCTCAATGACTCCAGGCATATTCCCCGCTCCTGCTGACTCCATGCTGTTTGGGTGTGTTATTCTGTAACAAGGTGAGTAGGACGGAGCCAGGCGCAGGAGGTGTGAATCATAGAATAGGGTTTATTAGCCAATACAGCAGTCCGCAGCAATGCGTAAACCAAATACAGTGCGACTTAAATGCGTACTGGGAAAAAAAAACACACGGGTGAATATCCCGCCGATAAAAGTAACAATGCTCAACACGAGCTAGCGACACCTCCACATGGAACAATAACACTCAAAGGCATGGGGGAGCAGAGGGAATAATTATACAGAGACTGATGAGGGGATATGTACCAGGTGTGTGTGAAAAACAAGACTAAACAAATGGAATGATGAAAAGAGGAGCGGCAGTGGCTAGAAGGCCGGTGACGACGAACGCCGAAGCATGCCCAAACAAGGAGATTAGGCAGCTTCGGAGGGAGTCGTGACAGTTTTTTTTACGTTGAAGGTGAGGTTATTTTCCTGGCACCACTCCGCCAGGGCCCTCACCTCCCTGTAGACTGTCTCGTCATTGTTGGTAATCAAGCCTACTACTGTTGTGTCGTCTGCAAACTTCATGATTGAGTTGGAAGTGTGCGTGACCATGCAGTCATGGGTGAACAGGGAGTACAGGAGGGGGCTGAGCACGCACCCTTGTGGGGCCCCTGTGTTGAGGATCAGCGTAGTGGAGGTGTTGTTTCCTACCTTCACCGCCTGTCAAGAAGTCCAGGACCAGTTACACAGGGCGAGGTTCAGACCCAGGGCCCTGAGCTTAATGATGAGCTTGGAGGGTACAATGGTGTTGAAGGCTGAGCTGTAGTCAATTAACCGCATTCTTACATAGTTATTCCTCTTGTCCAGATTGGATAGGGCAGGCAGTGTGATGTCGATTGCGTCATTCATGGAATGCATTGTCTGTGGATCTATTGGGGCGGTATGCATATTGAAGTGGGTCTAGGGTGTCAGGTAAGGTGGAGGTGATATGATCCTTAACTAGCCTCTCAAAGCACTTCATGATGACCGAAGTGAGTGCTACGGGGCAATAGTAATTTAGTTCAGTTACCTTTGCTTTCTTGGGTACAAGAACAATGGTGGACATCTTGAAGCAAGTGGGGACAGCAGACTGGTTTTGGTAGAAATTGAATATGTCCGTAAACACTCCAGCAGCTGGTCTGCGCATGCTCTGAGGACGTGGCTTGGTATGCCATCTGGGCCGGCAGCCTTACTAGGGTTAACACGCTTAAATGTCTTACTCACTTCGGCCACGGAGAACGAGAGCCCACAGTCCTCGGGATCGGGCCGCATCGGTGGCACTATGTTATCCTCAAAGTGGGCGAAGAAGGTGTTTAGCTTGTCCGGGAGCAAGACGTCGGTATCCGCGACATGGCTGGTTTTCCCTTTGTAATCCGTGATTGTCTGGAGTCCATGCCACATACGTCTTGTGTCTGAGCCGTTGAATTGCGACTCCACTTTGTCTCTGTACTGACATTTTTCTTGTTTGATTGCTTTACTGAGGGCATAACTGCACTGTTTGTATTCGGCCATATTCCCAGTCACCTTGCCGTGGTTAAATGTGGTGGTTCGCGCTTTCAGTTTTGCACGAATGCTGCCATCTATCCACGGTTTTTGGTTTGGGTAGGTTTTAATAGTCACAGTGGGCACAACATCACCTATACACTCTCTGATGAACTTAGACACTGTGTCAGTGTATACATTTAATGTTATTCTCAGAGGTAACCCGGAACATATCCCAGTCTGCGTGATCAAAACAATCTTGAAGCATGGATTCCGATTGGTCGGATCAGCGTTGAATAGGCCTTAGCACGGGTACTTCCTGTTTTTAGTTTCTGCCTATAGGAAGGGGGAGCAGAATGGAGTCTTTATCTGATTTGCCGAAGGGAGGGCAGGGGAGGGCCGTGTAGTTATCACGGAAGGGAGAGTAACAATGGTCGAGTGTTTTTGAAGTACGAGTACTACAGGCAATGTGTTGATATAACTTCGGTAGCATTCTCCTCAAATTGGCTTTGTTAAGGTCCCCTCCTACAATATATGTGGCCTCAGGATATGTGGTTTCCAGTTTGTCCAGTGTAGTTCCTTGAGGGCCATCTAGGTATCGGCTTGAGGGGGAATATACACGGCTGTGACTATAACCGAAGATAATTATCTTGGGAGGTAATACTGAAACATACACCTCTGCCTTTCTTCTTCCCGGAGAGTTCTTTATTCCTGTCTGCGCGATGTACTGAGAACCCAGCTGGCTGTATGGACGGGGACAGTATATCCGGAGAGAGCCATGATTCTGTGAAACAGAGTATGTTACAGTCCCTGATGTCTCTCTGGAAGGAAATCGCCCTGAGCTCGTCTCCTTTATTGTCCAGGGACTGAACATTAGCAAGTAATATACTCGGAAGCAGTGGATGGTGTGCACGCCTCCTGAGTCTAGAAGTCCACTCCGAATACCTCTTCTCCGCCGGCGGCGTCTTGGAGCAGCCTCTGGGATAAGTTAAATTGCCTTGGGGGGTACAAACAACAGACCAGCTATGCCCTTCGTAAGGCAATCAAACAGGCAAAACGACAAAGTGGACTCTCAATTCAATGGCTCAGACACAAGACGTATGTGGCAGGGAATCCAGACAATCTCGTATTATAAAGGGAAAGCCAGCAACATCGGATACCGACGCCTTGCTCCCGGACAAGCTAAACACCTTCTTCGCCTGCTTCGAGGCCACCGCCACTGATGTGAACTCTCCTTGGCCGACGTGAGAAAGACATTTAAGCGGGTTAACCCTCGCAAGGCTGCCGGCCCAGATGGCATCCCATGCCGCGTCCTCAGGGCCTGTGCAGACCAGTTGGCTGGAGTGTTTACGGACATATTCAATCTCTCACTATCCCAGTCTGTTGTCCCCACTTGCTTCAATATGTCCACCATTGTTCCTGTACCTAAGAAAGCGAGGGTAACTGAACTAAATGACTGTCGCCCTATAGCACTCACTCTTGTCATCATAAAGTGCTTTGAGAGGCTAGTTAAGGATCATACTGTATCACCTTACCCGACACCCTAGACCCACTACAATTTGCATACCGCTCCAACAGATCCATGAAAGACGCAATCGACATCGCTCTGCACACTGCCTGCCATATCACATTTGGACAAGAGAAATACCTAAGACCCTCACAAATTTCTACAGTTGCACTATTGAGATCATCCTGTTGGGCTGCATCACCGCCTGGTACGGTAATTGCACCGTCCGCAAACGCAGGGCTCTCCAGAGGGTGGTGTGGTCAGCCCAACTCATCACTGTGGGCACACTGCCTGCCTCCAGGACATCTACAGCACCCGGGGTAACAGGAAGGCCAAGAAGATCATCAAGGACCTCAGCCACCCGAGACACAGCCTGTTCACCCCGCTACCATCTAGAAGGCAGAGACAGTACAGGTGCATCAAAGCAGGGACCCGAGAGACTGAAAAACAGCTTCCAACTCCAGGCCATCAGACTGTTAAATAGTCACCACTAGCCGGACTCCACCCAGTCCCCTGCCCTGAATTTAGTCACTGTTACTAGCCGACTACCACCCGGTACTCTACAGTGCACCTTATTCTTTTAAAGATTGATCAAGCTCGGTCAAGTTGTTTTTTTATCATTGCTATACAGCCATTTTCAAGTCTTGCCTTAGATTTTCAATCAGATTTTAGTCAAAACTGTAACTAGGCCACTCAGGAACATTCAATGTAGTCTTGGTAAGCAACTCCAGTGTATATTTGGCCTTGTGTTTTAGGTTATTGTCCTGCTGAAAGGTGTATTTGTCTCCCAGTGTCTGTTGGAAAGCAGACTGAACCAGGTTTTTCTCTAGGATTTTGCCTGTGCTTAGCTCTATCTTCTTTTTATAAAAAAAAACATGATGCAGCCACCACCATGCTTGAAAATAAGAAGAGTGGTACTCAGTGACGTGTTGGATTTGCCCCAAATTTAACGCTTTGTATTCAAGACTTAAAGTAAATTTCTTTGTCGCATTTTTGGCAGTTTGACTTTAGTGCCTTATTGCAAACAGGATGCATGTTTTGGAATATTATTATTCTGTACAGGCTTCCTTCTTTTCACTCTGTCATTTAGGTTAGTATTGTGGAGTAACTACAATGTTGTTGATCCATCCTCAGTTTTTTCCTATCACAGCCATTAAACTCTGTAACTGTTTTAAAGTCACCATTGGCCTCATTGCTTTATCTTGGCCAGGTCGCAGTTGTAAATGAGAACTTGTTCTCAACTGGCTTACCTGGTTAAATAAAGGTGGAGAAAAAAAAATAAAAAAAATGGTGAAAGCCCTGAGCGGTTTCCTTCCTCTCTGGCAACTGAGTTAGGAAGGACGCCTGTATCTTTGTAGTGACTGGGTGTATTCATACACCATCCAAAGTGTAATTAATAACTTCACCATGCTCAAAGGAATATTCAATGTCTGCTTTATTTTTTACCCATCTACCAATAGGCGCCCTTCTTTGCAAGGCATTGGAAAACCTCCCTGGTCTTTGTGGTTGAATCATTGTTTGAAATTCACTGCTCGACTGTTGGACCTTACAATTATCTGTATGTGTGGGGTACAGAGATATGAGGTAGTCATTCAAAAATCATTTTCACCACAATTATTTCACAAAGAGTGAGTCCATACAACTTATGTGACTTGTTAAGCACATTTTTACTCCTGGAAAGGGGTTGACTACTTATTGACCAAAGACATTTCAGCTTTTAAAAAATTCAAAAAACATAATTCCACTTTGACATTATGGGGTATTGTGTGTTACGGCCAGTGAGACAAAATCAGAATGTAATCAATTTTAAATTCATCAGATAGTATGTCGCGTGGGAGTGACACGATCTGACGTAAGACAATGCCCACAGAGGACAGGAATCCTTGGGACATGTTTCCACACCCTGGAAATACATATTTAATTTCCTCAGTAGCATGACAAGGGTTAATTCCATAGAAATAGAATGACTCATTCTTATTCTATAGTTCATTCATCTAATGTCTTGTGATTTAAGAGGTTAATATGTCATGGTAACTGCCGTTGAGTTTCTGTGTTTGTTGTTTGTGTCTGTAGGGGAAAGGAGCTCCAGACGTACTGGGACTACAAGCAGGTGGCTCAGTCGTACCAGCAGGCCTCGCTGCAGCTGCGCTCACAGGCCTTCCCACTGTGGCTCCGCAGTGATCGTGGCCTGCTGCAGTTTCACTGAAACACAGTACAACTTTGTTGCTTACAGCAACAATGGACTGAGAAACTGGTTAGTACAGAATGCTGTGTGATTATTAGAGGGACAAAGCCAAAAACAAGTGAAAGGACACAGCCATACACTGTCATGAAGCATTATTGTACTTGTAGATGTGCCAAGGAAGTGATGACCAATTTTGGCAGGACATGCAAAGACATGAGTTTAGAAAGGGCTTGGAGCTCACATGGTCAGTATCCCCACCTAGCATATTCAGATATAAATAGGTTGGCTTGCAATGTGATAACATTCCACTAGAACAATGCCTGACCTGTTTTTCAAACTCATTTGTAATCTGTTCATTCTCACAGTATGTTCATGAGATCTGCGTCATTGATTTGTGTGACAGTCTTTGTTCCTGTATGTCCAGAATGATATGTTTTATTATTACAGTATTACGTCTGAATATTTTTCTGTTGATAAAAACGAATTGGTTGTTTTGAATAACTACAGATAAGAGTAATTTCATGTGTTTTTATTGGTTTGTCATCCAGCTACCTTACCTTACATTTCATATATTCAAAATGTTTGGTATATATAATCTTTAAAGATAAACAAATCCAAAATTGTTAAATTAAAACAAAACAGTTATTACTGTATATGATAACTGACAATATCTTAAACTGCTGATAGTACTGCAATAACATTCCCAAACGTCTAAAAGTAATCAAATGTAGAATTTATAGTTTCAATATGATATGAGTGATACTAGTAATACAAATGCATCCATAACATGATTAATGTTGAGGTTATTAAATACTTCTTCCACACACATTTCTCTATTTTGATAGTTACAGTTGAAGTCGGAAGTTTACATACACCTTAGCCAAATACATTTAAACTCAGTTTTTCACAATTCCTGACATTTAATCCTAGTAAAGATTCCCTGTCTTAGGTCAGTTAGGATCACCACTTTATTTTAAGAATGTGAAATGTCAGAATAATAGTAGAGAGAACGATTTATTTTAGCTTTTGTTTCTTTCATCACATTCCCAGTGGGTCAGAAGTTTACATACACTCAATTAGTATTTGGTAGCATTGCCTTTAAATTATTTAACTTGGGTCAAACGTTTTGAGTAGCCTTCCACAAGCTTCCCACAATAAGTTGGGTGAATTTTGGCCCATTCCTCCTGACAGAGCTGGTGTAACTGAGTCAGGTATGTAGGCCTCCTTGCTCGCACACGCTTTTTCAGTTCTGCCCACAAATGTTCTATAGGATTGAGGTCAGGGCTTTGTGAAGGCCACTCTAATACCTTGACTTTGTTGTCCTTAAGCCATTTTGCCACAACTTTGGAAGTATGCTTGGGGTCATTGTCCATTTGGAAGACCCGTTTGCGACCAAGCTTTAACTTCCTGACTGATGTCTTGATGTTGCTTCAATATATCCAAATAATTTTCCTTCCTCATGATGCCATCTATTCTGTGAAGTACACCAGTCCCTCCTGCAGCAAAGCACTCCCACAGCATGATGCTGCCACCCCCGTGCTTCACAGTTGGGATGGTGTTCTTCGGCTTGCAAGCCAACCCCTTTTTCCTCCAAACATAACGATGGTCATTATGGCCAAACAGTTCTATTTTGGTTTCATCAGACCAGAGGACATTTCTCCAAAAAGTACGATCTTTGTCCCCATGTGCAGTTGCAAACCGTAGTCTGGCTTTTTTATGGCGGTTTTGGAGCAGTGGCTTATTCCTTGCTGAGCGGCCTTTCAGGTTATGTTGATATAGGACTCGTTTTACTGTGGATATAGATACTTTTGTACCTGTTTCTTTCAGCATCTTCACAAGGTCCTTTGCTGCTGTTCTGGGATTGATTTGCACTTTTCGCTCCAAAATACGTTAATCTCTAGAAGACAGAACGCGTCTCCTTCCTGAGCGGTATGACGGCTGCGTGGTCTCATGGTGTTTATACTTGCATACTTTTGTTTGTACAGATGAACGTGGTACCTTCAGGCGTTTGGAAATTGCTCCCAAGGATGACCCAGTCTTGTGGATGTCTACAATTTGTTTTCTGAGGTCTTGGCTGATTTCTTTTGATTTTCCCATGATGTCAAGCAAAGAGGCACTGAGTTTGAAGGTAGGCCTTGAAATACATCCACAGGTACACCTCCAATTGACTCAAATGATGTCAATTAGCCTATCAGAAACTTCTAATGCCATGACATCATTTTCTGGAATTTTCCAAGCTGTTTAAAGGCACAGTCAACTTAGTGTATGTAAACTTCTGACCCACTGGAATTGTGATACAGTGAATTATAAGTGAAATAATCTGCCTGTAAACAATTGTTGGAAAAATTACTTGTGTCATGCACAAAGTAGATGTCCTTACCGACTTTCCAAAACTATAGTTTGTTAACAAGAAATTTGTGGAGTGGTTGAAAAACAAGTTTTAATGACTCCAACCTAAGTGTATGTAAACTTCCGACTTCAGCTGTATACAATCAAGCTTTTCTGGAAAAAATGTGGGGGTTGTGTCAACCCAAAGTTGTGTGAAGGCCTAAAACCAAATGTATTTTCTCCACTGTACGCCACGTACAGAAAGCCATCCTCCTCTCTCTCTTTCTCATACGGCTGGTCCATTGTCAGACTGCAAGATAGTGAAAGACATTGATCAAAGATTTTGAACATACATTTTCAAGAACACACGAACATTTAACACATACATTCTTCCCCATCCAGACACCGTCAGAACCCAAACTGATGCAAATGCATTCACTCCTATACTAGTCTCGCGTTGCTATACTTCCAAGTCTCGTGGGAAAGCTGAAAGTCGAGGTTCCTCTTATACATACACCACACACAATACACATGCAGTAACTCATCTGATATCTGAGTCAACTGTAATTTGTTAGAAAATTTAATCTAACATCAGAATGGCATTGTCTAGAAAAGATGACGCAATTGCATAAGGAAGCTGAGTTATGCATCTAATTTCAAGGCCTATTCAATCAAACCCGTAACCATGTGTACTGTCTACCCACATAATGCATTAATAGGTACAGTGCCTTCAGAAAGTATTCATACCCCTTGACTTATTCCACATTTTGTTGTTACAGCCTGAATTCAAAATGGATTCAATGGATTTTGTATCTCACCCATCTACACACAATACCTGATAATGACAGTGAAAACATGTTTAAACTTTTTTAGCAAATGTATTCAATGAAATACAGAAATCTCTCATTTACATACGTTTTCACACCCCTGAGTCAATACTTTGTAGAAGCACCTTTGGCAGCGATTACAGCTGTGAGTCTTTCTGGGTAAGTCTCTAAGAGCTTTGCACACCTGGATTGTACAATATTTGCACATTATGCTTTTTAAAATTCTTCAACCTCTGTCAAGTTGGTTGTTGATCATTGCTAGACAGCCATTTTCAAGTCTTGCCATAGATTTTCAAGCCGATTTTAGTGAAAATTGTAACTAGGCCACTCAGGAACATTCAATGTCGTCTTGGTAAGGACCTCAAGTGTATATTTTGCCTTGTGTTTTAGGTTATTGTCCTGCTGAAATGTGAATTTGTTTCCCATGTTTGTTGGAAAACAGAATGAACCAGGTTTTCCTCTAGGATTTTTGCCTGTGCTTTGCTCTATTGAGTTTATTTTTATCCAAAAAAACTCCCTAGTCCCTGCCGATGACGAGCATACTCGTAGCATGATGCAGCCACCGGAGCTGGTGAACGGAATGAGCAGCAGTACCGGGGGGATCCGTGACAGTACCCCCCCCCCCCCCCCCCCCCCCCCGACGCGCTGCACCTGCAGTGAGACGACACCGGCCTCGGGGACGACCACAGGAACGCGGTGCGTGTCGGTCAGGGCACCGACGGTGAAAATCCCCAGGCGTTCCATGAACGCTTTCCATACGCATGAGGTGAACTGAGGGCCACGGTTTGACACAATGTCCTCCGGGATCCCGTAGTGCCGGAAGACATGCATAAAAAAAGCCTCTGCGGTTTGCATGGCCGACGGGAGCCCAGGCAGAGGAAGGAGATGACAAGCTTTGGAAAAACGGTCCACAACGATGAGAATGGTAGTGTTCCCCTGGGAGGGGGAAACGTCAGAGACAAAGTCCACCGAGAGGTGAGACCAGGGTCATTGTGGAACTGGCAGGGGAAGAAGCTTTCCATAAGGGAGGTGTCTGGGTGTCTTTGACTGGGCACATAAACCCGGACGTCCCTAGCCAAGGTGGGCCACCGGTACTTCACAGTCAGGCAGGCGATGGTACGTCCTATCCCAGGATGACCCGAAACAGGCGCTGTGTGTGCCCAGGAAAGGAGGCGGTCCCGCACACCCGTTGTCACGTAGGCGCGTTTCTCCGGGCACTGTGCAGGTACGGGTTCCGTACGCAGGGTCTGCCGTATGTCGGCGTCCACATCCCAAACCACTGGTGCGATTATACGGAATGGAGGGATGATGGGGGTCTCCTCTGCATCATAGAGGCGAGACAGGGCGTCCGCCTTCACGTTCTTCGAGCCTGGCCTATAGGAAAGCGTGAATTGGAACCTGGCAAAGAATAGAGCCCACCTGGCCTGTCTCGGGTTTAGCCTCTTCGCTGCCCTGATGTACTCCAGGTTGTGGTGGTCCGTCCACACCAGGAAAGGGTGTTTGGACCCCTCCAGCCAGTGCCTTCAGTGCCTTCTTGACCGCCAAGAGTTCCCGGTCCCCTATGTTGTAGTTCCTCTGGGCGGGGCTCAGCTGCTTGGAGTAGAAGGCGCAGGGCCGCAGTTTTGGAGGGGTTCCGGTGCACTGGGACAGCACTGTCCCGACACCTACTTCGGAGGCGTCCACCTCGACGATGAAGGGGAGTGAGGGGTCGGGATGTGCCAGCACGGGAGCAGTGGTGAAGCGTGCCTTCAGCGTCTCGAACACCCTCTCCGCCGTCCAACGAAGCCGCTGGGGAACTCCTCTCAGCAGGGAGGTAAGAGGCGCGACCACTGTGCTGAAGCCCCGGATGAACCTCCGGAAATAGTT